GTTTTTTTTTAAACGAAACCCTTATTTTTGACACCGATGATGTAAAGAGAAGGAAATTTGACGTTAAAGTATGCCTTTGCCCATATGTCCTTGAGGTATCCAGAAAGTAGGAAAAGGATAAAACATCTCGAATAATACGTTTCATAAAGAAAAATTTTGTGTAATAAAGCTGTAAAGATTGAAAAAATGCATCCGATGGTGAACTTAAACGTGACCTTGACAGTGACCTTCAAGCTCATTTGAAGGTCAAGACAGTTTTCTAAAGTGGAAAATATGTTTGAGATCGGAGATAGAAAGATCACGAAACTCTATGTTCAAGTATGTCCTTGAATATGACCATCAAGATCAGATAAATTTTCAATAAAACACCTTTTTTGTCGAGGATATAAAAAAGTGAAAAATGAAATTAATTTATAAAATGTTAGGTATAAAATATTCATGGCCAAAGTTACATTACTTTGAATATCCAACTCAACGCGGGTATAGTCTAATAAGTCCATAAGCTAAGGTGTTCCATCGACTAACCTGTTATCGAAGAGATCCGTATAAACATGTTCCACGCACTCCACATGTCCCTGAGACTCGTATTTCCCAGTGGTTTTCAGCCTGTCCGAGCTGCCGTAGCCCCCGCTCGCCAATGGCGTCGCTTCGATCCTTTCAGAGGGAAACATCGTGCTTTTAGTGAACACCTGGATGGGTCGTCGGAATCCTCTGGATCGATGAAGCGGCATGCCCAGGATCTCGCCCTTCGCGAAACCAACGGCCGGCGATAGCAGGTACTCGCGAAACTTTTCCGGGAAGAATTCAATTGTGTTGTAGTTCTTGAAGATTGTCTCCTGGAAAAAGAAAAAAGTAGTTATTTGAAATTTGTGGTAAGCGGAAAATGATATACTAAGTGACATATAAATCCGAACACCCAGTTTAAATGGTTTTATTTTAATAAAAGTTGGTGAATGTATTTATCTTACTGTAAATAACAAGTAAAAAAAATTTCAGCCTTATCAGTTGGACATTCCGGTTTTTATACTGCTTTTTTTTTAATTCACTAACGCTCTGAAAATGAATATTTCAGCCGCAGTAAAGAATCAACGTTGGCGGATTTTGGTTCTTGACATCCTTTACGATCGGTTACGATGCCTAGAGTACGGAGATCTGTACGATTTCGTCAACTTAGTGAGTTTGATAGGGGCCGTATAGTGGGACTTCGGGAAGCTGGACTTTCTTTTCGGGCAATTGCAGTTAGAGTGCAAAGAAGTGTAGACACTGTGGTTAGATGTTGTCAGGCATGGCTTCGAGAAGGCCGTACGCAAAGAGCAAGGGGCACTGGACGCCGCCGTAGAACAACAGACCGTGAAGATCGCCGCCTAAGATTATTGGACTTAAGGGACCGTTTCTCCACTACCAGGTCCAATGCAAATGAATGGTTTGCAGAACACGGAAGACCTATTGGCATGCGAAGTGTTTACCGACGAATGAGAAGTTTTGTTTTCATACCGGCCACACTGGGTCCTCCCTTTAACTCGAGAACACCGACGTAATCGCCTTGAGTGGTGCAGACAACGGTCACTCTGGGATCAGGAATGGAACAGTATTGTCTTTAGTGACGAGTCTCGATTTTGTTTAGGCATGCACGATGGTCGTGCCAGGGTTAGAAGGCGACGTGGTGAAAGGAGGAATCCACAGTTTTTTGTTGAAAGACATGTTCATCACACTGTTGTAGCTATGGTTTGGGGTGCTATAGCTTATGGTTCCAGGTCACCTTTAATCTTCATCAGAGGTAACATGAACGCGCAGCGTTATATCCACGAAGTTCTAGAATCCCATCTTTTACCCTATCTTGACACCCTGGCAGATCCAACTTTCCAACAAGATAATGCCCGACCACATGTTGCAAGAGTCACAATAGACTTCTTTCAACATAATGATGTCACATTGTTACCATGGCCACCAAGATCTCCCGATTTATCCCCAATTGATCACGTGTGGGATATGATGGGTAGGAGATTGCTCAATTTGCAACGTCCTCCTCAGACTCTAGAAGCACTTCGAGAGGAGTTGGTGGTTGCCTGGAATGAGATACCACAGGAGGACATTGACCACCTGATCAGAAGCATGCCTAGGCGCGTTGGAGAATGCGTAGCACATCAGGGTTCATCCACACATTATTAAAGGTCAAAGGGCTTTAAAGCAGTGCAATCATTTTGAAATTTTTATCATTTACTTATTATGCTTCATTAAGTACTTATACAAAATTTTATTAAAATAAAACCATTTAAACTGGGTGGTCGGATTTATATGTCACTTAGTATAGATTTTGGGGACTTTTTGAAACCGTAGCAGCCGCGCAGACAGAAGCTTAAATACCAGGGCACCACGGGTGCTATGAGGAGCTTAAAGAAACTTTGTAAGTCCGCGATTTAGAGAAACTAAACAATACAGAGAAGATTGAAAATTTAAGGAGTCTATAGCAGTCTCTCGAAGTGGGCGCTGAAGACCTGCAGGAGGGGGGCGTAGTAATAGTACTAGTAGTACTACAAAGATTTGTTTAGCACGTTTGGCTACACAAACAGAATAATTGTAAACAACTTAGAATTACTAAATTTAACCATATGATGTAAATGCTAGGCAAGCTATACGTTAATTGTAGATTTATCTAGTGATTTCTCAATGTTACTTTGAAGTTTGTTAAAGTTTTCTAGTCTTTTGTTTCTGTATATAATTAATCATATTTAAACAACCCTTGATGGAATACAGATTTGTAGAATGTTATATTTTTTGGTCATTAAATGGAAGTCATCTTCATTTCTAGTATTATGTAAATGATAGGGGGTGGTAAAATGCCTAAAGAAAATTGGAGGAGCGATGAACTGATTTGGGAGGCGACGAAATGAATAATTTTTGTCCTCTCCCTTCAATTGTCAAGTACATTTGCTCTCACAACCATCGACGCAGACGTACCCCCCCCCCCCCTGCTTCAATGTTCAATTGTCGATACCACCCCCGCTCTTCAAAATTGTCATAAGGGCATCCGCACGGGTATTACGTACGTCGATTTTTTTTTGACATTACGAGCTATCAGAATACGTCTATAATAGTTTTGGATAGTTAAGGTTTTCAAAATGGGTAGAGGAAAGGTTATTAGTGAGAAAATTCGGTTACTGATAATAAAATTTTTTAATTCTGGGAAATCCAACTCAGAAATTGCAACTTTGTTAGACTTATCGCGGTACAGTGTGAGAAATATTGTTAGAAGATATAACGTAACTGGTTCAGTTAATATTAAGCCACGATAAGGGGAAAAAAGTAATATCACAAATGCCGACCGAAGAGCATTAATAAGAATAATCCTGAAAAACCGGCATGCCAATTATTTACAATTAAGTGCTCTGTGGAGTGACGCTGTTGGAAGGAGAATTTCGAGGTCCACAACTCATAGAGAGGCCCACAAACTGGGATTTAGCACTTGCAAGGTAAGTTTTCTTATAAAAAAAGTGAAGTAAAAACCCTAAAGTTGCACAACTTGTTTATAGTCTAACGAAAAGCCACTATTAACTCCACTGCAAAAGAAAAATCGGGTTAGATGGGCTAAAGAACATAGACAATATACAGCTCAACAATGGAGTGATGAGGCCCGATTCGAAGTTTGTGTTGGTGACAGTCGCAATAGAGTTATTCGCAAAAAAAATGAAGCATTCCATGTTGACTGTCTGAACAGAAAAGTGAAATTTCCAGCATCCATTATGGTCTGGGGCAGTAAGTCATCAAAAGGAGCAGTAAAACTTCATTTTATTGATGGAAATGTGGATACAAACAAATATTTGTAAATTTTAGAAGAATCGCTTTTACCAGTGATGGAAGAATGTTTGACATCCGGCCAAGATTTTGTGTTTCAGTAAGATGGTGCACCGTGCCATACCTCAAAAAAGGCTATAAAATGGATGGAAGAAAATAATGTACCACTTTTGAAATGGGTTTTTAGCAGTCCAGATCTGTCACCTAATGAATCTTTGTGGCACGAGATTGAAAAAGGTTCTACAACATCCTGCTCGTACAATCACCGAACTGAGACAAAAGCTTCAAGAAATATGCAATTGTTTTACACCAAATTTTTGCCAAAACTTGGTTAACACTATGCCTCAAAGAATTTCAGCCGTAATAAAAAATAAAGTTGATGTTACCCAATGGTAATCTTTCAATTGTTGCTTTGTTAACTTCGCGCATTTATTCGCACATTGTTTATTTGTTCAGATGTTCTATTAGTTATAGGTCTAAGTGATTTCAAATATGTATTTTTTACTACTAGAGTGTATCTAAAATGTTTTTGAGAAAATAAATTGTTTTAAAAGTAAATAGTTTCGTAATGATAGAGATAAGAAATAAGTATATTCACTGTACACTGTCGAATTATAAGTCATGCTAACAGTAATCACACACAACACGGGTGCGTTGGTGATTCCCGTAATTCTCCTCAAGTTTTTGAAATCACAAAAAACGTGAAAAATCGTAATTTATAACTTTGAATATAACCTGTCTTCAAAAAGGACAACATATAAATAACATGTCGGGCACAGCCAATAGATACACTTCATTGGCAGCATATTCAATAATGATTTTCTCACACAGCAAATATCACTGATTTTATACGCATGCAAACCAATACACATAATCATCCAGATGCGATATTGCTATTCAACCAACTTTCTTCTCAAAGATGAAAACTATAGACTATTCGGCTTCACAAAACATATGCAACCAACAATGCGTGTAGTTGAGCTATTCCTCCATAGATGGACGCTCACAACGATCCTAGTGAGCAAACGTGGAATGACTGTTTGCACCCTAAAAATTACCTATTCTGCAAGATAGGTTTTTTACATAATACCCGTGCCGTTCTCAAAAGTAGCAATCACCCCCTCGACATCTTAAACAAATTTCGGGGGGCGCTGGAAAACAATTGATTTTCAAATTGGACAGTAGACGAAATCACTTTAAGAACCTGTCTATGGTAACGGAAAATCTAAAGAAATCTGAAAATGTAGAGAATGCGGAGTCTGAAGAAGCTCGAAGATGTAGAGATGGAGACCCTAGTGGATCTGGTGATGGAGAATCCATAACTGGGTAACGAGAATATCAGAAAAATCTAGGGTATCTAGAGATTCTGGAGGATCTAGAAAATCTAGCGAGTCAGGGATGAACCTAGATAATCTACAGAATCCGGAACATGGAGAATCTAGGAAACCTGGGGAATCGAGATAATCTTAAGAGGTGTTGCCTCGAGTTGGCGAATCTAAAGGACCTAGATGATTATAGATATCCAAATGTGGAGAATCTAATGAACTCCAGAATTCAGATAAAATCCAAAGTATCGGAAGTATCTGGAAAATATTCACACTGAAGCAGCCGCGTAGGCAGAAGCCTAGATACCAGGACACCGCAGCTAGTAGTAGTAGAAAGATTTATTTAGCACATTTGGCTACATAAACAGAATAATTGTAAACAACTTATAACTAGTAAATTCAAGCCATATGGTGTATGATGTAAATGCTGGGCAACCTATAATTGTAGATTTAACAAGTGATTTCTCAATTTTACTTTAAATTTTGTCAAAGTTTTCTGGTCTTTTATCTCCGAGTATAATTTATTATATTCAATCAACCCTTGATGGAATACAGATTTGTAGCATATGTTATACTTTTTGGTCATTAAATGGAAGTCATCTTTATTTCTGGTATTATGTAAATGGTGGTCGACATTTGATGATGTTAAATTTTTTACATTGAGCCATTTTAATTTGCTAAGCATTTGCCTAATTGGAGTATATTTATCTTTATTTAGTATTATTCTCATGCACTTATTTTGTAAAATTTGCAGTCTTTCAAAAATGGAATTATTTGCTAAATATAGAATAGTCGAACAGTACAAGAAATTTGGAAGAATGATGGTATTATAGATAATTTTTCTGCTATATGAACTCAGACATCCAGAAACTCTCGATAAATATCCCACTTTACTACTAATCTTATTTATAACTTTTTCATAATGAATATCAAAAATTAATCGAGAGTCAACAAAAACTCCCAGGTATTTAAAATTTTCTACGAATTCAATATCTTCACCATCAATATTCAGTTGAACATTTGTACATTGTTTTTTTCCGATTAACAAGGCTTTCGTTTTACTTGCATTTAATTTTAGTCTGTTAGATTTTGAGACAAGCTTCAAGTCTTCATTTATATAAGAGATACCAGACTGAATATTTTTAGTACTTATATAAATCATAGTGTCATCGGCGAAAATTTGAATTTTGCATTTTTTGACTATGGCAGGTAAATCATTTATGTATAAAATAAAAAGAAGTGGTCCCAGGATACTGCCCTGTGGAACACCCAGCGTATTTTCAATTTTTGATGAAATAGTGTCATTAACTTTTGTAACTTGCATCCTTTTAGACAAATAATTTCTAAACCAATCTAAAACACTTCCTGTTATACCATATGCCTTCAATTTACCTAACAAAATATCTCTATCAATCGTTTCAAATGCCCTCTTCAAATCCAAAAATACTGCTATGAGGAGCTTAAAGAAACTTTGTTAATCCGATTTTTTAACTGGATAATATTAGTAGTACTGAAATGTAAGTGTGACTACAGTTAGGAGAAGGTTACTTGAAGCTGGTTAAGGGATGCATAGCAGTATCGAAACCAGCGAATTGGGCCAGCCAACGTCAAGATTTTACAGTTGCTGACTGGAAGAACGTCCTCTGGAGCGGTGAATCAAAATTTGAAGTTTTTGATTCCAAAAGAAGAGTATTTGTCCGCCGTCGGCCTATCGAGAGGGCATTAGAATCATGCACAGTCGCTCCAGTCAAGCAGGGTGGAGAATCAATAATGATATGGGCCTGTTGTTGACGTTCCGCTCTGGGGGTTACAAAATCATGTTGTGCCTTTTGGGACTCGTCTTATTGGTCCGGGGTTTGTCTTTCATCATGATAATGACCCCAAACCCACATCCAAGCTCTGTTTACAATTTTTGGAAGCAAAAGAAGAACAAAATATTTTGAAAGTCCGATCCGATGAGTTGCTATGGGATGAACTGGACAACAAGTACGGAAATGTTATCCTACATCTCAAGAACAATTATGGAGAAAATTACAAGACGAACGGCGAAAAATAACCCCATCCACGTTAGAAAAATTCAGAAACGGAAAACTAGTATAGGAAAATTTACCGTAAGCTTTTTCCTCTTCTTATATCCAGCCCAACCCTGTGGCTCCAAGATGAGCTTTCCTCCGGGCCTTAGTTGAGCGTACATCCTTCTGAATGCCTGCTTGATCCCCGCGTCGCCCCAATTCAGATGAATCCATTTGGTCATGCTGAGGCACAGTATCACGTCGAACTGAGGCTGTTCATTGGCCAGTAAGGAATCGTCTTCTAAGACGTAGTTGCACTGGAACAAATAAAAAGATGTCGTACAAAACGCTAATACATACTACGAGATATCGCCATAATTATAAAACCATCAAATTTTTGGGACTGACCATTTTTTACACCGAAGCAGCCGCGCAGGAAAAGCCTAAATGATAGGGCACAGTAGCTGCTATGAGAAGCTTAAAGAAACTTTGTTAATCCGAAGTTTGAACTGACTGAGGTTAGTAGACATTGGTTACTCAACAAACAAATATTTCCTTTATGATAAGAACAATTAGTTACAATGTAGGAACATGTACAGCCTTAAGCAATTGCCTTATTTAAAAGTATATTGAGAAATATCATTCGCTTTTGTTGTGTCTGAAAATTGTTTAAAAAAATTACAAATTCTACAAAAACGTACTATTAGATATGCGTATACAGGGTGTTCCTTAATGGTATGCGAATATTAAAGGGTGTGAAGCTACAAGAAAAATTAATGTTAGTTTGCTTTATAACTATAGTCCAAAAATGTTTCCTTACAAAAACTCGGGGTGTTGAAGTTTTAGGAAAAAAATTGAAATTAATTAATATTTTCAGAACCGCTTCAGATATTTCACTGATATTTAGTACGTAGTGAAAGTTAATAAAGCTGCATATTTTTCAATGCAAAAATAATTTTTAGCTTTAACAGTAGCGTGCGTACGGGTATCGACTTCGATATTTTTCAAGAAAAAAAATGGTACGCCAATGCTTGTTTGCCAAATAAAAATTATTTTTGAATTCCCCGTTCAATTAAAAACAAATGATCTCTCTTGAATTGTTTTCCTTCGATGCGCCATTTTTGAGTAAAAAAATAAAAATCGTTCTACTGTCCGAGAAAATTGTATATGTAATGTAATAATTGAAGAACGCAATTTAGCAATAAATATCTAGTTGTTCTGGAATATGTCACTGGCTTTTGACATCTGACAAGTCTCTGTTATTCAAATCTGTTCGCTGTGACATCTTTTTCATTATTTAGTTTTTACAATTTTTTTTTTTTTTTTTATTAATAATGGTGAATTACAGACATATCCCGATCGTGCTTTGCCAAATAGTCGAACATTTTCTAATATTCATCGTCGTCTTGTTGAAACTGGTACTGTCCGAAAAGGAACATCTGAAGGTAGATCTCTAAGTGTGAGAACACCTGAAATTGAGGAAGCAGTGCTGCACCAAGTCGAAGAACATCCTGAAAGGAATACGAGGAAGATCGCTAAACACTTAAATATTTGCCATCAAACTGTTTGGAGAATTTTAGTGGATTTTTTGTTATATCCTTACCATATTTTAAGAGTACAGGCATTACTTCCCATTGATTTTTCAAGGCGTGTGACCTTTTGTCAGTGGTATCTTCAAAAAATTACACAAAATCCGCAATTTGAATCAATGATTCTGTTCACGGACGAAGCTAATTTTTCTCGAAATGCCAGAAGGAGGGCGGAAGCATACATACTAAGTGAAGGAGGCCATTTTCAACAATTTTTGTAATCATTTCGTTGGTTTTAATGTTATGTTTATGTTGTCAGTTGTTGTTCATTACCCCTAATGTGTTTAATTTTTCCAATTAAATTAATAATATTTTTTCAAGTTAGACAATAGCACGGTTTTTATTTTTTTACTCAAAAATGGCGCATCGAAAGAAAACAATTCAAGAGAGATCATTTGTTTTAAATTGAACGGGGAATTCAAAAATAATTTTTATTTGTCAAAAAACCGTTGGCGTACCATTTTTTTCTTAAAAAATATCGAAGTCAATACCCGTACGCACGCCACTGTTAAAGCTAAAAATTATTTCTGCATTGAAAATATGCAGCTTTATTAACTTATTACTAATCTCTGAAACTGTTCTGAAAATATTAATTAATTTCCATTTTTTTTTCTAAAACTTCAACAGCCCGAGTTTTTGTAAGGAAACATTTTTGGACCATAGTTTATAAAGCAAACTAACATTAATTTTTGATGTAGATTCACACCCTTAAATATTCGCATATCATTAAGGAACATCCTGTATAACTAAAAGCAATCCTACAGCTACATGCAAGCCTTCATTTGAAAATCGTCTTTGTTCATCTTAGAAACAGCAAATCTTATTTTTTTAAATAAACCTAAATATGAAACATTAATAATATGTTACAATATTAGTTGTAACTAAATCAACACTTGTAAAGGACTCAACAATTTATAATGGTCTGAAAATGTACGTCTCCCTGATACTATCAAAAGAATCAAAAATTTAAAGGTATTCCGCCGTGAACTTTTTAATATACAGGATGTTCGAAAAATAGACAAGGATGTTTTAGAGGGTGATTACTTGTTAAAAAATATGAAAAAAGTTTCTATTAAACAATGGTCTGGAAATGCAGTTTTCAATATATAAATTAAAAAAAATATCAATATCTGATAAAATATTTACTCAATTTTGTTGAAATTTGGCAATATTATTTGTTGTATTAAGAGGCTAATTTAGCCCTAAATAGATTAAAAATTATTAGGTCCATTGGATATGGTCTTACATTACCAATCGTAAGCAAATTGTAGCTATCAACGGTTTCAAATCGCTGCCAGTTACGGTTACGTCTGGCGTCCCACAAGGAAGTCATCTAGGTCCTTTATTATACTAAGTGACATATAAATCCGAACACCCAGTTTAAATGGTTTTATTTTAATAAAATTTTGTATAAGTACTTAATGAAGCATAATATGTAAATGATAACAATTCCAAAATGATTGCACTGCTTTAAAGCCCTTTGACCTTTAATAATGTGTGGATGCACCCTGATGTGCTACGCATTCTCCAACGCGCCTAGGCATGCTTCTGATCAGGTGGTCAATGTCCTCCTGTGGTATCTCATTCCAGGCAACCACCAACTCCTCTCGAAGTGCTTCTAGAGTCTGAGGAGGACGTTGCAAATTGAGCAATCTCCTACCCATCATATCCCACACGTGCTCAATTGGGGATAAGTCGGGAGATCTTGGTGGCCATGGTAACAATGTGACATCATTATGTTGAAAGAAGTCTATTGTGACTCTTGCAACATGTGGTCGGGCATTATCTTGTTGGAAAGTTGGATCTGCCAGGGTGTCAAGATAGGGTAAAAGATGGGGTTCTAGAACTAACGGTGACCTGGAACCATAAGCTATAGCACCCCAAACCATAACTCCAACAGTGTGATGAACATGTCTTTCAACAAAAAACTGTGGATTCCTCCTTTCACCACGTCGCCTTCTAACCCTGGCACGACCATCGTGCATGCCTAAACAAAATCGAGACTCGTCACTAAAGACAATACTGTTCCATTCCTGATCCCAGAGTGACCGTTGTCTGCACCACTCAAGGCGATTACGTCGGTGTTCTCGAGTTAAAGGGAGGACCCAGTATGGCCGGTATGAAAACAAGCCAAAACTTCTCATTCGTCGGTAAACACTTCGCATGCCAATATGCCAATAGGTTTTCCGTGTTCTGCAAACCATTCATTTGCAATGGACCTGGTAGTGGAGAAACGGTCCCTTAAGGCCAATAATCTTAGGCGGCGATCTTCACGGTCCGTTGTTCTACGGCGGCGTCCAGTGCCCCTTGCTCTTTGCGTACGGCCTTCTCGAAGCCATGCCTGACAACACCTAACCACAGTGTCTACACTTCTTTGCACTCTAACTGCAATTGCCCGAAAAGAAAGTCCAGCTTCCCGAAGTCACACTATACGGCCCCTATCAAACTCACTAAGTTGACGAAATCGTACAGGTCTCCGTACTCTAGGCATCGTAACCGATCGTAAAGGATGTCAAGGACCAAAATCCGCCAACGTTGATTCTTTACTGCGGCTGAAATATTCATTTTTAGAGCGTTAGTGAATTAAAAAAAAGCAGTATAAAAACCGGAATGTCCAACTGATAAGGCTGAAAATTTTTTCACTTGTTATTTACAGTAAGATAAAAATAAATAATAAATAAAACCATTTAAACTGGGTGTTCGGATTTATATGTCACTTAGTATATTTATATCCGGTACGTGACGGAAACTTTGATCATATTAGACAACATTTCAATATCATTACCTTAAAAAGTAGAAGAATGATGTACGACGTGTGTTTTATATACAAAATATTCATCAATTTTGACTGTCCCTATTTGCTTTCAAAAATAAATATTAATGTGCCAGATAGAAACTACCGCCATTCCAAGTTTTTCAGGATTCCCTTCTGTAGAACGAATTTAGGAGTCAACTCACCTGTAATTAGGTCCCAGAGGCTGTTTAACGATACCTCTATAAATTTGGACATTTTTGTGGTTAATTTTAACAAGTTTAAAGCAACGGTTAGGAGGCAGCTTACATAGGATAGTATCATACTATCTAATTTTGTTTGTTTGCTGTGATACTGTTGTCAACCATTAATACTTTTATACAGTATTTTATATGTTTTGTTATCAAAGCTGTCTAGTAACGTGCTCTGAGTTTGTGTTTTTTGGTGACTAGTGCGATTCATGGAATAGTGTAACTGATACATACTAATTTTTTTAAAAATTAAATTTTAAATTTATATCGTTTTATAGTAGTTGCTATATCATAGTATTGTTTATTCTCATATAGTAGGCTTGTGTTACAGATTTTCATCTTCTGGATTTTGTAATCTATGTATCTTTTTATTTTATCACTATAGTAAGCAGCGGGTGCTGTCTTTGGAATTCACATTCTGTTGCACCCCAAACATGAGTAAATAAATAAATAAATAAATGAAAGTGACTATTTGGTGCGGTATTTGTGCTGGTATGGTCATTGGGCCGTTCTATTTCGAAGATGAAGCTGGCAAAGCGGTAACCGACAATCAGGAGCGTTATCGCGATATGGTAACCGATTTTTTTATGCCAATTGTTCGAGACAATGGTATTGAGCATTTCTGGTTTTAACAAGATGGCGCTCCACCACACACAGCTCGAGCTACTATCGATTTTTTGAAACGATTGTTCCCTGGACGTCTGATGTCGAAAAATGGTGATTTCGACTGGCTACCGCGTTCACCAGATTTAACGGCTCCAGACATCTTTTTGTGGGGCTACTTGAAATCGAAGGTTTATGTCGACAAGCCAAGGACCCTAGGCGCACTTAAGGCCAACATCCGACAGGAAATAGCCGCCCTATCAACCGAAACATTGGCCAAAACGATGGAAATGCTGCATCACGGGCACTTTTCGCTGTACAGGCTCATGGCGGTCGTTTAAGAGATATCGGTTTCAAATAATGATGTTCACAAATCTCATTGAACACAAATAAACGATATTTGAAATGAACAGTAAAAAATGTGATTTTTTCCTATGATTTAAAAAAAACATATTTTCGTCGAAGATGGCCAACCCAGTACATAACAAATATAAAATCGACATTCCAAAAGAGAAGAGGCTTGGTACAACCATTTTTTCACCTCCCCCTGAAAATTTAGTTTATATGAGCATTTATTTAACATCAACTGGATAGAGTGATTAGCATTTACAACAGATATTATGCACAACACTATACTTCGAAGTTGAGTCATTTATTTTAACAGTGAGTAGATCTGATCAAAAGAAATGTTTTTTCCTTTACCATTTTTCTGGTAAAATTAAATTAACAAAGTTATAGCCCTTTGGAAGTTTGAGTACCGCCCTGTCTCAATAATAATATTATGTGCTCGTGTTTGGTTCATCGCATCGGAAACAAAAAAGCGAAAGAATTTGGAACGATGTTTTTACAATTATTTTAGTCAGTTGTATACAGTCAGTGTCAGTCGGTAACGCGTTTGAATAGTGGTGTCTGTTGCGTGGCTCAAACGAAATAAAAAATGGCACATGTTTATGCGGATCGGTTTCCCAATCGAGTGCAACCAACCCCTCGTGCCTTTGTTAATGTAGTACAAAGGGCTCGTGAATCAGGTGACTCAAGACCTCACAGGGGAGGGCATGCCGGTGCTCCAAGACCTCACGATCAAAGACAGGTCCGCACTGAAATACTTATCGGGAGGATACTTTATAAAACAAGGTAAAAAAATTTTTTTATTTTTTTTTTATTTAACAGTAATTACACACAACGCGGGCGCGGTGGTGATTTCCCTTAATTCTCAAAGTTTTTGAAAACACAAAAACGTAAAAAATCGTAATTTATAACTTTAAACATAACCTGCCTTCAGAAGGACAACATATGTTTACATAGCCCGTCGGACACAGCTAATAGATATACTTCATTGGCAGCATATGGAGTAATGATTTTCTCTCACCGATTTTATACACATGCCAGTCCAATACACACAATCGTCCAGATGCGATCCTGCTATTCAACCAACTCTCTTCTCAGAGATGAAAACTATAGACTACTCGGCTTCACAAAACATATGCAACCATCAATGCGTGTAGTTGAGTCATCCCTCCATAGATGGACGCTCACAACGATCCCAGTGAGCAAACGTGGAATGACTGTTTGCACCCGAAGAAGTACCTAGACTCCAAGATGACATTTTATAGGTTTTTTTGACGATTTATAGATTTTTTACATAATACCCGTGCCTATCTGTTTCTTCGCGGTACATCAGTGAGGCACATGTTCGGTGCGTGCTCAGTCTGGACGGAAATAAACATTTCAAGTCAAGGTGGCCTACTGTGTAGTTACTAGTAGTGCAAGGAAAAAGATTATTGTTATCAAAGACTATTTTTATTGCTTCCTTTTAGCAAGAAACCGAATAGTTGATGATAGTCTTTCTTCAGCTGCTTTAGTTTTTCTAAAGGATATGTCTTGTCGTTCTACCCTTGTATGATACAATTTAATAGTAAAAACAAATATTCTTGGGACATCTTGGTAAAATTTTTGAAAAACCCTTTAGTTTCATCGGCCAAGAGATCTTTTAACAAACATGTGCTATTTTCATTCAATTGTCTTCTACTATTAAGAAATACAGGGTGTCCGCAAAGTTGGGGTTTTCCTTTACACGACGTGTAGATCTTGAAAACATAAGCAATTTTTCTTAGTACCATATACACCAATGTCTTAAGGGAACCGAGATAAAGGGCTCTGCAACATCAAAAATATCTGAATACTGTCCTGTAGCCGCGACCCGCGATATCACCGACTGGTACAAGTGGGTCGGGGTCAGTGTGTCAGGTCAGTATGCAAGCTTCAACCGACGGTTACGGTCACGCGTGTAGAGTTAAACGAACCCGTATAATCGATTGCGTTTCAAAAAACAACAAGCACTAGAGACGTGGCTAGAGACGTGCAAGTATCAAAAACTAAAGTGTGGCAAACGCTGCGTGAAGAGGGGCTGTATCCGTTTCACGTCCAACGTGTATAAGCCCTTCAACCTGACGATTTTCCAGCAAGAGTGCGGTTTTGTGAGTGGCTGTTGCATTAACATGACAATAATCCGGACTTTTTGAAGTGCATATTGGTGACAGACGAATCTACGTTCACGCGTAATGGGGTGAATAACTTTCGCAACACTCATGTTTGGTCAGTAGAAAATCCGCACGCTGTCCGTCGGGCACATTTTCAACAAACATTTTCGGTGAATGTTTGGGCTGGCATGGTGAACGGTATGCTCATTGGACCATTTATTCTCCCAAATTTGTCATATTTGTTACCTCTGTTCGTGACCTGCACCACCGCCGGCGTCTGCTCGGTAGTGCATCAGCTGATTTCATTTTCTGTTGGAGCGGTATGATTTCAGGCAGAGACGTACTTAGCCCTTCTGGTCAACTGGAGAGTGAGTACTTTTTCCTTTATTTTTTTTGTTTCACTACACATTACCTTTGTTATTTCATGGGTAGTTGTTTCTGAAAAGGAAAACCCCAACTTTGCGGACACCCTGTATTTGTGACGACCAGCGTTATTGTCTTTCTTTTTTAATACTCTGGTTAAAATTATAAAATACGCAGCGCGTTCACTATCAGAATATAAACCGGCCATATTTTAAGCTACTGAAATACAAGAATGCTCACCACATGGATCAATGCCGAACAACGCCTCGTGCATCCACTATTCAGAAACCCGAACTTCCCGTATCCGAGACAGATGGTTCGTCCTTGGCTTGCCTCATTCGCGTTCGTGCTCATGCATGCCAAAATAAAAATATACCACCAACGCTACGGAGTACCACAGGGATCTATCCTCGGACCCTATCTGTGGAACCTATACGTTGTAAGCAAGCACTGTTACTGTTAAGCATTCTTGTTGCACCCACTAGCCTTGTTTTTTAGGGTAACGACGAAAACTTAAATGGTCTGACCTTCAGCCTGCCGACACGTAAAGAATTTGTATCATCCATAGGCCAAATTTTCTTTTCTCAGAAAATGTTCTTGGAATTTATTTAGAACAGGTTCCAGCTTGTGTTTATCGTCATCTTAGAACTTGAAGCTCGTTAAGATTCTGAATCCTTCATTCCCGATATAATGAAGTGATTGTGCTACTTGCGTTTTCTCGTCTTTTTTATTCACTGCGGATGCAATTAAATAATTCTCAAGCCTGGCCCTCCATAGGTTCCAATTCTCCGCCATGTTGCCTTAGTCGCATCCATGATCACCCATCTTATTTTTTGAATTTAAGCTGTTTTACCAAGCCTCTCGTGGATTTAGATAGATAACGTAATAGTGCTGAATTTCACAATTTTACTCTGGCTGTGCCATGTTATAAATTGTTCTAATTGTAATTCATCAAATCGTCATTAAGCGCCATATCGTCAGTCGTTCATACAATTTATTGTAGGACGCCTTTACGGCCCCCTTGATTTGCATATTTTTCTACTGTTCCGTGTCAGCGCTCTATATTGAGGTTATGTTACAAACATCTATTTGCATCAAACTATTCATGCTTTTGATTTATATCACCTGATATATCAGCCGGAAATTTCCCACAACTAAAAAAGAAAACATAGCCTCACAATAGGAGAGCGTTAACGCGGACTTGCAATACCCCAGCCTTTTTGAAGGAGAGAAAACACTATGGAAATCAAGGAGGCCATGAAGGGCGTCCTACAATTATTGTAGGAACGACTTACGATACGACCCTTGAACGTGGGTTTACGTTTAACACTGTTTATTAATTGCCAAGGAGGCACATAATACATACCACTAGATATGCAACAAGATATACAAGTATTTAACTAAGGGTTGCATACCCTCACAGTTAGTATGACTTTGACGTGATACCTAAATGGCAATTCGAAGTTGACAGTTATAGTTTTTTTCTACCGACTGCGCATGATTTCGTACGAAATTTATTACAAAAATTTATTATCGTGACAGATAGGATTGTTAGTTGTAAACAAATTGGGAACTAAATTTGGTAGCAAATTATGAACAAAGTTTTGTAGGTATCTTGACAGACGGCCAAAAAATATCGTACATGATATAAAAACAGACAATCCAAAAAAGACAACCTAAGAACACGTCATAATAACAACCTACAGTATACCTTAATTCACGAGTATTCATCACGCTCTGACATCTACTGAGGTGAACAACTGATCAGCGATGACATGTTTGTGTTAGTCGTTAGTCTGCAACGTTGGCTATAATCACATAATGGGTGTAAATCTAGCAAAAATGTTTTGCTTTTTGTACGCAAATGAACTTTCCTAAATAAAAGAGAGCTTGTGTTAAGTGGGGTAACTATTGTTTAAAATGTTTCAGGCTAGGGAAATCAGCAAGAGCATTTATTTTAGTAAATGGTACAAGTACAGCCCTCTCGCAAAACCGGTATTAATCATCATTGGCAGGACAGCAAGGCTTAGCAAGATAGTTCCATGTGGTATATGGGAATTGAACTTAGAAACGGGTCTTATGGTAAGAAGAAACTCAACAGATTGTATGTGTGATCTTTTTACACTTTTACACCCAAGAAGCTGTCAAAAAATAAACATTATGTAGCAACCTCACACATTTGGTCTTTGAGGTCGCTGATTTTAAATCTGCTGTTGAAAAACAGCCATTCAATATGGCGTATCAAATATGGCGTCGGATCTTTAAAATAAGTTGATATTATGATGTTTGATAGGTGATAGGATCATTATAATATCATAGTGATTGCCGAATACGAAGGATTGTTTAAAAAACAAAGACATTGTATTTCAAACATAACAAACAAGAAAGAACAATATGTATATCTATTTATAGCAATACTTAAAAACCTCATAAAAATTGATGTCTGAAAGACCTAATCTGAGGTTAAATAGATTTTTGAAGTTTGACGATCTGTCATAGCAAAGGTAGCGTAAACAAGAATCAAATCCAAGCGAATAACCAAAATGTCTGTGTTATGTGCCGCGGTTATAATATGGTTCAAGATGACACACGGGTTGATGACGTCAGTTACACGAATCGCATGAACGCGTTGGTTTTAACCGCGGTTTTGTTGCAAGTTGTTTATCTTAGAAAAGCGCGTATATAATCTCTGATTATTTTTATTATCACTTAATAATCGGTGCTTTTTCGTCTACAACTGTATATGGAAAGTTTAAATAAGAAACCTTTCATAATATTCATGGGAGAAATGTTTTTTCAGATTTTTTTTTAATGATGGAACCATGGCTTTGTAGCTATGATAACTTTTAATTCTCTTAATTTTTCCGCATGTCAAAGAAAACATTTATTGATTCAGCAGAAATGATGAAAAAAGAAATTAGCAAAACCGTATACAGGTGGATATCATCTAGTGAGTTTATATGGCCATATTTTAATATTCTTGTGGTATATGGCTACACAGGATACTTTGTTAAGCATAGAAACTACATTTAAACTGTCCCCAACAACCGTAATGAGTATAACTAATAAGGTGCTCCACTTTATGGTAAAACTAAAGTCAGCCTGTATCATTTTTCCCAAAAATGAAGCTGAAGTACAATAACAATATCCAATACCCGGCAAAATTCTAGCTTGTCACATTTCAAATAATGACCAGAAATATAAAACTACTCTTGAGTTGGGTAAATACCACAATTTTGCGGTGATAACTATGACATATAACAGCTGATTCGTGACGTCACGGATCTTATAACCAAACTGATAACTACACTCGCTTGAACGGATTGGTAAATACCAACCCAAAATGGTAAATACCATTTCCATTTGGTTATCCGCTTGAATTTGATTAAGATTTTGTTAAAGAGATAGCGATAAATACCGTCCATATCCATTATTTTCATTTTTTACTTATTGCCGATTATATACGACTCTTCTACCGCTATATCAATGGATTTTATCTCTCAGACATCTCCTCCATGATGCCGGCGCGCGATGAGCCTGCCCGTCAGACTCTCCTAACTTCACCCTACCACCCTAACCATGACGAACTTGCCCCTAGGGTATCGAGACTGTAGAACAATCTGTCTGCAGAGGCTTTTCCCAGTTCTGCTAACCTTAGGCGGTTCAAAAATCGGTAGACAAATATTAGGCGCATATTTCATCTTTTACATTTTGAACTTTATATCAGTAGGGGTACCCACAGTACGGCATTTTTTACTGGAAGTTGTATCATTAAGTTTTAGTGTTCTATATGTTAAAGGCTGTTCTTGTATCACCCAAAATATGTAGGGTTTTTATTGAATTGTATTTTTCAGGTAGTTAGGGGAATTGTATCCTATGCGATGTTCCTGAGGACAGCAGATAGTTTATCTAATGGACAGAATAATTAATGAATGATTGAGTGCAATATGAAAATGCTTAACATTTTGATACCATACGTTTTCCTGTACATTGAATTTCAACTTTATTACTATTATATTTTTGTTATACAAGTGAAGAAAATGCTAAATATGTTTTGCATAAAATGACCGTACTATTATGCTGGACGTGCTATCTTTTGCCAAGTCGTCAGCATCGCGGACAATTCGTATAGTTTTCTTGATAACTCGTAAGCGTCAACTATTTGGTTTCAGCTTTAGCTAAGAGATGGCGCTTTTGCTGTAGCGCCATCTGCTGACAGTTATCTTAAGCAGAAAATATAATGCTTTGAAAGAAAAAAAACTGTAAACAAGCAGAAAATAAGATGTTTTCAAATAAAACAACCATCGTCGCTGTCAAACGCCAAGCCAAGCCAAAGCGTCTTTTGAAGTTTCATTGTTTGTCCTTATATAAGCATCGTTGTTTTGAAAACATTTTTCATAAACGATCGACGCATATGACGTTTTGTGAAGGAGCTCTAGAGAATTTCGACATTTCAACATCAAAATGTTGCAGTGAAATGTGAGTAAACACGGTGCCCTAGAAACTCAAAGTGAAAAAAAAAGTTATGCTGAGAAGCTGATGAGGATACTTGAAATCCTCCAGAACACATAAAAGCAATTGGTGATTACAATCAGTTTTACAGAAGAAAACATGGGTTTCCAATTTCATCCTCTAGCCTTCGGTGTTATGTTGCTTGTAGCTGCAGGCACAATTGCTTATACTTTTTGGAACTCGAATAGAGAGCAAAATAACAGAGGGAGGCATAACGGTTATAGCTATGATGATTATAATACTCGATATTGTGGAAGCAGCATAAGTAGTGTCAGATCTCTAGAAGACAGTGAAGATGATGATGATCTACGAAGGAGACCTGGGAAATGCACTATTTGCTTAACGAATCTTAAAGGCAGATCAATCAAGCAACTGAAATGTAGACATCAGTTTCATGAACGTTGCATTAATGTATGGTTGACTAGTAACAATACATGTCCTAACTGCAGAATGCATATCTAACACATTAGTTTATATTGTTGTGCTATTATATTTTTGCTGAATAATATGTGTTTCATTTAGGTTTGCTGATTCAGGAGAAAATGTTTGTGGCATGGTATATATTCCTCCGTTCTTTGTAAAATATTTGCCTTTTTGGTATTTTGTTGAGCCGAGCTATTTATGATAAAATATCTTGGCGCATAGGAACCCACTATGTAGAGGCCCCAGACAATGGCAGAGGTCAGCCTCTGTAGTAGTGTCGTGCTTTTGTCCTGAATAGCAGTAGCTTTGTCAATGTGACAGTAGTTTCCACTTCGCTGTCAGATTTGATAGTAATTAAATATTGCAAACTTGAAGCTATTCCATGGCTACTGCTGTACAGCATAAAAGGGCTGGGGCTGCTTTACCTTGGCTGGATGCGCCCAAAGCTTTGAGACATTGATCAATGCATTCCATACATAAATATTTATCAAAAATATATTTAGCATGATTTGGGAAATATTAGGATTTGGTCACCTTAGAAAATTCGCTACCGCCCCCGCTCTTCAAATGGTTTTGGGTCAGATACACGCCCACAAGAAGTTATCTCTTGTCAATGGTCGTGCTACTCGTCCTCCCTTGAGATTGAGATAAATGCCTGGGAACGCCTATGAGTGCACCATTATTCTTACTTCCCCCACTTCTAACACTTTCCCGACAAAAGTCGTTGATCCTGGATCTCGGGGATTCCCCACATGACGGGAAAGTGTATTTACACCCAAGATAGAATGGATGCGTGATTGCCAAAAGCAAGGACGGCGTACAGGGCCGCATTCAGGGCTACCTACTACTGATGGACTACCACCAACGTGTTGTAAAACAAAGATGACAGTATTTAACGAAATTATCTAATATCAAAGCAAAAATTGATACCGTGAACTACTTCGATCTATTTACCTGCCGGATTTTTCAATCCGGTCGACAGTCCATCTAGAAATGCCCTTCTGAATGGAGTCACAGTTTTGTCAACCCATACCTTCGGAGTAGCGTGCCCAGCGTTAATCCAGGTTTCGTCCAGGTAATAGATCTTCCTGTGCTGATCCCTGAATGATTTAATTTTGGTCAGGTACTCTCTCCTCCACAGAACAATTTCTTCTCTATCCATAAGTAAGCTGTTACGACCTCGTTTCTTCCATTCGAAATTAAGATGCTTCAAAAGTTTATGAATAGTCGCCAGGCGACCGCTTGAAATTTAATGGCAAATTGACCAATAAGAGGCGTTGTCCCCCACCTGCTACCGAGAGATCACGCGCTAACTGTTATTATTTACATCTCATCTTGAATTTGGATTCAGTAGTCCTCAAATACCCAATTTTAAATTTCTTTACTACGTGCCATCTGTTCGTGAACCTTGACATTGTAAACAATTTTAATTATAAAGGAAACTGTAAGAACTCACTGCAAGACAGTCTTATGTGTTTTGTGAGGTAAGCTAGTTGAGCTTTCGTTGAATAGAGGCCACTAACAAAGAAACTAGTACTGCGCCATCTGTCGGTTATTCAGTGTAGTAAGCGTTGAATACTGGACAGTTGTAAGGATTCTATATGCTCTTGGAAGGTAGTTAGATCTTTTATCACTATAGGGCAGACGCCTCTTTTAAAATAGTAAAAGACAAAACGGCGCGATCCTGATAATTTTTCATCCATTCAATATCTCGGTTTTGATAGGAATGTGTGTGATAAACGATGGATAAGAGGTTAGCATTCCGATTACAGAAGTTTCGAGAGTTAATCGTGTAAGGCGTCTGAATTTCCCTCCAATTGGATTTAATGATTTTGCAAAGAATTCTAGTCACATGCATGATAATGATGACATACAAATTTTGTATGAGGATCACAGAGCATCGAGAGGTAATCCTGTGACAGGTTTGACTTTAACGTCAATTTTGAATCTTTTCCATACCTCCTCGAGTTTTTGTGAACTGATTTCATCGATTCAATTAGACGATTTTCCAATTAACTCTTGGCCGATGAGGGGTACAATATTGATGAATGAAAATTCGGCGTGATTACAGCATCGACACATGACCGTGCGACAGGCTGAGATTTTCCGCCAATTTTGTATCGGGTGCAGAATATGTTTTCATACCTCCTCGCGTTTCCATGATCCCGATAACAAATTTTCATCAATTTATTTCGGCGATTTTGCAGGGAACTGTTGGCTGATGTGTGATAATCGGTGAATAAAAATTCGGTATCAGGATTACAGAGATAGAGATAACCGTGTGACAGGCTGAGATATTCCGTCAATTTGGTAGCAGGAGTAGAATATCGTTTTCATAACTCCTCGTGTTTCTTTGATCCTGATAACTAATTTTTATCAATTCAATTTGGCGATTATCCAAGGAACTTTTGGCTGTGTGATAATCGATTAATAAAAATTTGGTATCCGGATCGAGAGGTAACCGTGTGAACATGCTTGAATTTTCCATGAATTTTGTAGCAAAACATTTTTCCATGCCTCCTTGCGTTTCTGTGATCCCGACAACAAAATTTTATCAACTCAGTTCGTCGACTTTGCAAGGAACTCTTGGCCGATGTGTGGTAATCGATGAATAAAAATTCGGCATCAGGATTACAGAAGCATCAAGATATAACCGCGTGCCGGTTTGAACATTCTGCCAATTATGTAGCAGGAGCAGAGAGTATCTTTTCCATACGTACTCGCGTTTATGTGATCCTGATACGGTTTTGTCCATTTAGGCGATTTCGCAAAGAAATCTGTTGAGTATGTAATTGATGAATAAAACATTCCATATAGGAATTACAGAAGCACTAAGTGGTAATCGTGTGACAGGCTTATATTTTCTGTCGATTTTGAAGCAGGAAACAGAGAGCTTCTTTTCCATATCTTCTTGCATTTCTGGGATCCCAATAACAAATTTTCATCCATTCAGTTTGGCGATTTTGCAAGGAACTCTTGAGTGATGTATGATAATCGATTAATATAAATTCGCTATCAGGATTACAGAAGCATCGAGAGGTAACCGTGTGAATGGCTTATATTTTCCGTCGATTTTGAAGCAGGAAGCGAGAGATTCTTTTCTAACATATACCTCCTTGCGTTTTTGGGATCCCTATAACAAATTTTCATCCATTCAGTTTGGCGATTTTGCAAGGAACTCTTGAGTGATGTATGATAATCGATTAATAAAAATTCGGTACCTGGATTACAGAAGCATCGAGAGGTAATTGCCTGTAGGTTTGAATATCCTGCCAATAATGTAGCAGGAGCAACCTGTTTGATTCTATGATTTTGCAAAGAATTCTGGTCCGATGTTGTTATTATCGATGAATAAACAGTTTGTATCATGATTATAGAAATATGGAGAGATAATCGTGTGACAGGCTCACGTTTTCCGCCAAATTTGCAGCAGGAGCGCAGAGTATCTTTTCTATACCTCCCCGCGATTCTGTGACCCTGATAACGCTTTTTTATCCATTTTAGCGAGTTTGCAAGGAACTCTGTCGGATATGTGATAATTGATGAACAAAAAAATCTATATAAGAATTATAGAAGCACCGAGAGGTAATCGTGTGACAGGCTTATATTTTCCGTCGATTTTGAAGCAGGAAGCGAGATATTCTTTTCTATACCTCCTTGCGTTTTTGGGATCCCTATAACAAATTTTCATCCATTCAATTTGGCGATTTTGCAATGAACTCTTGACTGATGTATGATAATCGAGTAATAAAGATTCGGTATCAGGATTACAGAAGCATCGAGAGGTAATTGCGTGTAGGTTTGAATATCCTGCCAATTATGTAGCAGGAGCAACCTGTTTGATTCTATGATTTTGTAAAGAATTCTGGTCCGATGTTGTCATTACCGATTAATAAACATTTTGTATCATGATTATAGAAACATGGAGAGATAATCGTGTGACAGGCTCACATTTTCCGCCAAATTTGCAGCAGGAGCGCAGAGTATCTTTTCTATACCTCCCCGCGATTCTGTGATCCTGATAACGCTTTTTTATCCATTTCGGCGAGTTTGCAAGGAACTCTTTTGGATATGTGAATTGATGAACAAAAAATTCTGCATAAGAATTATAGAAGCACCGAGAGGTAATCGTGTGACAGGCTTATATTTTCCGTCGATTTTGAAGCATGAAGCGAGAGATTTTTTTCTATACCTCCTTGCATTTTTGGGATCCCTATAACAAATTTTCATCCATTCAATTTGGCGATTTTACAATGAACTCTTGACTGATGTATGATAATCGATTAATAAAGATTCGGTATCAGGATTACAGAAGCATCGAGAGCTAATTGCGTGTAGGTTTGAATATCCTACCAATTATGTAGCAGGAGCAACCTGTTTGATTCTATGATTTTGTAAAGAATTCTGGTCCGATGTTGTCATTATCGATTAATAAACATTTTGTATCATGATTATAGAAACATGGAGAGATAATCGTGTGACAGGCTCACATTTTCCGCCAAATCTGCAGCAGGAGCGCAGAGTATCTTTTCTATACCTCCCCGCGATTCTGTGATCCTGATACCGGTTTTTTATCCATTTAGGCGTGTTCGCAAGGAACTCTGTCGGATCTATGATAATTGATGAACAAAAAATTCTATATAAGAATTATAGAAGCACCGAGAGGTAATCGTGTGACAGGCTTATATTTTCCGTTGATTTTGAAGCAGGAACCGAGAGATTCTTTTCTATAGCTCCTTACGTTTTTGGGATCCCTATAACAAATTTTCATCCGTTCAATTTGGCGATTTTGCAATGAACTCTTGACTGATGTATGATAATCGATTAATAAAAATTCGGTATCTGGATTACAGAAGCATCGTGAGGTAATTGCGTGTAGCTTTGAATATCCTGCCAATTATGTAGCAGGAGCAACCTGTTTGATTCTATGATTTTGCAAAGAATTCTGGTCCGATGTTGTTATTATCGATGAATAAACAGTTTGTATCATGATTATAGAAATATGGAGAGATAATCGTGTGACAGGCTCACGTTTTCCGCCAAATTTGCAGCAGGAGCGCAGAGTATCTTTTCTATACCTCCCCGCGATTCTGTGATCCTGATAACGCTTTTTATCCATTTAGGCGAGTTTGCAAGGAACTCAGTCGGATATGTGATAATTGATGAACAAAAAATTCTATATAAGAATTATAGAAGCACCGAGAGGTAATCGTGTGACAGGCTTATATTTTCCGTCGATTTTGAAGCAGGAACCGAGATATTCTTTTCTATACCTCCTTGCGTTTTTGGGATCCCTATAACAAATTTTCATCCATTCAATTTGGCGATTTTGCAATGGACTCTTGACTGATGTATGATAATCGATTAATAGAAATTCGGTATCTGGATTACAGAAGCATCGTGAAGTAATTGCGTGTAGCTTTGAATATCCTGCCAATTATGGAGCAGGAGCAACCTGTTTGATTCTATGAGTTTGCAAAGAATTCTGGTCCAATGTTGTTATTATCGATGAATAAACAGTTTGTATCATGATTATAGAAATATGGAGAGATAATCGTGTGACAGGCTCACGTTTTCCGCCAAATTTGCATCAGGAGCGAAGAGTATCTTTTCTATACCTCCCCGCGATTCTGTGATCCTGATAACGCTTTTTCATGCATTTTGGCGAGTTTGCAAGGAACTCTGTCGGATATGTGATAATTGATGAACAAAAAATTCTATATAAGAATTATAGAAGCACAGAGAGGTAATCGTGTGACAGGCTTATATTTTCCGTCGATTTTGAAGCAGGAAGCGAGATATTCTTTTCTATACCTCCTTGCGTTTTTGGGATCCCTATAACAAATTTTCATCCATTCAATTTGGCGATTTTGCAATGAACTCTTTGACTGATGTATGATAATCGATTAATAAAGATTCGGTATCAGGATTACAGAAGCATCGAGAGGTAATTGCGTGTAGGTTTGAATATCCTGCCAACTATGTAACAGGAGCAACCTGTTTGATTCTATGATTTTGCAAAGAATTCTGGTCCGATGTTGTTATTATCGATTAATAAACATTTTGTATCATGATTATAGAAACATGGAGAGATAATCGTGTGACAGGCTCACATTTTCCGCCAAATTTGCAGCAGGAGCGCAGAGTATCTTTTCTATACCTCCCCGCGATTCTGTGATCCTGATAACGCTTTTTTATCCATTTCGGCGAGTTTGCAAGGAACTCTTTTGGATATGTGATAATTGATGAACAAAAAATTCTGCATAAGAATTATAGAAGCACCGAGAGGTAATCGTGTGACAGGCTTATATTTTCCGTCGATTTTGAAGCAGGAAGCGAGATATTCTTTTCTATACCTCCTTGCGTTTTTGGGATCCCTATAACAAATTTTCATCCATTCAATTTGGCGATTTTGCAATGAACTCTTGACTGATGTATGGTAATCGATTAATAAAGATTCGGTATCAGGATTACAGAAGCATCGAGAGGTAATTGCGTATAGGTTTGAATATCCTGCCAATTATGTAGCAGGAGCAACCTGTTTGATTCTATGATTTTGTAAAGAATTCTGGTCCGATATTGTCATTATCGATGAATAGACATTTTGTATCATGATTATAGAAACATGGAGAGATAATCGTGCGACAGGCTCGCATTTTCCGCCAAATTTGCAGCAGGAGCTCAGAGTATCTTTTTTATACCTCCCCGCGATTCTGTGATCCTGATAACGCTTTTTTATCCATTTAGGCGAGTTTGCAAGGAACTCTGTCGGATTTGTAATAATCGATGAATAAAAAATTATATTCAGAATTATAGAAGCACCGAGAAGTAATCGTGTGACAGGCTTATATTTTCCGTCGATTTTGAAGCAGGAACCGAGAGATTCTTTTCTATACCTCCTTGCGTTTTTGGGATCCCTATAACAAATTTTCATCCATTTAATTTGGCGATTTTGCAATGAACTCTTGACTGATGTATGATAATCGATTAATAAAGATTCGGTATCAGGATCACAGAAGCATCGAGAGGTAATTGCGTGTAGATTTAAATATCCTGCCAATTATGTAGCAGGAGCAACCTGTTTGATTCTATGATTTTGTAAAGAATTCTGGTCCGATGTTGTCATTATCGATGAATAAACATTTTGTATCATGATTATAGAAACATGGAGAGATAATCGTATGACTGGCTCACATTTTCCGCCAAATTTGCAGCAGGAGCGCAGAGTATCTTTTCTATACCTCCCCGCGATTCTGTGACCCTGATAACGCTTTTTTATCCATTTTAGCGAGTTTGCAAGGAACTCTGTCGGATATGTGATAATTGATGAACAAAAAACAAAAGAATTATAGAAGCACCGAGAGGTAATCGTGTGACAGGCTTATATTTTCGTCGATTTTGAAGCAGGAAGCGAGATATTCTTTTCTATACCTCCTTGCGTTTTTGGGATCCCTATAACAAATTTTCATCCATTCAATTTGGCGATTTTGCAATGAACTCTTGACTGATGTATGATAATCGATTAATAAAGATTCGGTATCAGGATTACAGAAGCATCGTGAGCTAATTGCGTGTAGGTTTGAATATCCTGCCAATTATGTAGCAGGAGCAACCTGTTTGATCCTATGATTTTGCAAAGAATTCTGGTCCGATGTTGTTATTATCGATGAATAAACAGTTTGTATCATGATTATAGAAATAGGGAGAGATAATCGTGTGACAGGCTCACGTTTTCCGCCAAATTTGCAGCAGGAGCGCATAGTATCTTTTCTATACCTCCCCGCAATTCTGTGATCCTGATAACGCTTTTTTATCCATTTTGGCGAGTTTGCAAGGAACTCTGTCGGGTTGTGTGATAATCGATGAATAAAAAATTATATTCAGAATTATAGAAATACCGAGAGGTAATCGTGCGAGGTCTGGATTTCCCGCCAAAACACTTTTTCCATACCTCCTCGCGGTTCTGATATCCTGGCAGTTTTTCCTTCACTCAATTTGACGATTTTGCTAAACAACATTCTATAATCACGGATTATAGTGGTGATAGAATTGGAATGCCAGCATTCAGTATCATATCGGACAGATATATTTTGTAAAATTGATTGATGATTAGCAAGTTCCAAATTATGAAAAACAATTTGCTGTTACTCAACTGTCACGTTCGCGCCTGTTTTTTACGATATGTCATTTATTTTTGGTAACTCCAATGCGTGCGAATGGAAAATAAAACTCGCCTTAAAAAAGAAAAAATAATACTTTAATGCATGTACATATATACAAAAAGCCAGTAACAAACTCAAAAAAAAAAATCAATGCATAAATATGTACAATCCCCTTTCATTCTTGCTTCAAGTATTATCCTTCACAAGAGATCCCCCTGCGTCTGACGCCACAGTCCTAACCTCACTTTCCAAACTTTGTTCGTTCGGCGTTGCCGTCCGCACATCCGACTTTGCCGATTCTTCAGGGTCTTCCTTCTTTTCAGCAGCCAATCGGTCTTCGAGTTTGTCTTTGTCATCGACAGTGGCGGGCATGGAGTTATCGAAGTCTTCGTCCATGTCGCAGCTGGAGCCGTCTGCGTTCTTCAATCGTCGTTTTTCCAATTCTTCACGCAATTCTTCTGCTATTTGGTCGTTCAGATCTGCGTTGTCGTCCGCGGAAACGCAGTATCTGAAACAAATTACAGATATTATTATCTGCAACAGAACAGAAAAATAGAGAACAGAACTGCAACATAATTGATTTTAATGGCATCTATCAAAAGAAAAAAAAAACAGCCAATAATCCACTTAAGATGTCTATTATTCGTCTAAAGGACATGTCATCGATCGACTATCTTTAAATGTCAGCGTTGTCAGCTCTCGGACTGCCTGAGATTTCCTTTTTTATCACTGATGGCTCATATTTCATTTAATTTAGAAAATTTACAATTTTTGGAAAAATGATGGTATAACGTTTTTTATACAGGGTGACGGGAAAATAGATGCGGAGCCGGTGGGGGGGAGATAGTACAAGCCAATCTGAGACGATTTTACTATAGGAACTACTGTCCGAAAATTAGCCGTTTTCGAATTATACTGATTTTTAAGATCTTATAAAATTAACGTTAACAAAGTCATAAAACTTGAAAATTGGGTGTTTCATTTGTTTTTTTTTGTTTTACAATAAAAATATTCTAAAATACGAAAATTGATACTCAAATGTACATTATTGATGTTATCTCATGCAGTAAGCTTCAAAATAGTTCCATTTTTGTTAAAAAAAATATTCGTTCATCTTAAAAACTCAATTTACTAGAAACAATCACCTACAATTTTTTCGTGAAAAACAATTTTAAAATGTCTACGTTTAATTACCTTTCAAATGAGGTATCAAAGTCACAAACCGGTTTAGAAATGACAAAAATATGAGTGAAAGAAACAGGTAGAGCCGCGAACATCGGACTGCCACCGGAATAGTGTGATAAGACTAGTCACCCCCTCCCTCCCCCGCTTCAGTGTCCTCTTGCGATTTGATGCATTCGGATGTGTTTGTTTGCTCGCTGTTTTGATATTTCTAACGACTTGGCTCTTGTTGGGCTTGGCTGCTGTGTGACTTGATTGTTCGTTGATCGACCTATCGATGAACAATGGATAATGAACAAGGGAGGCGGCCGTTCAGTTTCAAAGAATATGCCGATATCCTTTTCTACTACGGAGATGCCAGAGGCAATGCTGAGGAAGATAGTCGTGAGTATAAGTTTGCATCATTGATAATTATTACCTTATCATAATCAGTCATTCTTACACCCACGTAATCGCCTTGAGTGGTGCAGACAACGGTCACTCTGGGATCAGGAATGGAACAGTATTGTCTTTAGTGACGAGTCTCGATTTTGTTTAGGCAAGCACGATGGTCGTGCCAGGGTTAGAAGGCGACGTGGTGAAAGGAGGAATCCACAGTTTTTTGTTGAAAGACATGTTCATCATACTGTTGGAGTTATGGTTTGGGGTGCTATAGCTTATGGTTCCAGGTCACCTTTAATCTTCATCAGAGGTAACATGAATGCGCAGCGTAATATCCACGAAGTTCTAGAACCCCATCTTTTATCCTATCTTGACACCCTGGCAGATCCAACTTTCCAACAAGATAATGCCCGACCACATATTGCAAGAGTCAGAATAGACTTCTTTCAACATAATGATGTCACATTGTTACCATGGTCACCAAGATCTCCCGACTTATCCCCAATTGAGAACGTGTGGGATATGATGGGTAGGAGATTGCTTAATTTGCAACGTCCCCCTCAGACTCTAGAAGCACTTCGAGATGAGTTGGTGATTGCCTGGAATGAGATACCACAGGAGGACATTGACCACCTGATCAGAAGCATGCCTAGGCGCGTTGGAGAATGCGTAGCACATCAGGGTGCATCCACACATTATTAAAGGTCAAAGGGTTTTAAAGCAGTGCAATCATTTTGAATTTTTTATCATTTACTTATTAGACTTCATTAAGTACTTATACAAAATTTTATTAAAATAAAACCATTTAAACTGGGTGTTCGGATTTATATGTCACTTAGTATAGTCATATTTTTGCCAATTCTTAATCGATTTGTGATTTTTATACCTAATTTGAAAGGTAATGAAACGTAGATGTTTTCTAATTATTTTGTACGAAAAATTTGTATGCGACTTTTTTTTAGTAAATTGAAGCTTTTGAGATGAACGAAGATTTTTTTAACAAAAATCGAACTATTTTGAAGCTTACTGCATGAGATAACGTCAATAATGTACATTTGAGTATCAACTTTAGAATATTTTTATTGTAAAACAAAAAAAACAAACAAATGAAACACCCAATTTTCAAGTTTTATGACTTGGTTAACGTATAAAGGACGTGAATTTTATAAAATCTTAAAAATTAGTATAATTCGAAAACGGCTAATTTTCGGACAGTAGTTCCTATAGTAAAATCGACTGAGATTGGCTTGTACTATCTCCCCCCACCGGCCCCGCATCTATTTTCTTGTCACCCTGTATAGTATACTAGTTAATTTAATAGCTGTATGTGCTCAAAATTATGGGTTTTAGGTATATATATGAATTTAAATATACAGGGAAAAACAAATTTGTCTGACGGCTTGAGTACAAAGTGTACAAAAGAGAAGCGCGAAAAGTGTGTTCTAACGCACGTTAGAAAGAGATAGAAGCCGGCTGAAGACCGAACATCATCACCACATCGCCTAGCAACGGTGAGGCACAATCTGCCGCGTTGCCAATATGTTATACCAGAAAATGTTCGTACAGGCTTGTACATGAGTTATTGTTACATTTTGCGACACGGAGCGGTCGGAAAATGTAACAAATACCCTTACGCAATGCAAATTATCACTACCTGCGTGTACGGAGGTGAAAACCATTTGAGAAGCAGGACGACATTTCCCAATGAGCGCCAGATGGGTACTGACCAAAATCGCTCATCTATGATCATGGGGGTGGAAACCTTGCCTTGGAATGTACAAGGTGTGGCGTTGCCAAGTGAACCACTTCGACGTAAAATAACATATTGGCAATGCGGCAGATCGCCGCGTCAGCGTTGCTAGGCAACGCGGTGATGAGCTCCGGTATCCGGCCGACTTCTATTTCTTTCTAACAAATGTGTCTATACACACTTCTCTCTCATACACATTGAACTCAAGCAGTCAGATAAATTGTTGTTGTATGAGAGTAGTCTGTTATATATTTTAGAGCCAAAAGATATGTCAAATAACGTTGATTAATTTTTCTATGACTCATTGGTATCTACATCGTGTGTTATCTTGATAGACAGATTCCGAGAATGCAAAACCAAAAGAATAATTGCGAAAGAGATTGAAGGATGATCCTTCCATGGCAGGTTGAGGTAATGTTTAAGAATCAACCACTTTTTTTACACGCAGTTTGATTGTGTTTTTCTCTTCTCTTTTTCAAAAATTTCCCATAACCTAGCCTGGAATGGAAGAAACGTTTTAAATGCCAGATGAGAACACGACACACAAAATGGCAGATTTTTATATCCTTTCGGGAGCAAATTTAGGTTGAACCAGGGCAGAGTGATCCAAACATAACAACTGCACCACTGTTGTCAAAAAAAAAACTGTTGTAAGTTCATCAAAGGTATAACTTGTTCAAGGTTATAGGCATGGTTTTATCCGCGAAAATATACAGGGTGTTCAAAGTGTATGGGATAGATCAAAACATCTAGAAAAATACGTTTACAGAGAAAAATGTAGCGTTTGAAAATATTCATCCATTAGTGAACAGGACCTTGACTTGGACCTTCAAGGTCATTTGAAGGTCAAGACAGTTTTTTTAAACGAAACCCTTATTTTTGACACCGGTGATGTAAAGAGAAGGAAATTTTACGTTAAAGTATGCCTTTGCCCATATGACCTTGAGGTATCCAGAAAGTAGGAAAAGGATAAAATATCTCGAATAATACGTTTCATAAAGAAAAATTTTGTGTAATAAAGCTGTAAAGATTGAAAAAATACATCTGATGGTGAACTTGACAGTGACCTTCAAGCTCATTTGAAGTTTTCTAAAGTGGAAATATACTAAGTGACATATAAATCCGAACACCCAGTTTAAATGGTTTTATTTTAATAAAATTTTGTATACGTACTTAATGAAGCATAATAAGTAAATGATAAAAATTTCAAAATGATTGCACTGCTTTAAAGCCCTTTGACATTTAATAATGTGTGGATGCACCCTGATGTGCTACGCATTCTCCAACGCGCCTAGGCATGCTTCTGATCAGGTGGTCAATGTCCTCCTGTGGTATCTCATTCCAGGCAACCACCAACCCCTCTCGAAGTGCTTCTAGAGTCTGAGGAAGACGTTGCAAATTGAGCAATCTCCTACCCATCATATCCCACACGTGCTCAATTGGGGATAAGTCGGGAGATCTTGGTGGCCATGGTAACAATGTGACATCATTATGTTGAAAGAAGTCTATTGTGACTCTTGCAACATGTGGTCGGGCATTATCTTGTTGGAAAGTTGGATCTGCCAGGGTGTCAAGATAGGGTAAAAGATGGGGTTCTAGAACTTCGTGGATATAACGCTGCGCGTTCATGTTACCTCTGATGAAGATTAAAGGTGACCTGGAACCATAAGCTACAGCACCTCAAACCATAACTCCAACAGTGTGATGAACATGTCTTTCAACAAAAAACTGTGGATTCCTCCTTTCACCACGTCGCCTTCTAACCCTGGCACGACCATCGTGCATGCCTAAACAAAATCGAGACTCGTCACTAAATACAATACTGTTCCATTCCTGATCCCAGAGTGACCGTTGTCTACACCACTCAAGGCGATTACGTCGGTGTTCTCGAGTTAAAGGGAGGACCTAGTGTGGCCGGTATGAAAACAAGCCAAAACTTCTCATTCGTCGGTAAACACTTCGCATGCTATAGCTTATGGTTCCAGGTCACCTTTAATCTTCATCAGAGGTAACATGACCGCGCAGCGTTATATCCACGAAGTTCTAGAACCCCATCTTTTACCCTATCTTGACACCCTGGCAGATCCAACTTTCCAACAAGATAATGCCCGACCACATGTTACAAGAGTCACAATAGACTTCTTTCAACATAATGATGTCACATTGTTACCATGGCTACCAAGATCTCCCGACTTATCCCCAATTGAGCACGTGTGGGATATGATGGGTAAGAGATTGCTCAATTTGCAACGTCCTCCTCAGACTCTAGAAGCACTTCGAGAGGAGTTGGTGGTTGCCTGGAATGAGATACCACAGGAGGACATTGACCACCTGATCAGAAGCATGCCTAGGCGCGTTGGAGAATGCGTAGCACATCAGGGTGCATCCACACATTATTAAAGGTCAAAGGGCTTTAAAGCAGTGCAATCATTTTGAAATTTTTATCATTTACTTATTATGCTTCATTAAGTACTTATACAAAATTTTATTAAAATAAAACCATTTAAACTGGGTGTTCGGATTTATATGTCACTTAGTATATGTTTGAGATCGGAGATAGAAAGATCACGAAACTCTATGTTCAAGTATGTCCTTGAATATGACCATCAAGATCAGATAAATATTCAATAAAACACCTTTTTTGTCGAGGATATAAAAAAGTAAAAAATGAAATTAATTTATAAAATGTTAGGTATAAAATATTCATGGCCAAAGTTACATTACTTTGAATATCCAACTCAACGCGGGTATAGTCTAATAAGTCCAAAAGCTAAGGGGTTCCATCGACTAACCTGTTATCGAAGAGATCCGTATAAACATGTTCCACGCACTCCACATGTCCCTGAGACTCGTATTTCCCAGTGGTTTTCAGCCTGTCCGAGCTGCCGTAGCCCCCGCTCGCCAGTGGCGTCGCTTCGATCCTTTCAGAGGGAAACATCGTGCTTTTGGTGAACACCTGGATGGGTCGTCGGAATCCTCTGGATCGATGAAGCGGCATGCCCAGGATCTCGCCCTTCGCGAAACCAACGGCCGGCGATAGCAGGTACTCGCGGAACTTTTCCGGGAAGAATTCGATTGTGTTGTAGTTCTTGAAGATTGTCTCCTGGAAAAAGAAAAAAGTAGTTATTTGAAATTTGTGGTAAGCGGAAAATGATATACTAAGTGACATATAAATCCGAACACCCAGTTTAAATGGTTTTATTTTAATAAAAGTTGGTGAATGTATTTATCTTACTGTAAATAACAAGTAAAAAATTGTTCAGCCTTATCAGTTGGACATTCCGGTTTTTATACTGCTTTTTTTTAATTCACTAACGCTCTAAAAATGAATATTTCAGCCGCAGTAAAGAATCAACGTTGGCGGATTTTGGTTCTTGACATCCTTTACGATCGGTTACGATGCCTAGAGTACGGAGACCTGTACGATTTCGTCAACTTAGTGAGTTTGATAGGAGCCGTATAGTGGGACTTCGGGAAGCTGGACTTTCTTTTCGGGCAATTGCAGTTAGAGTGCAAAGAAGTGTAGACACTGTGGTTAGATGTTGTCAGGCATGGCTTCGAGAAGGCCGTACGCAAAGAGCAAGGGGCACTGGACGCCGCCGTAGAACAACAGACCGTGAAGATCGCCGCCTAAGATTATTGGACTTAAGGGACCGTTTCTTCACTACCAGGTCCAATGCAAATGAATGGTTTGCAGAACACGGAAGACCTATTGGCATGCGAAGTGTTTACCGACGAATGAGAAGTTTTGGCTTGTTTTCATACCGGCCACACTGGGTCCTCCCTTTAACTCGAGAACACCGACGTAATCGCCTTGAGTGGTGCAGACAACGGTCACTCTGGGATCAGGAATGGAACAGTATTGTCTTTAGTGACGAGTCTCGATTTTGTTTAGGCATGCACGATGGTCGTGCCAGGGTTAGAAGGCGACGTGGTGAAAGGAGGAATTCACAGTTTTTTGTTGAAAGACATGTTCATCACACTGTTGTAATTATGGTTTGGGGTGCTATAGCTTATGGTTCCAGGTCACCTTTAATCTTCATCAGAGGTAACATGAACGCGCAGCGTTATATCCACGAAGTTCTAGAACCCCATCTTTTACCCTATCTTGACACCCTGGCAGATCCAACTTTCCAACAAGATAATGCCCGACCACATATTGCAAGAGTCACAATAGACTTCTTTCAACATAATGATGTCACATTATTACCATGGCCACCAAGATCTCCCGACTTATCCCCAATTGAGCACGTGTGGGATATGATGGGTAGGAGATTGTTCAATTTGCAACGTCCTCCTCAGACTCTAGAAGCACTTCGAGAGGAGTTGGTGGTTGCCTGGAATGAGATACCACAGGAGGACATTGACCACCTGATCAGAAGCATGCCTAGGCGCGTTGGAGAATGCGTAGCACATCAGGGTGCATCCACACATTATTAAAGGTCAAAGTAAGTCCGCGATTTAGAGAAACTAAACAATACAGAGAAGATTGAAAATTTAAGGAGTCTATAGCAGTCTCTCGAAGTGGGCGCTGAAGACCTGCAGGAGGGGGGCGTAGTAATAGTACTAGTAGTAGTAGTACTACAAAGATTTGTTTAGCACGTTTGGCTACACAAACAGAATAATTGTAAACAACTTAGAATTAGTAAATTTAAGCCATATGATGTAAATGCTGGGCAAGCTATAATGGTAGATTTATCTAATGATTTCTCAATGTTACTTTGAAGTTTGTTAAAGTTTTCTAGTCTTTTGTTTCTGTATATAATTAATCATATTTAATCAACCCTTGATGGAATACAGATTTTTAGAATGTTATTTTTGGTCATTAAATGGAAGTCATCTTCATTTCTGGTATTATGTAAATGATAGGGGGTGGTAAAATGCCTAAAGAAAATTGGAGGAGCGATGAACTGATTTGGAAGGCGACGAGATGAATAATTGTTGTCCTCTCCCTTCAATTGTCAAGTGCATTTGCTCTCACAACCATCGACGCAGACGACCCTCCCCCCGTGCTTCAATGTTCAATTGTCGATACCACCCCCGCTCTTCAAAATTGTCATAAGGGCATCCGCACGGGTATTACGTACGTCGATTTTTTTTTGACATTACGAGCTATCAGAATACGTCTATAATAGTTTTGGATAGTTAAGGTTTTCAAAATGGGTAGAGGAAAGGTTATTAGTCAGAAAATTCGGTTACTGATAATAAATTTTTTTAATTCTCGGAAATCCAACTCAGAAATTGCAACTTTGTTAGACTTATCGCGGTACAGTGTGAGAAATATTGTTAGAAGATATAACGTAACTGGTTCAGTTAATATTAAGCCACGATAAGGGGAAAAAAGTAATATCACAAATGCCGACCGAAGAGCATTAATAAGAATAATCCTGAAAAACCGGCATGCCAATTATTTACAATTAAGTGCTCTGTGGAGTGACGCTGTTGGAAGGAGAATTTCGAGGTCCACAACTCATATTGAGGCCCACAAACTGGGATTTAGCACTTGCAAGGTAAGTTTTCTTATAAAAAAAGTGAAGTAAAAACCCTAAAGTTGCACAACTTGTTTATAGTCTAACGAAAAGCCACTATTAACTCCACTGCAAAAGAAAAATCGGGTTAGATGGGCTAAAGAACATAGACAATATACAGCTCAACAATGGAGTGATGAGGCCCGATTCGAAGTTTGTGTTGGTGACAGTCGCAGTAGAGTTATTCGCAAAAAAAATGAAGCATTCCATGTTGACTGTCTGAACAGAAAAGTGAAATTTCCAGCATCCATTATGGTCTGGGGCAGTAAGTCATCAAAAGGAGTAGTAAAACTTAATTTTATTGATGGAAATGTGGATACAAACAAATATTTGGCAATTTTAGAAGAATCGCTTTTACCAGTGATGGAAGAATGTTTGACATCCGGCCAAGATTTTGTGTTTCAGCAAGATGGTGCAGCGTGTCATACCTCAAAAAAGGCTATAAAATGGATGGAAGAAAATAATGTACCACTTTTGAAATGGGTTTTTAGCAGTCCAGATCTGTCACCTATTGTAACTTTGTGGAGCGAAATGAAAAAGGTTCTACGACAACAACCTGCTCGTACAATCACCGAACTGAGACAAAAGCTTCAAGAAATATGGAATTGTTTTACACCAAATTTTTGCCAAAACTTGGTTAACACTATGCCTCAAAGAATTTCAGCCGTAATAAAAAATAAAGGTGATGTTACCCAATGGTAATCTTTCAATTGTCGCTTTGTTAACTTCGCGCATTTATTCGCACATTGTTTATTTGTTCAGATGTTCTATTAGTTATAGGTCTAAGTGATTTCAAATATGTATTTTTTACGACTACAGCGTATCTAAAATGTTTTTGAGAAAATAAATTGTTTTAGAAGTAAATAGTTTCGTCATGTTTAGTTTATAAAGATATATTTTGGTACAAATCTTGAAGTGGGCCAACTGAAGTGGGAAGGGGCTCGTATATTGTTTGTTTGTGAGATTATGTATGTTTTCTACCAGTTGTTGCACACGTTGTGAAGCCGTTTTGTAGTTGTACGTGTTGCCTAAACGTCATGAAGCTTGAGTTATCAATGTTTAGTTCTGATGTGATGTAAAATCTGCTTCAGAGATGGCATTACTGGAGATAACGGCAATGCATAGGTGCATAATGAGGATTTGTGTACCAATAATATGAGTTGATAATTCCATTGGATTCTTGTCTCAGATACACTTACTTGAGATTCAAAGTTAGAAATTAGTTGTGCATCCACTTTTTCTTATCCATTCTGGAAATTACATATGCAAATTTGCAGAATTTCAAAAATGACAGAGATAAGAAATAAGTACATATATTCACTGTACACTGTCGAATTATAAGTCATGCTAACAGTAATCACACACAACACGGGTGCGGTGGTGATTTCCCGTAATTCTCCTCAAGTTTTTGAAATCACAAAAAAACGTAAAAAATCGTAATTTATAACCTGTCTTCAAAAAGGACAACATATAAATAACATGTCGGGCACAGCCAATAGATACACTTCATTGGCAGCATATTCAATAATGATTTTCTCACACAGCAAATATCACTGATTTTATACGCATGCAGACCAATACACATAATCATCCAGATGCGATATTGCTATTCAACCAACTTTCTTCTCAAACATCAAAACTATAGACTATTCGGCTTCACAAAACATATGCAACCAACAATGCGTGTAGTTGAGCTATTCCTCCATAGATGGACGCTCACAACGATCCTAGTGAGCAAACGTGGAATGACTGTTTGCACCCTAAAAATTACCTATTCTGCAAGATAGGTTTTTTACATAATACCCGTGCCGTTCTCAAAAGTAGCAATCACCCCCTCGACATCTTAAACAAATTTCGGGGGGCGCTGGAAAACAATTGATTTTCAAATTGGACAGTAGACGAAATCACTTTAAGAACCTGTCTATGGTAACGGAAAATCTAAAGAAATCTGAAAATGTAGAGAATGCGGAGTCTGAAGAAGCTCGAAGATGTAGAGATGGAGACCCTAGTGGATCTGGTGATGGAGAATCCATAACTGGGTAACGAGAATATCAGAAAAATCTAGGGTATCTAGAGATTCTGGAGGATCTAGAAAATCTAGCGAGTCAGGGATGAACCTAGATAATCTACAGAATCCGGAACATGGAGAATCTAGGAAACCTGGGGAATCGAGATAATCTTAAGAGGTGTTGCCTCGAGTTGGCGAATCTAAAGGACCTAGATGATTATAGATATCCAAATGTGGAGAATCTAATGAACTCCAGAATTCAGATAAAATCCAAAGTATCGGAAGTATCTGGAAAATATTCACACTGAAGCAGCCGCGTAGGCAGAAGCCTAGATACCAGGACACCGCAGCTAGTAGTAGTAGAAAGATTTATTTAGCACATTTGGCTACATAAACAGAATAATTGTAAACAACTTATAACTAGTAAATTCAAGCCATATGGTGTATGATGTAAATGCTGGGCAACCTATAATTGTAGATTTAACAAGTGATTTCTCAATTTTACTTTAAATTTTGTCAAAGTTTTCTGGTCTTTTATCTCCGAGTATAATTTATTATATTCAATCAACCCTTGATGGAATACAGATTTGTAGCATATGTTATACTTTTTGGTCATTAAATGGAAGTCATCTTTATTTCTGGTATTATGTAAATGATGGTCGACATTTGATGATGTTAAATTAGTTAGACTTGATGGAAATATATTATTTTTTACTTTATAAATAAATATCATTACAAGATATTTGATAAAATTTTTTACATTGAGCCATTTTAATTTGCTAAGCATTTGCCTAATTGGAGTATATTTATCTTTATTTAGTATTATTCTCATGCACTTATTTTGTAAAATTTGCAGTCTTTCAAAAATGGAAATATTTGCTAAATATAGAATAGTCGAACAGTACAAGAAATTTGGAAGAATGATGGTATTATAGATAATTTTTCTGCTATATGAACTCAGACATCCAGAAACTCTCGATAAATATCCCACTTTACTACTAATCTTATTTATAACTTTTTCATAATGAATATCAAAAATTAATCGAGAGTCAACAAAAACTCCCAGGTATTTAAAATTTTCTACGAATTCAATATCTTCACCATCAATATTCAGTTGAACATTTGTACATTGTTTTTTTCCGATTAACAAGGCTTTCGTTTTACTTGCATTTAATTTTAGTCTGTTAGATTTTGAGACAAGCTTCAAGTCTTCATTTATATAAGAGATACCAGACTGAATATTTTTAGTACTTATATAAATCATAGTGTCATCGGCGAAAATTTGAATTTTGCATTTTTTGACTAGGGCAGGTAAATCATTTATGTATAAAATAAAAAGAAGTGGTCCCAGGATACTGCCCTGTGGAACACCCAACGTATTTTCAATTTTTGATGAAATAGTGTCATTAACTTTTGTAACTTGCATCCTTTTAGACAAATAATTTCTAAACCAATCTAAAACACTTCCTGTTATACCATATGCCTTCAATTTACCTAACAAAATATCTCTATCAATTGTTTCAAATGCCCTCTTCAAATCCAAAAATACTGCTATGAGGAGCTTAAAGAAACTTTGTTAATCCGATTTTTTAACTGGATAATATTAGTAGAACTGAAATGTAAGTGTGACTACAGTTAGGAGAAGGTTACTTGAAGCTGGTTAAGGGATGCATAGCAGTATCGAAACCAGCGAATTGGGCCAGCCAACGTCAAGATTTTACAGTTGCTGACTGGAAAAACGTCCTCTGGAACGGTGAATCAAAATTTGAAGTTTTTGGTTCCAAAAGAAGAGTATTTGTCCGTCGTCGGCCTATCGAGAGGGCATTAGAATCATGTACAGTCGCTCCAGTCAAGCAGGGTGGAGAATCTATAATGATATGGGCCTGTTGTGGTCGTTCTTATTGGTCCGGGGTTTGTCTTTCATCATGATAATGACCCCAAACCCACATCCAAGCTCTGTTAACAATTTTTGGAAGCAAAAAAAGAACAAAATATTTTGACAGTCATGCAATGACCACGCCAATCCCCGGATTTGAATCCGATGAGTTGCTATGGGATGAACTGGAAATGTTATCCTACAGTTCAAGAACAATTTGGAGAAAATTAAAAGACGAACTAGTATAGGAAAATTTACCGTAAGCTTTTTCCTCTTCTTATATCCAGCCCAACCCTGTGGCTCTAAGATGAGCTTTCCTCCGGGCCTCAGTTGAGCGTACATCCTTCTGAATGCCTGCTTGATCCCCGCGTCGCCCCAATTCAGATGAATCCATTTGGTCATGCTGAGGCACAGTATCACGTCGAACTGAGGCTGTTCATTGGCCAGTAAGGAATCGTCTTCTAAGACGTAGTTGCACTGGAACAAATAAAAAGATGTCGTACAAAATGCTAATACATACTACGAGATATCGCCATGACTATAAAACCATCAAATTTTTGGGACTGACTATTTTTTACACCGAAGCAGCCGCGCAGGCAAAGCCTAAATGATAGGGCACAGTAGCTGCTATGAGGAGCTTAAAGAAACTTTGTTAATCCGAAGTTTGAACTGACTGAGGTTAGTAGACATTGGTTACTCAACAAACAAATATTTCCTTTATGATAAGAACAATTAGTTACAATGTAGGAAAATGTACAGCCTTAAGCAATTGCCTTATTTAAAAGTATATTGAGAAATATCATTCCCTTTTGTCGTGTCTGATACCAAAATTGTTTAAAAAAATTACGAGTTCTACAAAAACGAACTATTAGATATAATGGGTGTTCCTTAATGGTATGCGAATATTAAAGGCTGTGAAGCTACAAGAAAAATTAATGTTAGTTTGCTTTATAAACTATGGTCCAAAAATGTTTCCTTACAAAAACTCGGGGTGTAGAAGTTTTAGGAAAAAAATGGAAATTAATTAATATTTTCAGAACCGCTTTAGATATTTCACTGATATTTAGTACGTAGTGAATGTTAATAAAGCTGCATATTTTTCAATGCAAAAATAATTTTTAGCTTTAACCGTAGCGTGCGTACGGGTATCGACTTCGATATTTTTCAAGAAAAAAAATGGTACGCCAATGGTTTTTTGCCAAATAAAAATTATTTTTGAATTCCCCGCTCAATTTAAAACAAATGATCTCTCAAATTGTTTTCCTTCGATGCGCCATTTTTGAGTAAAAAAATAAAAACCGTTCTACTATCCGAGAAAACTAATGTAATAATTGAAGAACGCAATTTAGCAATAAATATCTAAATGTTCTGGAATATGTCACTGGCTTTTGACATCTGACAAGTCTCTGTTATTCAAATCTGTTCGCTGTGACATCTTTTTCATTATTTAGTTTTTACAATCTTGTTAATAATGGTGAATTACAGACATATCCGGATCGTGCTTTGCCAAATAGTCGAACATTTTCTAATATTCATCGTCGTCTTGTTGAAACTGGTACTGTCCGAAAAGGAACATCTGAAGGTAGATCTCTAAGTGTGAGAACACCTGAAATTGAGGAAGCAGTGCTGCACGAAGTCGAAGAACATCCTGAAACGAGTACGAGGAAGATCGCTAAACACTTAAATATTTGCCATCAAACTGTTTGGAGAATTTTAGTGGATTTTTTGTATATCCTTACCATATTTTAAGAGCACAGGCATTACTTCCCATTGATTTTTCAAGGCGTGTGACCTTTTGTCAGTGGTATCTTCAAAAAATTACACAAAATCCGCAATTTGAATCAATGATTCTGTTCACGGACGAAGCTAATTTTTCTCGAAATGCCAGAAGGAGGGCGGAAGCATACATACTAAGTGAAGGAGGCCATTTTCAACAATTTTTGTAATCATTTCGTTGGTTTTAATGTTATGTTTATGTTGTCAGTTGTTGTTCATTGCCCCTAATGTGTTTATTTTTTCCAATTAATAATATTAAGTTAGACAATAGCACGGTTTTTATTTTTTTACTCAAAAATGGCGCATCGAAAGAAAACAATTCAAGAGAGATCATTTGTTTTAAATTGAACGGGGAATTCAAAAATAATTTTTATTTGTCAAAAAACAGTTGGCGTACCATTTTTTTCTTAAAAAATATCGAAGTCAATACCCGTACGCACGCTACTCTTAAAGCTAAAAATTATTTCTGCATTGAAAATATGCAACTTTATTAACTTTCACTACGTACTAAATATCAGTGACATCTCTGAAACAGTTCTGAAAATATTAATTAATTTCCATTTTTTTCCGAAAACTTCAACAGCCCGAGTTTTTGTAAGGAAACATTTTTGGACCATAGTTTATAAATCAAACTAACATTAATTTTTCATGTAGGTTCTCACCCTTAAATATTCGCATATCAATAAGGAACACCCTGTATAACTAAAAGCAATCCTACAGCTACATGCTAGCCTTCATTTGAAAATCTTCTTTGTTCATCTTAGAAACAGCAAATCTTATTTTTTAAATAAACCTAAATATGAAACAATAATATGTTACAATATTAGTTGTACCTAAATCAACACTTGTAAAGGACTCAACAATTTATATGAAAATTTACATGTCTCCCTGATACTACCAAAAGAATCAACAATTTAAAGATATGCTGCCGTGAACTTTTTAATATACAGGGTGTTCGAAAAATAGACAAGGACATTTTAGAGGGTGATTCCTTGTTAAAAAATATGAAAAAAGTTTCTATTAAACAGTGGTCCGGAAATGCAGTTTTCAATATACAGGGTGATAAATCAAAAAAAATTAATATCTTATAAAATATTTACTCAATTCTATTGAAATTTGTCAATATTATTTGTTGTACTAAGAGGTTAATTTAGCCCTAAATAGATTAAAAATTATTAGGTCCAGCGGCGTCCCGGGGAGCACATTAGCGATTATTATTGGCAAAAAATGTACGCCACTGCCGTTCTGGTAATTTGTTGTTTGATTGCACTGTAATTGGGAGCCTGTTGAGCAATAAATATTATTATTTTTGTAATTCTTCGCGATTACATTATCGCCAATTGGCGTGGGTAGTAAAAATACTCACCACTTTGAAAGTGACATTATCAGGAAATCCCTTACTCCCCTTGTGTTCCGTGGCCGATGCGTTAGCAGTACAACCTCGGTCCCTCTGGTACGACCCTAGAACGTCAACATTGCCGTATAATATAGGCATACTAATCGGGAAAAACTCACAACCACCACTTCCAACTCCGTCGGTGGTACTCTTTTGAGTACCTTTCGCGGACCCTTTGGTACCGCCACCCTTCGGAGTCGGTTTTGTCCCTTTCGAAGGTATTTTGGTTGTCGACGTATTGCTCGCCGTTGAAGTACTGATTGAGGTCGCATTGCTTGTGATTGCTTCCGTAGATTGTTTGACTATTTGCGGTTGTTTGATTGAAGCGTCGCCTATTCGCGTGATACCGCTTTGAGCGGAAGTATCACTTGTAGATGTTGAAGTACCGGTTGCGGAAACTTCTTTCACAGTTTTGTGGTCTGAAACAAGAATTAACGTTACTTTATTTATCTATTCTATCTTTGAAATTGTCAGATTTTTAGATTAAAAGTATCCAGCATGGCCTGAGCCTTCGAAAAATGAGAATTTCAGAAGACAAAATGGTGTCAAGTAGATTGACTATATACTTCTTACGCCTTTATTGGAGGTTTGAAAGAAAAGGGATGTGTCAAACCGCTTCAAAAGGTGAAATCGAATCGGGATTTGGTAGGTTCACTTAATAATAAAGCTACTCTACTGAACCAAAATAAGACAAAAAAATAATAGTAATAGTAATAAGTCTTAAACAACAATACAGAATATCATAATAGTAATCACGTGTTAACACTAAATGGACTGAAAGTATATTAGGATTTCAAAAAGATATTAATTAATACTGGTTAATATAAAATTTGCTTGACATATTTTTTCTACTTATATACTTATATTATAAACTTCAATCTCTATTCTAAAAAAGTTTGTTCAGATTTCTATTTAGCAAATATAAGTTCTTATATTGTATTTTGAAACTTGAGAGAGAAAGATTAAGGAACTGGTTGGGAATTGAATTAAATTGTTTAACAGCATTGTATGAGAATGATCGTTGAAACAATGCACTACTATGAAGCGGTATAGTTTATAATTATTTATATCATGAACAAAATGTCGGAAAATTAAGCGTTCTCTTATAGAATCAGGTGAACCTTGAGTGTTTATAATTTTTAATAAAAGACTAGAAAAATGGAGAGTGCGACGCTCATTCATTTTAAGCCATTTAATTTCTTTATACAAATGAGATATATGATCAAACCTACGTAGACCATAGATAAACCTGAGGCAAGCATTTTGCACCTTCTGAATCCGACCCCTACTTGCCTGATCTAAGCAAAACCCATAGACAAAATCGCAATAATTGAAATTGGAAAGAATTAGCGATTCACACAATTTTTTTTTTAGTGATCTGTTTAGTATGTGTATGTTATTATACAAAAGTTTTAGAGAACAAAATGATTTTTGCATAAGATTTTTCAGGTGATCTTTAAATCTAAGCTGAGATTCTAACACTATACCGAGATTTTTTGTACTTTCAACAAAATTCAATTTTGAATTATTAGCCATTATATTGAGATTAGCTTTCAAAAACTCAGTCTTAGATTTGTTACAAAAAATCATTACATGATTTTTTCGGATAAAGTTTTAAGTTGTGACCTGATGAGAGATTGTTCAAGGTGTTAATGTCCTCATTCATACAATTTTCGTAATATTTGTAATCCTCAATATCAAAAAAACAATAAGCCTGGGTGTCATTCGCGAAGGCCTGAACTTTACACATCTTTAAAGATGTAAGGATATCAGATGTATAAATTGAAAATAACAAGGGGCCCAATATAGATCCCTGAGGACCTCCCGATAGGATCTCCGCTTTGTCTGAGAATGTGTCATTTGATAGAATCGATTGATACCTTCCTGTCAAGCAAACATGCTTCCTTATTAAAGCTATAGTACTGAATCTCGTCCATGATGTGAGAAATGCACTCCATGAATTCCGCAATGAGCAGTGGAGCGACTTTCTGGCGGGGATGCTTGAATCAAGTATTCCTATGTGGAAAGAGGCAAAATCGCTCAGAAACGGAAGGCAAGAACAACTACCACATATTCATGGTCCTGGAGGCATAGTTTTCAGGACTGAGGATAAAGTGGAGGTTTTTGCTGACGTCATGGAAAGGCAGTTCTCTCCCAATTATGATCTGAACAATGACCTTGACGAGGAACGAAAAATTGTAAGATCTGTCAGAAGATATTTCATCGGTGACTCCTTTTCAGAAGATTCTTCTACGGAAGACTCTTCAGATGAATCTCAGCATAGCACAACAACGGAATCCTCTGAGATTCCGCTTTGTACACCAGCAGAGCTCCAAGGCCACATTAAGGACCTAAAGGTGCGTAAAGCACCTGGAGGGGATCAAATCACCAACAAAGCACTGAAGTTGCTTTCACTCAAGGCTTTGACTTATCTGGTGGCAATAATCAATGCAATGCTCAGAACTCATTACTAGTTAGAGGATGATGATACTTTTAAAAATTATGATTTTTGCTCTGAGCATTTAGGTACTTACCACTTGCAGTGACGTCACCAGCAGCCGTACTACCGCTTGGAGCGGTACTGGTACTGCTAGACGGGCTCATAGCCTCTTTCTTCACGTAATGCCTGACGTTCTTCTTTGCGATTTGGATGAGCTTTGGATCTATGTCTATGCCTAGAGCCGATTTGGCCCTCAAATCCCTGGCGATTGTCAAGGTGATGTGTCCTATGTTGCAGCCGATGTCAAGGATGTCCTTGTTCTGGAACAGGTACTGGTTGTGCATTAGTACCCGAAGCCTGGGATCTGGGTCGTTGCCTGGATTACGGTATCCGTAGTACCTATAACAAATTAAAAAAAAAAGTTAAAGAATAGTACATTACATACCCTGGTGGAAAAGTATGCGATTAACTGGTAGAGCTGTTCCTTTTTTCAAAAAGCCAGGCACCTGGTACTCGGCGGAGTGATTTCATATGAGTTATTTCAGCTACTGACAGTGATATCAAGATTATATTTGCGTTTTTGAAAGTTTCCTTCATTCTCAAAATTGATGCACTTTTGCCAGAAATTAACGCGCCACGGAAAAAATCGTTGTGCAACTTAGTTAATTGTTTACGAGTGAAGCTCCGTAGGTTAGTGTACAGTATTTTCAGAAGCTATGTTTTTTAAATATTTGAAGTCCAGATTTTTGGAACGTTTGTTTTGATATCCTTTCCATTTTTTCCTGTCACAAACGAAACACGTTTGTAAGACATTGTATGCTTGACAACCTAATTTTTTGTAGGTGCGCCACGCGAAGCTCCACACTACTCAAAATTCGAAAAAAAAATACCTGAGAGAATATATAATTGTTTTCTGAGTGCCTTTGGGAGGAGGTTATAAAAGTAACACAAAACTGCTTGATGCCGTCAACAACTCAGATTTGGAAAGGACTAAATCTAAATTATCCTTACGTATGATGGTCCTCTGAATATTTCGTCAAGTAGATTGACTCAGTACTCATGACGCATTGTTATACAACAACTCCCTTCAATAGAAAATTAATTGAAAAAAACTGGAACTATGAAGGACAAAAATATATAAACAAAGCAAAACAATTATAGAAAAAAGAAGCAACTGTTATTTTTTCGCCCAGAAAGAATTTCTTTGCGAGATTTGAAGTGTGCCTCGGGTCTTATCTTGCTGGAAGATTGTCTTCCATATAGGGTAACATGACATGCTTTAGTATGTCTGTGTATCCATAATACCATCTTTTCTACGTAAAGGTCCCATCCCAAACCCCGAAAAGCACCCCCAAACCATAACACACCCGCCTACATGTTTGACAGTGGGCAAAGTGTACTTGGGGTTCAATCTTTGTCCACTAGGACGTCTAACGTAATGAACACCATCTGATCCAAACATATTGAACTTGGATTCGTCACTGAAACATACCCTTTTCCAGTCACAGATGCTCCAATCAAGAGGCAACCGTGCAAATTGTAATCGGTACTTACGGTTTTTCCTCGAGATTAGCGGCTTCTTACTCGGGGGACGTGCGAATAACTTCAAATCATTGAATCTTTTACTTTTAGTTTTCTTAGAAACACTGACAATTCCTTATGTCTCGATTTCGGTTTTTATTTGTCTTGGGGTTTGAAACGGTTCTTTGAACGAAATTACTTTTATTAATCTAACTGAACTAGCATTTAGTTTTCTAGGCCGACCGCTTCCCTTAGAGGCTTCCAAGATATATTTTGGTTTATATTTGTTCAATATTGCCCAAACTGCTTTACGCTTCGGCTTCAAATTTTTGGCAATGTCGACTTGACGTTGATCATCTTTGTATAACTCAATGATCTTAGTTTTCACATCGAAAGAAATTTCTGGACCACGCGGCGTGGTCTTAAAATCACTCAATTTATTCCACAATACTTGATGAACATAATCCTCTTCTGACACGAAACTGTACTAAACTAATGTTGAAAAGAATTTGTCTACATATTTTTGTCCTTCATAAAAAAGTGCTTATGTTCAGACTTGCATTGTGTTAATTGCAGATAATGTAAAAACAAGGAATTTAGTTTTTCTACTAATAACGCATTTGTTTATGGAGCAATGAAATATGAATTCGTTTTCTAAAGGTATTTAGGTAAATATTCATATTTGTCTATATACTTTTGTCCATTACTGTATTTGCTTCATACAGTTTCATATACAGAGGTCGAAGGTTAATCGTAACCAAGTAACCTAATCACGGTTCGATTTCGCCTGTTGAAACGATTTGACTCATCCTTTTTCTTTGAAGTAGTGATTCTATCTTCTTGACGTCACTTTTTTAAGTAATTTTATAAATTTTCGATCACGTTTCATATTTTTGATGGCATTAGTAAATTGAGAGCCCTTCTGTATGTTTGGTAAATTTGGTTTACTTTATTAATGGTTCCACCAAATGTTCCGCTAGTAACCGTTATATTGTGATTTAACTTGTTGAAATGTTATACACTTTTTTATAATTGTAATATCCTTATTTATTTTATATTTATACGTATTTTATCGGCATATTTGCTCAAACGCATATATGACCTTTAGTTTCATATTGACAAGTCTTACATCATGTAACATGATCTAATAGGACATCTATCCATCCTTCTTCACCAAACGTTTCCTTGATTCCGACAATTCCGACCCTGTGCGGATGTTTCCACCCACTAAATTGCAAACCTACTCGGTATTTACGCGTCGGAAACTAGGTCAGCGTCCTTTAAAGGGCCATTCGCATCCCCTTCACTTCCCTACTCCGCATTTATGTGCAGTTTTCGCAACTCCCATTTAGTCTTTGAAGTTGCGAGGCGACACACACTGTTTCATGTTTAATGGCCCTGAGCTGGCCTAGCAACGGTTTCGCAGTTTGCGGGTTTACTTTATCGCCAATAAAAAATATTTTTCGGTTCGAAATAAAAAAATTAACCAATATCGTGATTTTATATTTCCGAGGGAAGCAAATATGAAAACAAAAAATGCGTAAGAGAAATACGGTTAACCATACCGACGTGTGGGATTACTTTACCCCTATTTTGACAGATAAATCCAGACATGAAAATGTAGCATGCGGGAAAGTTGATAACAAAATGTTTAAATCAATCGTATCGACAGAAGAACGTATTTGTATGATCATTTCACTATTCAAATAAGTATGCACATCGAGTAACTGAAGCTCCATTGCACCCAGGGTAAACTGATCTAAAATGCAGCTGTTCTTTTATAAATTTTTTTGTTGTTGAAGATTTATTTAGAATTAATGCTACAATGTAAATTTTGTATAATAATTCGGCACCCCTACTGATATATTTTGAACACTTGACATAATATTTTCAACTTTAGTTTTTTGACTTCTATTTACTAAATAATTTTGTAAAATGTGTAATACTGATCCTTTAAAGCCATAGTGACGCAATTTCAATAACAATTTTTCCCTATTTATAGTCTTAAACGCCCCTTTGAAGTCTAAAAATATTGTTACAATATATTCTTTCTCATCTATACTTATTCTCCAGTCTTCCACCACCATTTGGATTGCCGTTTCTGTGGAACATTTTTTCCTAAATCCAGCTTGATTTTTTATCAAAATTTTGGTTTCTTCAATTAATTCTATCATCTGTTCGTATATTACCCCTTCGAACAGCTTCTGAGCAAGAAATTAATCGGTCGCATATTTGTATACAGCTGAGAATTTTGAAATTTTGGCACAGGAGTTGATAAATAAATAAATAATATCAGCGATCATTTCTTTCAATCGTTACGTGGGTCACTATGATCAGAAAAACTGACAACGAAATGGAATCCCTCGGCCCATTAGATCATCTGAAAACATTGAGGCAGTGAGAGCTCCAATGTTGCGATTACCACCGCGTTCTGCCCTTGGACTTTCCGATCGTTCTGTGAGGAGAATTTTTCATGATGATCTTCATCTCCATCCTTACAAGATGGCAATTCTGCAGGAACTTTCTAAACGTGACTTCAATATTCGGATGACGCGTTTCTGCCGATGCTATTGATTTTTTAATGATAAATTTTCATTTTTAAAAAAATATGATCGATGAACCGCTGGAATCCCCTAGATTGGTCAATTTGAACATAAATATGTGCTAGACGAAAGGATGGCAGACACGAGCGGCAGGGGTATTATGTAAAACACCTAAAAAATGTCAAAAAACCGACAAAATGCAGACCATGTAGTTTTTAGTATGAAATAGTTTATTCCACGTTTGCTCGCTATGATCGCTGTGAGCGTCCATCTGTGGAGGAATGACTCAACTACACGCGCATTGTTGGTTGCAGAAAACAAGTATATGTTTTGTGAAGCCGAATAGTATTTAGTGTTTATCTCTGAGAAGATGTGAAAGAAAGTTGAGTATCAAGATCGCATCTGGATTTTGGATTGCTAAGTGAGAAAATTATTAATGAATATGCTGCCAATGATGTGTATCTATTAGCTGTGTCCGAGGGGATATTTATAGGTTGTCCTTTCTGGAGGCAGGTTATGTTCAATGTTATAAATTACGATTTTCTTTTTTTTGTTTTTAAAAACATTGAGGAACCTTACGGGAAATCGCCGCCAGGCCCGCGTTGTGTGCAATGCATAGTCCAGTCGACAGAGTCATAAATTTGTAATAAATTAGTTGCAAGCGTTGTTATAAATTAGTGTAAGAGTAATAAACACAGTAAACATGGTGTTTTCATTACACAATCTATAATCTCCTCCCAATATGTCAATTCAAGATTTTCAAAAATCCAAACATAAGCAAACATGTATAAAAAACAGTTACTTACCTGTCATAGTTGCCGTATTGGTATCGCTTATCCTTCTCCTTGAACTTTGGCAACTGCAGCTGTCCCGTTTCGTCCTTTTTGTTGTCTGTCGCTCTGTGTGGAGGGCGTTTTGTCGTCGAATTCGCCCTCTTTAACCAGGCGCCGGGTTGCGGCACCACCGGACTCACGATCTTGTCCATCGCGTTCTTGAATTTCTTCGCTGGATTTGGGTTCGTGCTGGTACCCGTGGCGCCACCTGGAAGACAATGATGAAATTTTGAGTGTCAAGTAGACTGACTTCAAACTACCTGGGCACTAAAAAAGCTTTGAATTCTGGTCAATCTTAGAAAATCTATGGAATTTAGAGAGAATCTAGATATAGATTATCTGGGGATGATAAAAGATTCTAGAAATGTTGAGAATCTAGAGAATCTGAAGGCTCTAGAGAACTTGAAGAATCAAAGGAATCTAGAGAATATAGAGAATCTTAAAGAATAGCATCTAGAGAATTTAGAAAATCTGGGAAAAACGGAAAATCTAGAAAAGGTAGCTAAAATATCTGGAAAATCTAGAGAATCCAAAACATCTAGAGAATATCGAGCATCTAGAGATTTTAGAGAAACCCTAGATTCCAGAAACTATAGATAATTTAATTTATCTACAGAATCTGGAGTATCTAGAATATCTTGAGACTCTGCAGACCATAGAGAATCGTAGAGAATATAGAGAATCTGGAGATTGTAAAGAATTAAAAGAAAGAGAAATCACAACATCTGGAGAAAATGACGAACTTGGAGCATCTAAAAAATCTTGAAAATTTGGAAATTCTAGAAAATACAGAGCATCTAGAAAATCTGGAAGCATTAACAGATTCTAGAGAACCTCTAGATTCCAGAAATTATGAAGAATCTAATTCATCTAGAAAATATAGAAAATCTATAATGTGAAGAATCAAGATTTAAAGAATTTAAAGCAATCTACATATTCCCAGAAACTAGAGACTGTAGAATCTAGAATATCTTGAAACTATAGACTTTAGAGTACAGAAATGTAGTGATTAATGAGAATTTAGAAATCCTAGAGAATTTAAAGAATCTAGAGCAATTAGCTAATCTGAAAAATCTCATCTAGAAAATCTGAAGAGTCTTTACATTCTAGAGAACTAGAATTCCCGAAATTACGAAGAATGTGGAGAATCTAATTTATCTAGAGAATTTAAACCAAGCAGAGAATCTAGAGATGCCGAGAATCTGGAGACTATAGAGTATCTAGAATTCTTGAAACTATAGAATTTAAAGTATCTTGAGACTCTAAAAAATCGTAGAGAATATAGAGAATTGAAAGAATCTAGAGCAATTAGTAAATATATACAGAATGGAGAACCAAGAGCACCTAAAAAATCTCTAGGTACCGGAAAAAGTATAGAATCTACAGCACCTAAATATTCTAGAGAAATTCGAGATTCCAGAAATTATAAAGAATCTGGAGCATCTAATTTATCTAGAAAATATAGAGAATCTTTAATGTGAAGAATCAAGATTTACAGAATTTAAAGCAATCTAGATATTCCGAGAAACTAGACACTATAGAATCTAGAATATCTTGAAACTATAGACTTTAGAGTACAGAATTGTACAGAATAATGAGAATTTAGAAATTCTAGAGAATTTAAAGAATCTCTAGCAATTACCTAATCTGAAAAATCTCAAGGTTCTGGAAAAGTTAGAGAATCTAGAGCATCTGGAAAATGTGCAGCATCTAGATAATCTAGAGAACTTCTAGATTCCAGAAATTATGAAGAATCTGAAGAATCTAATTTATTTACAGAATTCAAAGCAAGCAGAGAATCTAGAGATACAGAGCATCTGGAGACTCTAAAGAATCGTAGAGAATCTAGAGCAACAAGCAAATCTAGAGAAAATGGAGAACCAAGAGCACCTGAAAAATCTCCAGGTACCGGAAAAGCTATATGTAGAATCTAGAACATCTAGAAAATCTAAAGCATCTAGATATTCTAGAGAACTTCTAGATTCCAGAGATTATGAAGAATCTGGAGCATCTATTTATCTAGAATATGTAGAGAAGCTAGAATGTGAAGAATCAAGATCTAGAGAATTTAAAGCAAATAGAGAATCTAGAGATACCGGGAATCTAGAAAACGCAGAATATCTTGAAACTATAGATAAGTAGCGAATTGTAGAGAATACTGAAAATTTAGAGACCTTGGAGAACTTCAAGAATCTAGAGCTATTAGCCAATCTAGGTACTAGAAAAACTAGAGAATCTGAATCATTTAGATATTCTAGAGAACCTCTAGAGTCCGAAAGATATGAAGAATCTGGAGAATTTAATTTATCTAGCGGATTTTAAGGAAGTATATAATATATAGATTCCGATAATCTAGAAACTCTAGAGAATCTAGAGATTCCGAGAATCTAAAGAAACTAGCGATTCCGAAAATCTAGGGGTTAAGAGAAAATCTTGAAACTCTAGAGAATCATAGAGAATATAGAGGATTGAAGGAATCTCAACGATCTGGAAAATCTAGAATCTGAAATAACTAGAGAACTTCTAGATTCAAGAAATTATAAAGAATCTGGAGAATCTAGAGGTTCTAGACAATTTAAATAATCTAGAGAACTTAGAGATTATAGAGCATCTTGAGACTCTAGAGAAGACAAATTATGAAATAGAAAAGAATTATCAGTTGTATAGCAGGTGTATATAGGTTTTTTAGATTCAAGTTGAAAATGTATGGATCTTCTTATAGAATCTTTTTTGGCGAGAGGAAATATATAAATGATCTAGAGAAACTGGAGAACGAATTTGGAGAATCTACAGACTACCCAGAATCTATAGAATTTCAAGAATGTAGAATATCTAAATGCATTCATTAAATACAATAAATAGAATGCCGAGAAGTCTGGAAATTTTGAAAACTTATTTGTTGATTTCTAATATTTTAGCAATTAAAACTGTGAAATTGTTTGCTGTCTACGCCATTACCTGCGCCACTGGTACTCGGCCCATACTCATCCGACTTCCTCTTTCCTCTCTCTTTCTTCGGTTGAATTTGCTGTTGCTGTGGTTGCTGAGCTTGTACCTGATCCGCAGTACCTGTATCGGGCTTCTCCTGTTTTTCTTCTTGCTGTTCCTCTCCACAAGTGGCCTGTTCTACATCGGGTATTTTCGCGGAATCCGTTGACGCTTCGGGCGTTTTCGCCTCGGCCGTTGAATCCGCGCATGCGCTCGTCTCCATCGTACCCGATATAGTACGACGTTTCTTCATGCGTTTATTGCGTTTCTGAAACAATATTACAGCTGTTTGAATACCAACACAAAACATACGGCACGTTTTCGTTTACGGTTCTTTTAATTTGTCACACATTAGTTACTGTCATAAATTAGTGTATTAGTTAGCGAATTAGACTTTAAGCAACAAAAACGGTGTTTTTGTTATAATTTTAAATAAGTATAAGTCCAAAGTTCAAAAGAGAATAAATACCGAATCCTTGTCGAATTTTTATAATAACTTGTGAAAGGCAATTATGTCGGTATTCCAATGTACCTTTTTAACAGGTGAACAAAGCTGCTGTTCATAATCCGCATCATCGTCACAATCAATGAGGTTCAAAGGGTCATGTATGTTCCTTGGTATTATAACCTCTATCTGTCCTTTCTTTCTAGGTGGAGTGGGGACAGGAGAAGATTTTGGCGTCACAGCGTTCATAGCTCTGTTGATTTCTTCGTCTTGCAAACTGCCCAGATTCAATGGATCCTGAAAAAAAAATACATTTGTTTATCGACATACGAACAAACATTCAAAAATAATAATGCCCTTATTGACCATCCACGCTTCAGGGTGATGTCTACCCAATTGGCTATGGTATTTTTCACGAGTATCCATCACTGTAGAACAACAGCTGATGATCTAGTGATATTTCAAAACTCCCCATATCGACAAGTGACACATAATCAATGCTGAGAGATCCGTCAACGCCACGTAGACAGATCCGTGGTTTTTTGTACATTGCAGATTCATTTTGTACTTGTTAACAACTCTTTTATTTAGAAAAGTTCCTTTGCAAATAAAAAAAAGCTACAAACAAAATGATCCAAACTAAATTTCAAGTCAGGTAGGAATAAAATAAGGTAAACAGTTTTTAACTATGTTAATCATCTCTACTTTTTAGAAATTGAAACACCATATGATTATGTTATACATCACCGAATTGATAGAGCTTCGATTCGCTGAATTAGGTCTAAACATTACTGTATTATTAATTTTTATTATAAGTTGTGTACATACTTAACCTGTTTTTGAATTACGTTACACTGATGACGGACTATAAAGCAGAAACATGTGTCTATATTATTTTTAAAGGTAAAATTACGGCTTCTGCAAAGGATAATACCTACTGCCCCAATAGAACTATTGACTTGAATCATAATCAATAAATCCCAGATGATAATAATTTTCTAATAAACATTTTTATATCTGTACCTTTTATTGTCACATTTTGATCACATAAGAGTATAATCTAGATATGTGAACAACAGCTCTGAATACGGTCCTGAAATTCATTATTGCCAACGTTTCAGACTAATACAAAGATATCATTTTTGTGATCAGCTAGTCACCTCAGTAGACGTCAAAACGTAATGGATACTCGTGAAAAATACCATATTCTACCACTTAAGCTTACAAAAAAATTTAGTCATTAAGATACTACTTAAAGAAATTGACAAGATAAGTCGTATTGACAAGGCAGCTAAGGCTTGAAGATAAAATAAACAGGATAAATACAAGACGCACTACCCGAAGAAAACAAAATAATACAATATGGTCTGCTTAAAAAATAATCAGGGTCAAAAAATATTGCATAAATATGCTACAGGTAATAATAATAAGAGAAGACTTGATTGACTGCAATGTAATATACAGAATTGTGACAAAATCACAACTATATATTAACTAGTTTGGCTAGCAGATCCCAGAAGATGCTTCTTGATCGCTTTTCACACCATTGTAGGCGAAGCTACGATGAAAAATGGTTAGTTTTATTAACTAGGTATGCAGCCGGAATTGAATACGTGCAAAAAACCAATAATTGTTATTATTTTTAAGTCCACGGTTAGATCAAAATTTCCTCAAATTACAAGAATGAACTACTGAACTTCTGTAATCAGCGTATCAAAATACCCTATAAAACATTGTTTTCTTCATGACAGACGGCACGACAAAATCAAATTGAGCTTTGCATGCTCAGATTTTAGAGAGTATTCCAAATTTATAGAAAAGAAAACCGAATCTAGAGGATCTGGAGAATATGTATAAACTACAGTTATTTTTGAGAATATAAACAATCTAGAGCTAATCCTGAAAAAATCTAGATAGAAATGTGAGAAACCAAAGAATCTCCAAGAAATCAATCCTCAATTAAAATCTCATTTACTCCCCGACAATACAAACAGCGTGGGATGTTCAAAGTGGAACACTTCTATTGGCCAGCGGGCCATAAATGCCTTGACAGGCAGCGACCAGCGAATAAAACCGATGATTGGGTGCTCATCTTGGTTTTTCGAGGATGTGAGGTTTGAATAGGGTATAACGAGGTCTTTAAATCAAGTAATGAGACTGACTTTTTTTTAATTTTTCATTCAAATATAATTGCAATTTTCTATTGTCACCCTCAAAATATCTGTCTTCTAAAGCCACACCGCACTGGAGGCAGTTCTTCCACTCCTCATAGCAGAGTTGGAACTCCGATACTGGAATAGCCTTCAGCTGGTCGGCTACAGCCGTTTGGATGTTTTCGACTGTCCCAAAATGAGTTACATTGAGGTGATTTTTCAACTTCGGGACGAAAAAGAAGTCACAAGGACGAAGTCATGCGAATAAGGAAGCTGAGGAGCCACTGGGATGTTTATACTGGCCAAACACTCGTTTACTGACATTGCTGTATGACAAGAAGAATTATCGTGATGCTACATCCAATTGTTCTTGATGTTTGGTCGCATACGAATCATCGTTTTTCCCGGTAAAAGTGTTGATTGACCGTTGGGCCTTGAAGACGATGATTCTGAGGATATCGAAAAAACAAATCAGCATGCATTGGCTCTTCGACTTCGTCTTTATTGCTTTTTTAGGCCAAAAAGTCAAGGCATCCTTCCCTCCTGGTGTCCTTTTGGTCTTGCGAAAGATTTTTTGGAAACATTTTTTTGCAGATTTTCATCCCCGATTCACTGGTCAAAATCTGATGAACGGTGTCAATTTTAACTCTTCCCTATCATTCTGATTCTGACTATCAACGCACAGTGTCCCGGATTCTGTCGATATTTTCATCGGTTCTTGAAGGTGAAGGCCTTCCGCTTCGTGGTTCGTCTTCAATCGACTCTCTTCCTTCTGAAAATGCCTTAAACCCAATGAACACTGATGGAACAGGCGTAACGCAAATTCATTGCGGCTAGAATGAGAAACGAGAAGGATAGCGCTAGTCAGGGCAAAACATTGGTAAAACATCGTGATCCATTGTGGTATTTCCAGATATGTTCTAAGGATTTTTGTTGAATGTTTGTTTTTAGTGACATTAAAGCTTAAAGGTGATAGTTTGCGACAATTATTATAAATATTTTTATGCCGGACAGCCTTCAAGTGCTGTTTTTTTATGTCATATTTGTTTAAAAATGGTTGAATCTTGCAGTGCAGTGAATTGTTGCAATAGACGCAGAAAAGATGTGAAAATGAAGTTTCACAGGTTGGTTTTAATCATCTCATTCATTTTTGTGTGAGAATTACCTGTTAATTGGTAATTCGAGAAAATATCTGAATTTTTAGGATACCTACAGATCCTAACATGAGGAAGTTATGGTTACATGCTATAAGAAGAGAAAAGTTTACTCCCAGTACAATAACGGTAATTTGTGAAAAGCATTTCACTCCAGAGGATTATGAAGTTAGTGTTCATGGAAATAAGGTACTAAAAAAGATGGCAGTTCTATCTGTGTTTGATTTTCCAGCCCATCTCAAGAAAGAACCTACCCATCGAAGGGTTTTGAAAAGAAAACATGAATACATAATTTCTAGAATGAACTATGGTATGACCTATATTGTATTATAATGAAAAACTGTGCATCTACAGTATTGCTAATGCTATTGTGCACAAATATTTTGTATATATATACTCGTATATATACATATATATATATATATAATATATATATATAAGGGTTTTTTCTTTGTACACTTTAATCTCTGGACGTGTTTGTTGACGTAGACTTTGCTTTTCAAATATCCCCATAAAAAGAAGTCCAAGGGAGTCAAATCGCACGATCTTGGTGGCCATGGCACATTTCCTCTGCGCGAAATCACGCGATCACCGAAGAAGGACTGCAATCGATGGATATTGACGTTGGTTGTGTGGCATGTTGCACCGTCTTGTTGGAAATAAACATCGTCCATATCCATTCCTTCAAGTTGCGGCAAAAAATATCATCACGTGATATCGCTCAGAATTGACGGTAACGGCGTCCCCGGCCGCATTTTCGAAAAAGTAAGGTCCGATGATGCCTTTTGACCACAATGCACACCACACAGTCACTTTTTGAGGATGCATCGGCTGCTCTTGATACTCACGGGGATTTTCGTTCGCCCAGATGCGGCAGTTTTGCTTGTTTACCGTCCCATTCAAAGTGAAATGCGCTTCGTCGCTGAACATGATTTTTGATGAAAAATTGGCATCAATTTGGCAGTGTTCAAGGAGCCAATCTGAGAACGTTCGGCGCGAAAAATGGTCGGCCCGACGCAGCTCTTGCGTCAATTGGATCTTGTAGGCGTGTACATTAAAATCCTTGTGGAGAATGCGGAGCAAACTGGTTCTCGAAATGCCCAATTCTTGGGATCGACGCGTTGTTGATTGTTTCGGATCGTCTCTCACACTCTCCTTCACAACAGCTATATTTTCCGGTGTGCAAACGCTCCTTGGCCGGCCAGAGCCTGGCAGATTTGCCACAGAACCTGTTGCCTCGAATTTACGCACCAGACGACCGATGGTTGTTTCGTTTGGGCGGTTGTTGCGACCGAAATGTTCACGAAGCGCGCGAAACGTGTTTTTTATTTTTGCACCATTTTTGTAGTGCTCTTGAATAACTTTAATGCGGTCTTCAATCGAGTACGACTCCATAGCGATCAATGGTCAACATTTAACTAACAAAATGACATGTCGGTGACAGAAAAGAAAGATGGCGTCTATGTCAAATTGACGTTTACTTTCCTGCGTCCCTATTGGACAATCCTTTATATATAAATAAATAAACTTGGTTTTTTAATTATAATTACGTTTCCAGGATTTTATCTCGTTCCAGTTGCCTGAATAACTTTTAAATCTTCTCTAAGAATCCTCGGTTTCCTATGCAATTCATTCAAGTCCGCGCGCTTTTTGCTCTGACTAGCTCCATCTCTGTCTCGGACCTCTTTGTCGTGTGTTGGCCGCATTATCGTTTCATTGTACAAATGGGACGGGGCGATTCCATCAGTGTTGGCAGTTCATTCAGTGTTGCCAGAAGTAGCGGAATTCCGCTACTGGTAGCGGAATTTTAAAGTGGTAGCGGCGTAGCGGCGGAATTGGATTTTTTGTTAAAAGTAGCGGAATTTTGCAATTTAGGTACGCATGATGGATATTTTAACAAGAAAAAAAATTGAGTGCAGTTAGTAACTAAATCTAAATACAGATATCTTTCTAATCGACAGTGGTAACCACCGGTCGGTAATTCTTATTCAATGGAGACACGTATACACAACCTGTGAAGTGTATTTCCAAAGAATGTCTAATAATTTTAACATTTGCCACATGGTAATGCAGGTGTCGAGTGGACATTCTCATATATGGAGATAATCAAAACAAAGAAAAGGAATCGTATTTTACCTTCAACTTTGCTCGCGATACTTATCAAACTGGATACAATACATAAAAATGTTGCTGCTTAGACTTCGAGTTTGGTGAAAAACATTTTAAAAAATACAAAAATAATTTATATAGTATAGAGAGAACATAAATGCAACAAGAAGAATCTGATACAGACAGTGACTGAGTTTAAGTAACTCAAAAACTTAATTTTTTCATGCAAAACAGAAATGGCCTTTAGTCATATGCTTTTTATTATTTTGTTTCCTGTGATATTTTTTTAATATGACTGCGTGATGAACGTTCTGTTGTTTGACAGTTATTTGTAATATTGTATTGGTTTTTATAGTTAAATGTTTTTTTTTATTACAGTTTCTTATGTTATATTTTATCACGCTGTTTGGTTTTAGTTTTCCTTTTTGACACAACCTGTATACTAAATGCCCCCTGTTTTATGATAATCCCCCGCGGGTAGCGGAAAGTAGCGGAGTTTTTCGATATTAGTAGCGGAATTTTCAATGTGGGCTCTGGCAACACTGAGTTCATTGCTTAAACCACAGAAAAACCCGAGCTCTTGACAAGACACTATCTCCTTAGAACCCCTTAGGTTGCACTGTGGCAAAGTCTGAAGCAACACCCGATAGCACACCGTTGCTCGAAATCATGTCATAAACTGTTTAAAAAAAAATCGCAACGGACATCCAAATGACTCGAGCGAGTTTAAACTGGTACTGAATCGGATCACATGTTCCGCGGTCTCCCTTCCAAACCCGGCGCCTCCAGTGTTGCCAGATCGAACGCTTCGTTGCCAGTCTCGTTACTTAATTTACAGACCTCGCATAAAGAATTCAGAGAAAGCAAATGATGCTATTATCTATTTCTCTCGTATATTTACTGTCATGCCAATAATAACCCGTTAGAAAAAAATGTTTCTTACCTTGATGTTTCCTCCAAGCAAAAACTTCGAAGGTAACACCGGCTTGTGACTGATCAACAATCCGCACCCGCTGAAACTCTTCGACCTCTTCCTGCCGCTACGATCATGCTTGTTCTTGCGTTTCGAACCCGCGTTGGCCGCCCTCAGGGCTGATTTGTGCCCCCCTCCACCTCCGCCACTGTGTTTCGTCGAGGTGGCGCCCGCGGCGGCCGTTGTCGCGGCTGGTTTCAACACGTCCGCTGAAGACATGCTGGATTCTTTTCTTCCTGAAATAGGGAAACGATAATTGACTCATATTCATAAAACAAAGGATATCCTTGTAAAGGGTTGTCCAATAGGGACGCAGGAAAGTAAACGTCAACATTCAACATTTACTTACCTAATGGGTCAGTTCATTCTTCATTTTTAAATTACTTTGCTGCCAAATGTATTGATCTCCACTAATGATGATGTATTAGTTTTATTTAAGCTTTAAATCAAAAAATCTTCAAAACTACTGAACTGAAGTACATTAATTTTATATCATTATAAAGGGAATTGAAAGACCTTTAAAATAAGGTATCACTCTACCCCCCTTTCCATTTAAGATTTTGGGGATGCTGTCACCCCCGCTTAGGGGGCTGTACGTGCTAACGTGATTTTTTGCCAAACATGTGTCTCCCTCTAAAACAAAATCGACGGGTCTAAGCGTTTCACCTCATTTTGTATATTTGACAGATGTGACAATTTCGCGATTAGACCTCGATCGATGCGTGGAAAATCAAGAAATGATGGTTTGAAAGTAGCGCGATTTGCCCGACTTCAACCAGAACCGAGTCGGTTGCTTACAAGGATTAGCGGACAGACAGACGGAAATGAGTGACATGGTTTTTCGAGTTTTTTAAAATTAGTTTATTTGTCAATGAAATTTTTTATTGTGTCCCGAAAAAATCTAATTGTGTGACTCATGAGATTTTTCATTACCTCTTCAAACATTTGATAATAGTGTTTGAATTCCTTGACTTTTGGCCTATTCCTGCTCGGAAGCGAAGGAAAACAGTGTATTTATAGAAAATCTATATTGCTAATTTTTAAAAAATACCGATTGCTTTTGCAATTAGGCCAGAAATAGCAATATAAACAGTTCTTATCTTCTAAATGCATCATGGCATATTATAAATATGTATGTAATGAGAGATAAGCTGGTAACACGTGACATAAATTCATAATCATACTTTAACGCTAATAAAGAATTTCAATAGTGGAAGTCATTGTTTTCCGTTAATGCCATGGCATGTAAGCAAGGCATTGAAAGAAAGCTTCAGTTTGAACTAAATACAGTTTTGCAATTTGCAAACTACCAGGAGTCTTCCTTCAGTTACCCGTAAATTCGCGTCGAAAACGGGACTGGAATTTAAAATGAATACTAAATCTTTTATTACGCTACCTAAAGCGATATATCAGAGGACGTAAGCAATCCAGTATATTTTTATTAGGGTGAGTACATGGGCCACAAACAAGTCTAAGTGGCGGATGCACATACAATATACGTTATAGTTTACAAGTAGCCTTGTATAAGTTTTTTGTAAAACTACACACTTTTAGATGTATGTCGGTACAAAAGGATTTGAACAGTGATAGTTTAAAGCGGTATAATTGACACAAATATGCTTTTTGGCTGCTTTCGATTTCATTTTCAACAAAAAAAATTGACGTCGAGTAGGTTGACACACATCGAACTCAAGCCGTCAGACAAATTTACTTTTCCCTGTATATTCACATCGTACTTTTCTACCGGTCATATATTTTTCTACTAACACTGACAGAAAACGGAAAGTTTCTATTCCATAGCATGTAAGCTCAAAGCTCCGAAGGGCAATAAAATTATACACCTAGAACTATCCCTTGAAGGGTCTTCAGCCGGTTCCTTTTTTTTAATTCTCCCCTTGTCAGAAAGACCCAGGAATACGTAACTGAACACTCACCTACTATTATATGCAGAAAAGTATACAATATTAATATCTATGCACACATTTCTCTATGTACACTCTATCATTAGCATATGCAATAAATATTCAAACTTATCTTTGTTCTCTCGACTAAATTGTTCTATTGTTGTTGATTATCATTTTACTACGGACGATACAGCTATAACAGAATACTTTTTCGTGTAGAGGAAATACAATGTAAGAATTCTAAAATCGGGTCAAACTAGGAACATGAAAACAAAGTCAGAATGTTTGAGAGGAGCAACAAATGTAAATGAGTATACAGGACCGGCTGAGAATCATAGAGGTCAAGTATTTAATGTGTACAAGAGAGATGCGGGTGGGGGTGTCGCCATGACTAATGTTCAGAAAGGTGTTCATCTCTATGATTCAGGTCTGGCAAGGTAGTTCTCGCACCTAGATACACCCGATGTCAAGTCCAGAAGCAAATATAACGAAGCCGTTCACAATGCCACACTCCAGCACATTGTCACGCAGACTGAGGGGCACTTCTCAAAGAGTAGCGTGCCACTCCTTACGTGCCAAGTTGGAACGATTGTCAAAGGCTAAGGCGGAAGTGTGCTTGCCAAAATATTTGCTGCCAACTCCACCATGGACGTGTCCTCACCAGCGAACGTGTGACGTCGATTCAACGGGTTCCCTACACTATGCGGGAAGTAACCTTCAGGCTTCTGACTATGTGACTGCTACGGTATAAAAAAATATGTACCATACTGACTTGTCGGTCCTCATCAAAGAAAAACAATTTGATGTATTTGCCCTCACTGAGATGGTTCCTTCAGATACTTTGTCTATAGATGGTTACACATTTCATAGGAAGGATAGAGGCAGTAGGGGTGGCGGAATAGGTGTGTATATAAATGATGATATAAAGTGTGAACATATTTCTATAACTGATTATATTGGAGATGATCCATCAGTAATTGAACAATTTTGGTTGAAACTTCAATTCAAGTCGTCCTCAGTTGCCTTAGGATTGTTGTACAGACCTCCTAAGGCAAATCTCAATTCTGCAGTTGAAACTCTGGATACATTTTTATCGCATTTGTCTACTGTTTACGACCATATTATCATATTGGGTGATGTAAATGTCAATTTGCTAAATGTAAGTAACAAAATATCCCTTTGCTTCGACTCATATTCTTTTAAACAATTGATTGACGAGCCTACAAGAATTTGTTCTTCTTCTATTACATTACTAGATCCTATTTTTGTAAATTTTCCTGAACAGTGTCATAATATTGGTAGGTACACTAAATGTAGATGTTTTCACCGATCATAGGTTGGTTTACTGTGAAGCATCTTTTGATAAACATCAGACCCCACAAAAAATTGTCACTTAGCGTGATTTAAAAAATTTTGATCTTGACAACTTTATGGCCGACTTACCGAGTATAAACTGGAATGATATTATTTATATTCGAGACATTGATGACAAAGTGGAATTTCTAAATGATCATATAATTTCTTTGTTCGATATACATGCACCGTTGCGTACAGCGAGGGTAAGCAAGTCCTTTGCTCCGTGGTTAACGCAAAACTTAAGAGCTATTTTCAAGCAGAGGGATCCAGCTTTAATAAAATACAAACACAATAGGACAAATCAGAACTGGACAGAATACACAGAACTGAGAAATTATGCTCTTGCATCACAGCGTAGAGAAAAGGCTGATTATCTTCAGCACTTACAAGAAACTAATAATTCATCTTCTTTATATAAGGGTATAAGGAATTTGAACATGCAGACTAAGAAGCGTAACCACATACCTGTTAGTTTACGTAACGCAACGCAGATAAATGATTATTTTTTATCTGTTTTTGGAGATAATACTCAGCTCTGTGCTAGATTCTATCAAAAATATTGGAAAGGATAGTACATGATCAATTGAAAGAGTACTGCTCTGAGAATAACATAATTCCAAAAAACCAGTCTGGCTCCAAAGTAGGGAATAGCACCACCACTGCCCTGCTTAAGGTGACTGATGATATTGTTGAGGCTTTGGATCGGGGTCAAGCAGCGGCTCTTGTACTGCTTGACTTCTCCAAGGCTTTTGACACTATCAATCATTCACTTTTGATCTCAAAATGCAAATATATTGGATTTTCTCAAGCATCTATCAAGTTCATTACTAGTTATCTCATGAATCGTATGCAAAGGGTACATTTGGACAACTCATATTCGACATATAACAATGTGATATCAGGGGTCCCTCAAGGCTCTGTTTTAGGACCGCTATTGTTCTCCAGTCACATATCAAACATGTGTAAATTGATACGGTCCTCTGAAGTGATGATTTTTACGGATGATACACAAATATGTAAAACTTTTGATCCAGATGACTGTGTAGCAGCTGTTGACGAGTTGAATTGTGACTTAGCCACTATTGTTAGTTTTTCCAAGCATAGCTCCTTAACGCTAAATGCCTCTAAATCTAAAGCTGTCTTCTTTGCACCAAAAAACAAAATCATTGATATCAGAAATAACCTCTACAGTACGCATTAATGACACTTCTTTAGTTTATGAGGATCTTGCAAAAAATTTGGGTGTCCTTGACAAGGATTTACGTTTTCGTGAGCATATATCTAAATTAGTAAGAAACTGCTTTGTTGTTGTTTGGGACCTCGGTTGGCCGCGTGGGTCAGAGTGCCGTGCTACTGATCAGCCGGCCGGCCGGGCCGCGAGTTCGAATCTCGCCTTCGCCATGGATGTTGTGTGTTTGTTTTAGGCAGCAGCGGTGGCCGCAGTAGTAGACTCTTCGGTCTCCTGATCAGCCGCCGTGCGCTGTGCGGGTTCGAGTCCCGTCCCTGGAGAAATGTTTCTCTTGGCCATGGATGTTGTGATTGTCCGTAGGTGGTAGATGGTCTCTGACTGTCGAACGCGGAGGTACCACCAGGCGGTTCTCGTAGGCGGAGCCAGAATGTGTGCATGTTGCGTGCACACGTGTTCCCTCGCCAGAGTCCGTGTGGCGTCCCCCCTTTCCCATGTATCCCCCATAGCCCCACGGTACCCAATGGGTGCTTAGGCCTTAGGCCTTCGTGGTAGTTGGAGTATAAAAAAAAATTGTTTGTTAATAGGCATTTCATCAATTTCAAATTGAAAAAAACATCTTTGTGAAAGCCTAGTTCTCTCAAAAATCAACTACTGCCTTATAGTTTTCAATCCTTACTTAGATCAAGTCTCAATTCCCGGACTTCAACTGATTCAAAATTCGTGCTGTCGCCTCATCTACGGTTTAAGAAAATATGACCATGTTTCAGACTGTATCCGTAGTTTAAAATGGTTAGATATTAATAGTTCGTACGAGTATTTTATCTTGAAGTTCATTCATAATTTGATTATCACGGGAACTCCCGAATACCTCTTCAAAAAAAATTTAATTTTACTGTTTGTTTTATACTTAGCAAGAATCGCTTTTAATTTTGCTACTGTTGTTTGTTTCAGTTTTTGGTCTTTGTGTTTCATTAATTATCTTTTAAAAGATCATCTAAAAATGTTTTCCAAAGACTGCAGTCAAAATTCCTAATAAGAATAAATCAAAAAATTACAGTAGTAAGCTAAAAAATGATAAATTGTAAATAATTATAAAAAAAAAGATAAAAACCGTAGTAAAACTAAAACCAATTCCATGTAATTATAAAAAAACAAAAAGAACAAACAGCAGTAAAATAAAAAGCAATTCTAAGTGATTTTAAAAAACTAAAAATAAAAACAGTAGTAAAAAAACAATCTCATGTAATTATAAAAAACAAGAGATAACAAACGCGTGAAATAAAAAGCATTCTAAGTGATAACAAAAAATATTAACAGGGAAAAAAATCCATGTGATTATAAAAAAAATAACAGTTGAATAAAAAGCAATTCTAAGACACAACACAAAACAAAAAGTAAAAACAGTAGTAAAACAAAAGCAATTGCATTCCATCCAAATTGCTTTTAATTTTACTGTTTGTTATTTTTTGTTTTTTTATAATTACATGGAATTGTTTTTTTTGTTGTACTACTGTTTTAATTTTTTGTTTGTTATAATCACTTAGAATTGCATTTAATTTTACTGTTTGTTATTTTTTGTTTTATACTTAGCAAGAATCGCTTTTAATTTTGCTACTGTGGTTTGTTTCAGTTTTTTGTTTTTGTGTTTCATTAATTAATATAAATGTATATAAATTTTCCACTTTTCATACTTTTCCCTAAATACGGAGCCCAATCCGGCAACACCGCAGGCAAGCGCCTCTCATATATGACGTATCCACAGACGTCAACGTCGTATCGTAGATGGCGGTGGAAATAATGAGGGAAGTAAGCGCTAAAATATAGTGTTTTGGGAAAAAAATCATGAAAAACGTGCTTCATCCACAATTTTTCTGATCTAAAATAAACTATCAGACTACCCTCTATAAGTTTCAAGTGAAACATCAGTGAAATCCGAAGTTCTACAAGACGCAACAGTACCGGAGAGTAGCGTAACACATCGTAGGCCACTGCTAACGCGGCTGCCTTTGAATCCGCGAAGTCGGTGCGCGCGGATCCCCCGATATTTAAGAACTCTCTCCGATTTTGATGACCGAGTTAAAGTATATGGCAAAATAGGTAGGTATGAAGAACATAATCCACCAAAGCTTTGACCAACGTCTGAGCGGAATGTTGTGCGGAACTTGATAAGCTGTTATGCAATCCGTGATAACGCTTTCAATGAGCCATTAAAAATGCAAATATCATATTTATGCAATATCCGACTGAAATGATTTATTATCGAAATCCAGGTTATAAATGGTAAGTTAAACAATGGACTATGACACCCAGGTAAGTACTTAGGCGCGGGGTTTGTACCCACAAATTTCGGCATTCTAGATTCCAACCAAATCCCCTAACGATTGAAATATTAGGATGGTTATCGATGAACAAATATTCCAAAAGAAAGTGCTTGGGCGCAAACTTTAGCACTCACCTAATAAACAACTTCAAAACAAAAATCAGTTCACATATATTTCAAGTTGGCCGAGGTAACTCAAAAAATGTTCGCTACAAACTACCCTTTAAATCAAATTTATCCCCTTAATCGATATAGCAGCTGTAGTTGCTCTATGATCTACGCAGCAAAATGACCCACCTACCTCCCATAATTTAAACAAATAAATTACATACAGCTGTTCCCAACAAGAACGAATTTAACAATGACCTGTCTCAACAGGAATGAAAACAACACCTCGTAATAGATCTCTGGAGATGCAATAAACGTCTCGTAAATAGCTCACCCCGAGCTAAATCGGGGATAAAATGCAATCCAGGGGATATTTTTAAAAATACGGTTTGCATCCATTGAAGCCCTTTGGCGCAAAAATGCATCTGAGCTCCGCGCATGCACAGTGGCCGCCTGTTTGCCAATCCCATCAAAGGACCTGCGGGAGCTCCGTGGACAACACATTTAGTAAAATGCTTTTTTCAGCTTAATTACAATAGGAACGGTGGTAAACTTACCTAAAATCAATTCGTCTGGATTTCGTACTCTATTTTACGGCCCATCCACGTCACTTTTACTTCACATAACGCCGGATTTTCACGGTTTTCCGGGATAACTCACCGATGGCGCGTGCTAGGAATGACTACAAAACGGTGTGCTCGTAAAACAGACTCCATTTTAATTCGGCGGCCGACTTTCGCCGAGTGCCGGCGCACACGCCCGAATGCGTACAACAGCTCACTGCTGCTTACAGTGTGGCACAACTTCAGATTTAGTTTTAGGAGCTAGAAATTGTTTTCTGGCAATGATATTTCTCAGAAGAACTGGGTGGTAATGGAAGTTTATTTAGCCTCGGATATTTTGGCATGTTGCTGACCATGAGTGACGCGTGTCAAATTATTCTTGCGACTTTTAACGCTTTATCTTATTTGTGCAACATGTGACACTGACCGATTTGATTTCAAGTTCAGCACCTAGTTGAGGAGGATTTTGATTTATAATACGACCTAGTAGTATATTTGTTCAGAAGCAAATAGAAATAAATGGTACAAAAAAGCATTTTACGATTCAAGTTTGTAATTTTCTGACAGTTAAAAGCATTGTCGGTAAACTCAATTTGCATTCGTTCTAATTTACTGTACACTTTTGGAAAAATGCGATCTTCCATTTGGTCCAATTCAGTTTTCAATTACCATGCTTCTACATAGCTAGAGAAATGATTTATCCCACAATTGAGCCACCCTGTAAGCATACAGGCTTAGGAAATTTATTTCCGCTATTGATAAAACTGCAATGGAGTATAAAATTGCATATTTACTGTTATGTGTGAACAAGGATTTTGTAATACATCGTAAACTCATCGGCTATATACCTACCTCCTACAGAATTGATAAAAAATGTTTAGCTGATACTGCTGATAGGGAACACTTCTAGGTATCTCATTACATTTAACTCTTCCATGAAATTGTGGAATAATGTCTCCATAATTCCAAAATAGAAAAGGTGTTTACACGAAAGATTGAAAAATGCCATGCTCTTGGCTTGACAGCATTGCATATTCCGAGTTTTCCAGAGCTTTCGTCACATGTGGCAACGCTGTGCGCAAACAGTCTAGAAGCCCAGTCTGCGCAAGCTTGACCGGCCATTCTTCGAATTTGAAACAAATGAATTATTGTGGAACTTACACCAACATTATTTTCCAAATTCTTTTTATGGTGACGCCATTGTTTGAAATTTGAATATTTGTGACATTTGCAGTCAAACAGGTGAATATTATAGTAGCTACTATAACTATTACTAATTTTCTTAAAAATAACGATATTCACAGTCCCAATTTGCCTATGCTGTAACCAAACTTCTTATTAGAATTAATTTATCACAACGTATCTAGTACCTTTATAATTAGTAGTTGAATAATTAATAAACATAGTCGCTTATATCATTATACAAAGTTTTAAACATATACTACATAATTTGCCAAATTGCAGGTCATTAATCATCTGCGGATTATTTGTATATACTTTATAATATGGTTGAGGTATTCCCTTACAAAAAATGTGAAGCAGGATTAGATTGAATGATGATGAAAACTAGTTTTTGCCAATTATAAAGTTTTCTTAATCGTCTAACACGTGGCTCCCATTTTGTTGAAATAACCAATCATTAGTCCCATATGTTGTCATTTATTAACGTATTCTACCTGAATATAGTCAACCATATGCTGTATTCCAGCGTCCAAGAAAGGGATCTGAAAGATATAAGAGCCATCTCTGACACGGTAGCAGAACACAAAAATGACTTTAGAAACTTGCTTTGAAAAGACTTTTAGAGTGTTCTGCTGTCGTCTCATAGATCGCGCTAAGTTCTCCAATCCATTTTGGCCTCTATAATTCCTATTTTAATTGGGTGTTCGTGAGTCAATGATGTTATCAAATTTGGGCCACGAAAGGCCGTGTTGCAATAATTTTAGATGATTTTTCATTATTCTGGAAAAAAATTGAAATTTTTCACGTATACTACTAGTCCAGGAAGTATCTTCACACCTGTTCCCAAAACCAAAAATTTGTTTTTTGCATAATTTCATTCAAAAAGAAAGCTTTAAGCATACCTTCATGTTGCCAGGCCAAAAATTGCGTAAAAATGCATTTTTTTCTCTAGAGTTGATAGTTTTCAAAACATGACCGGCATAATAATATTTGAAAAAGTTCGAAATGTGGCATTTTCGACCCCGATTATGAAACAACGAACATTTTGATGTTGCCAAGTTCCTACATATTCTTCAAACAACTTGTAACAAAATCCCAAAATGGGATATTGTTACTGTCAATGTTTGTTTTTCAATTTTGTTAATCAAGCACGCGCTCAATGTAAAAAGCAAATGCTTTGCAATAACAATATCCGTTAAAATCCTTTGAGATATTGTTAATCCTTATAATATTTAGGAACTAACCTTAAAATTTTCGTTTTTTTATTCACAATGTTTTTTGGGATCTAAAATTGCCTATTCGCACTTTTTCAAATATTGAAATGCTTATATCTCTAAAACTATCAACTTTAGAAAAAAAATCATAAGGAACTTTTCTGACCCTAAAAAATCTAAAAACGCTTTGCCTGGAGCAAAAAATAATATTTGGAATTTGTTTAATTTTTTTTTAATATTGTGTACCTGAAAGTCTACTTGTCGGCTCGGGTATAATGTAAAAAACCTATAAAACGTCAAAAAAACCTATAAGACGTCAACTTGCAGACTAGGTAGTTTTTAGGGCGCAAACAGTCATTCCACGTTTGCTCACTAGGATCGTTGCCAACGTCCATCTATGGAGGAATCACTCAACTAAACTACGCATTATTGGTTGCATAGTTTTGTGAGGCTGAGTAATCCGGGTCTGTAGTTTTTATCTCTGAGAAGAAAGTTGGTTTGATAGCAAGATCGCATCTGGATGATTATGTGTATTGGTCTGCATGTGTATAAAATCAGTGATATTTGCTGTGTGAGAAAATCATTACTGAATATGCTGAATATGACGGGTTATTTATATGTTGTGCTTTCTAAAGAGAGGTTATGTTTAAAGTTATAAATTACGAAATTACTGTTATATATGTATATGGCTTGTAATTCGACACGATCTAGTGATTATAATTATTTCTTATCTCTCTCATTTCTGAAATTCAGCAAATTTGTATTTGTAATTTCCATAATGGATAAGAAAAAGTGGATGCGCAACTAATGTCTAGCTTTGAATCTCAAGTGTATTTGAGACAAGAACCCAATGTAATTATCATCAACACATCCAACTTGCAGCCAGTAATGCCATCTCAGAAGCAGAGATTTTACATCACATCAGAGCCAAAGATTGATAACAAGCCTCATGACGTTTAGGCAACACATACAACTAAGTGCTAGGTTAACATCTTGTAGAATAACCTACATAATGTTATCATAAATTACAACTTTCTTCTCTTTATTAGTAATCTATTTAAAACTCGGTGGATGTTGAATGATAATCAAATCTTTTCCTAATCCAGGGTCAAGATGCCTATCCTTTCAAGGAAAACAGCAAGAAAACCATTCAAACCGCCCATTCAAGCCAAGGAAAATATCGAGAAAATCCTAGGCATAGAATCCCAAAAGGACAAAACAGCTGAAATCGACAATGCGCTTAACGATAGCACTGTCAGCAGCACATCTACGGATATTTCGAATCGCCTCAATGAACCTGCGATCAAAAAGTTGTACATGGACTTTACTGTTAATCTGAGCAAGAAGATATTGTGTTCTACTCCGATACCATCTTCCCAGGGAGTTAAAGAGGAAGCGGATCTTGCGAACATGTCCTTCAAGGACCATATGATGAACGTTATCAGCAATAGCCAACCTGAGCCTATAGGTACACAACATTCTTGGAACTAATTTTAAAAATCAATTTTCGGCTTTGGTCTGTGTTATAACATTAATTGTACCCGAGGACAACCAACCATGCACACTATTTCGACGTCCAAAAAATAATCGAGATGAAATAAGATACCGATACCGTAGCGCCATCTATGAGAATTCGTCAGAGTGACTTCTCCGCGATAATTAGAAATCTACTTTGAAAAAGTAAATGTCTCATAGATGTTGTAGCCAATTATACAGTGTGTTTATTTGAAAACCTACCACCACGGATTTATCGAAAACCGCTGATTAAAAAAAAAACGCCGAGACAAGTCAAAAGATTTGTCAAGGGGGACTACTTTTAACCAAAAACTACGTCGCCTCCATTCACTATGGTATCAAGATTGTGGAATAATCTACCTGAGGAGGCTTTTGTCAGTTCTACTAACCTCTATTAGCGAAGTTTCTTTTAACTCCTATAAAAAATGTATTCAAAGACAATAGATTTGTTGCTGAGCAATACTTTGATTCGTCTTTGGATATGGTGGATAGTTCATTTAGCGGGAAAAAATATAAAGCGTAGATAATATAGGTTTCATCCTAGATTGGATCTAATCTTTCCTATCAGACAGAAAACTATAACAACCACTGTACAGCAACATGAGGTCTGCTTAAAAGGGAAACGGTATTTGATATGCAAATCCACTAAATTTGACCTCGCAGACTAACTTAAAATTGAGTTAAAAATCCAGAAAAATGTAGTATTCAGGATCAGACTTGACATTTAATTGTGTGATGTACCATGCATGTGTACATTATGTAACTAAATCTAACCTAGGCTTGTGGTGAGAGCATGTAAACGAAACTAAAAGCTGAAAATCCGGACATATATATTAGGCTTTTTTGCATTTTTATCATACTCTAATTTAGTGCATATTTGCATATTAAATGCCGTTTACCATTAAAGCAAGACTCATGTTGTTGTACAACATTAGTTGGTAGAATTAAACCATAAAAAATTACTGAAAAAATAGGATGCGTTATCATTAATTTTCCCGTTTATTTACATCATATATTGCCCTTTTTCTGCGAAATGATAATGAATTCAGGGTATTACTTACAGGGTGTTGCACTTATTAATGAAATACAAGGAGAAAAAACCTAACTCCAAAATCTCAAAACATTTTTAGTTCAATTATGAGCATTATTTTGAAAAATGTTGATTAAAGCAAGTTGATAACCGCTGCAATTTTGAGTTTTGTGTCACTTAATCTTCTAAAAATGAGATGTGTTTACGAAAAAAACTAAATCAATATATTTTGCTAGTTGATTAGCACCAGTCGTTGACTCTTTTTAAGCATAGTCAGATATTTCAATATTCAGCTTAAAAGGTGTTAATTTTGATTAGAAACAAAAAAGTAAAAAAATCGACTCCTGTCCTGGATTTTTTAACTTACATATTATCTCATAGCAAACTTCGTTATCGAACAGAATTTTAATAAAACCAGTTCAACAGTGCCTGAGATATGTAAATATTTGGCATGCTTAGATACATCACCCTGTATACCGGTAAAAACTGAATTATATTTTTTTTATTTTCAAATATGAAAAGGTATTGGTCCATATTACCTACCATTTCACTATGTACGGAGCACACTGTATAGTAGGTACAATGTTTGCAGTTTTGCTGAAATACTTCGAACCAAAAATTTTATACCATTTGCATTTTTAAGTTATTGCCATATCTGACGATGAGCTAAATAAAGAGGATTGCGAAACTTCTCTATCTCAAAATATATTCAACCAAGATGATCTAGATTTTATGAAGAATTTCAAGAAGACCAAGAATGTCAAGAACATTTTTTCATCCGACGAGATGGGAAAACGTGATGGTGAGTAGAAGTTTCCAGAACTTCATTTTCCGAACTTCCTTCAATTTTTGTGAAAGGTCAAAAAAAAATGTTTTTGGTGTTCGCACTTTTTAAGGCTTTATGAGTACAAGATATCAGGCATTTTTATTAGAATTTACGTACACCTTAGATTGAGTTAGTCTTCTTACCGTATTTTCTCTCTAATAAGAATTTGAAAGATTTATTAATCACTTACTCCAGATAAAATACCAGCGAAGTCAAAAAAAGTGGAAAAGAAGTCCATTAGAAAGGTATGTGCAGGCATGCCGCTTGAAGAAATCACTCAAAATGCACAACTAAAGGGTGATAAAGCGGCTGAAAAACCTAAAAAGCAGGGCAAACCCAGAGTTCGAAAACAAAAACTGAGTAAAGCTAACAAAAATGAAGTTGCGATGGATGAAGACTTGAGGAAACTTATTAGTAGCGAGGAAAGGTATATTATTTTGTTTTTAAATCATAAATGCGTTTCTTTTGATCAATTGCTTCCATTTTATTACTTTACTCGTCAGAATAGATGGAAAAAAGCTCCGAGTCAGTCTACTTGACCCCTACTTTATTTTTACTTGTTGCTTTTTAACATGCTTTTATTAGCTTGACCTCATGTAACGGAATTTTCACTGAGATATTAACGTAAAAATAATTTTGGAAAAACATCGAATTTAAAAAATTTAAAATAACTGAATTTTTGAATTTCGGAAAAAAATAGATTTGAAAATTGGAAAATAATTGGAAAATTTGGAAATTTGGAATACAATTTGATTTGGAAATTTTGAAAAGAAATTGGATATTTTGGAAATATCGAAATTTGAAAAATATACGAAAAATAAAAGATCTTGATTATAAGTAATTTTGTTGTAGTTTTGAGATTAAAAATTTTGAAAATAAATTGTAGTTTGAAAACCACTGTTTAATAGCAAAGTAGAAAATGCTAGAATAGAAAGTCAAAATATCAAGTAGGTAGGCCTAATTAACTTGGAATAAGGTCAATTATTAAATTTAAATATAAACAAAAAATTAAATTATAGTAAAAAAAGCGTGAGGCGCCATTAACTATATTTTCAAAACTCCAATTTTGTAAATAGCAACTAAAAAATTATTCTAGCATCAACACGTACTCTCTTTAACTTGAAAAATATGTTCTACTTTTTAGTTCGATTTCGCGTTAAAGCGTGTTTTTTTTTTAGTTTTTTAAACTATAATTTATTATACAAATCCCTATTACTTATTTTCGCTCCTTTTACCTGCTGAGCGACTGTCGTGGAAATATTATTAATGCGAAAAATTTCTAAAATGTGTTTAAATTTTATATGTATGTCATGCATATTTCGAAAAACCATGTCACTTATTTTCCGCGGTCTGTCTGTCGGTTTGTACGCTAATCCTTTGGCCGTCTATAACTTGGAAAGTTGTGCTCGGATTTGGATGAAATGTTCACACAAGATTACTACTATGCCAAGGGCGAAAAAACTGAGTAGTTTTTGGAAATGGATCCAGTGGTGGCGGATCTTTGGGGCAAAAACGACAAAAAAAAATAGAAATTGCTTAATCTTCCTTATTTGACATTTTAGAGGCTACTGATCATCTTCAGAAAATTGAAGGGATTAAAAATTGGGGATGAGTCTTGTAGGGGGTGAGATATGGTGCTCGTCGATTTTTTGATGTTGATAAATGTATACGCTTTCAACGCCGGCGTCGCCTCCCCCACTTTATTTTCCGAACAGGTTAACGTGCTAAATTTTGGGATGATGAAAACTGGGAAGCTACAAATCGGACGCTTAAATTTTTCACGTACCTACATTACATTGTAAATAGATTCATATCAATACGTGGGAAGTACTAAGTCAGTCTACTTGAACGTCGTTCTTATATTTTAGCGACGTGCTCTCAGCGTCCAAAGAAACTGAACAAGAAGTAGTGTGCGAGAATAGCCTTTACGATATCGGAACCGTCGTTTGGGCTAAAATCGACGGCTATCCTTGGTGGCCGGCAATGGTTGATGAGGATCCTGATTTTGACACACACATCTGGGTGGAGGAACATGTTAAAGAACCAGTAAGTTTACCGACCGATCTATTGTTTAGCTATTTCATTCACTTTTACCCTGCCGTCATTACCCCCCTCCTGCGTTGTCTCATCGACTCTGACGTCTGATATTCCATTGTTGCCAAGTGTAAGTAGAAGCTTAGGTAAACTAGACGACAACGATATTATATTCGTTTACATTTTTTCTGCTTCCTCGTGTTACCGACCCGCCATTTAGTACAACCACAGGTAGCATACTGTGACAAATAGGCGCCATCTGTTGAGCGAGTCTTCTACTCGCCAGAGCTTAATGGCTGATCTCTGCTTTTACGTGAACCACGACCTGGCGGCGTCTGTGAGTCTGAGTACCGTGACAGTGGGTCGCCTTCTAAATCTACGCGAAGTGACCTTCAAAATTCTAGATGTCGCTAGATGTAGTAGTAGTAGAAAGCTTTATTTAGCACATTTGGCTACATAAACAGAATAAATAAATAAAACAACTTAGAACTAGTAAATTCAAGCCATATGGTGTATGATGTAAATGCTGGGCAACCTATAATTGTAGATTTAACAAGTGATTTCTCAATTTTACTTTAAATTTTGTCAAAGTTTTCTGGTCTTTTATCTCCGAGTATAATTTATTATATTCAATCAACCCTTGATGGAATACAGATTTGTAGCATATGTTCTTTTTGGTCATTAAATGGAAGTCATCTTTATTTCTGGTATTATGTAAATGATGGTCGGCATTTGATGATGTTAAATTAGTCAGACTTGATGGAAATATATTATTTTTAGTTTATAAATATCATTACGAGATATTTGATAAATTTTTTTCCTTGAGCCATTTTAATTTGCTATGCATTTTTCTAATTGGAGTATATTTATCTTTATTTAGTATTATTCTCATGCACTTATTTTGTAAAATTTGCAGTCTTTCAAAAATGGAATTATTTGCTAAATATAGAATAGTCGAACAGTACAAGAAATTTGGAAGAATGATGGTATTATAGATAATTTTTCTGCTATATGAACTCAGGCATCCAGAAACTCTCGATAAATATCCCACTTTACTACTAATCTTATTTATAACTTTTTCATAATGAATATCAAAAATTAATCGAGAGTCAACAAAAACCCCCAGGTATTTAAAATTTTCTACGAATTCAATATCTTCACCATCAATATTCAGTTGAACATGTGTACATTGTTTTTTCCGATTAACAAGGCTTTCGTTTTACTTGCATTTAATTTTAGTCTGTTAGATGCTAACCATTTTGAGACCAGCTTCAAGTCTTCATTTATATAAGAGATACCAGACTGAATATTTTTAGTACTTATATAAATCATAGTGTCATCGGCGAAAATCTGAATTTTGCATTTTTTGACTATGGCAGGTAAATCATTTATGTATAAAATAAAAAGAAGTGGTTCCAGGATACTGCCCTGTGGAACACCCAACGTATTTTCAATTTTTGATGAAATACTGTTATTAACTTTTGTAACTTGCATCCTTTTAGACAAGTAATTCCTAAACCAATCTAAAACACTTCCTGTTATACCATATGCCTTCAATTTACCTAACAAAATATCTCTATCAATCGTTTCAAATGCCCTCTTCAAATCCAAAAATACTGCCATGACAACGTCTTCTGAGTCTATGGCTCTTCTCCAATTCTCAGTTACCAACTGGAAAGCTGTTTCTGTGGAATATTTTTTTCGAAAGCCTGCTTGCGCCTCCACTAAAATTTTGTTTTCTTCTATAAACTGCATTAATTGGTCATGCACTATGGAGTCTAATAATTTTTCAATGTCTGGTAACACATTTACTGGTCTCATATCGCTGCATCTTTTAGAATTTTTTATTTTGGGAACTGGTGTTATTGTAGAGCATTTCAAATTTTCAGGATAAGAACTGCTTCTCAGTGAACAATTGATCCAATTTAATACAGGATATCCCAAAATTTCGAAACAGTTTTTCAGCACGTTTTTAGTAGTGATTTCGGCACAGTTGTTATTTGATTTTGAACTGTTTACTTTTTTTCTTAGATAATTCAATGATACGCTGTGAAATTTTGAAAGTGTATGCAACATTTCCCCCTGGAAAATGATTTTCAAATAGTCAGGTGCAGCATTGGCAGTACCCACAATATCAACAATACTTTCCACAAAATATCCATTTAGTTTGTTTGCAATCACCAAAGAATTTGTTTCGGTACCGTTTTCGAATTGAACTTGATTTACACAATCATGCGGCTTCGAATTGATCAGTCTTTTTAAAGTCTTCCACATGGAGGCGGAGAGTACGAGGGATGTCTTTTAAGTTTTGCATACGGAAATAAAACAACACGGTAGGTAGTTTTAAATGACATTATTGTTTTTCGAAGTATTCTCCACGAAGATTAATACACATCTGCATGTGCTCGAACCAATTTTCGAAGCACTTATTCCACTCGTTTGCTGGCAGATCCAAAACGGCAATTGTGAATGCGTCAAATGCTTCTTCTAGTGACTGGAACCTTTGACCACGCAGTCTGTTTTTAATTTTCGGGAAAATAAGGAAATCGTTAGGACTTAGATCCGGACTATATGGAGGATGGTCCAATAACTTCACGTTTTCTTCCGTTAAATACTGCCTTGTTTTTTGGGCTGTTTGCGAGCTTGCACTGTCTTGGTGGAGGATGATTCTTTTTTCGGGGTTGATTTTTCGACGCTCGGTGATGACTTTTGGCAAACAAATGGTGGTATACCAATCCGCAGTAACAGTTATTTGCTCATTAAGAGGAATTGTTGCAATATGTCCCGCTTTTGATACAAATGTCGCGACCATCTTTTTCGAAACACTTCGATAACGGATGACTTTTGTTGGCTTTTCTTCACCTTGGAACACCCAAACAGCCGACTGTCGTTTATTTTCTGGTTCATAACAGTAAATCCACGATTTATCACCACTAACAATGCTGTACACATTTTTTTAGTTTCCGGAATTGAAACGGTCAAGCGTTTTTTGACACCAATTAACCCTGGTTGCTTTCTGCTCTTCAGTCAACAGTCGGGGGTATCCAACGACAAACTAATTTTCTTACTCCTAATTCTTCATGTAAAATTTTTTGAATTGAGGTCTTTGAGATCTTCAAGGACGCCTCAATCTCGCGATTTGTCACATGTCTATCTTCAATGATGAGTTTGCGCACAGCATCGACACGTTTTCCTGGGTGACTGCCGTTTTTGGTGCACCCACCCTGGAATCGTCGCAAGACTCACCCGTCCACGTTTGAATTCTCCATACCAACGGGAAATTGTCGACTGACGTGGCGCTTCGTTGCCGGAAACAGACAGTAACTCAGCAAGGCATTATTGCTGCGATAATTGTCTCCGAAAGTTGTAATAAATCATGTCGCGAAAATGTTCTCGGTCGAGTTCCATTTTTCTAATGACTTGGTGACACTTAAAAATTCACTATAGTGTTATTGTTGTGAAACTTTGAATTTGGGTTTACTCATCGACTTTAAAACGAGTTTTAAAGTCGATGGGTTTACTAAAGAGTGAGGTTAAGATTCAGTACTGTCGTTCGATCCGCGCGGCCTACTACGTTTCTATATGCAAAACTTAAAAGACATCCCTCGTACAGATTACACCAGTGCAGAGCGGAGTGGAGTATAGTGCAGTCAATGGTGACATAAGATTTAGTCAGACATAAATAGTGGTGTATATAAATGTTCTATCAAGGTAAATAAATTAGTGCATTTCTTTTTGTGGAATCCAGTGTTTTCATCCACACCCAAAAGAATACACAGGTGTAAAAATTATCAATAGCATGTCTGTCTCTGGCGAAAATCAAATGAATTAATAGTTTTTGATGGATCATACCGTCGCCTAAGTTCTAACGCAGCGCAACTCAACATTGACGAATTTTTAAAAGAGCAAATAAACGGTGGATCGTAGAATTAATTCCCTATCGAATGCCACGAATATTTTGATAGCGCCATATTTTTGAGTTACGCGATGTTAGAACTTAAGTGACGATATGTGAAAATCATTTAAGAAAAACCTATTTCCGACGACGTCTGGTCCAGGGGCCTTTTTCTGCGGAATAAAAAGGTGTTTATAAAATCGGGATGCTTGAGAAACATCCTGAACATGATTAAACTAAGACAATACAGCATGCTAAGTTACAAATAAAAAGTGCAAAAATATGAAGTAGTATATACAGGGTGGCACAACGGAAAGGTCGCACCCTTATTTGTGACTCTCCTGGTATATTTTGGGAAAAACACTTGGGCACGTCAATTTTTATTTTTATGGGGACGTCTTTTCACACATTTATTTTTTATAATTCGATAATTATTGCATTTCCATCTAAAAAATCCAAAGTGTAACGCAATTTCAAAAAATATACCAGGAGAGTCACAAATGGGGCCACCCTGCATGTTTATGAGCTAGAAAAAGTATCCCTCCGTACATGTGGGGAGAGTGGCCCAATGCCAGAAGGGCGTATGTCTTTTTGCTATGGAAGTACCCATAGTAACTGGTCAACAGGACGTTTAGTGAAACTGAGTGTTTTAAATTGCGAATTAAATAAATAATTGTTCTTAAATATTTGGTAACATGACTGATATGTTCATCCCAGTTCAAGGAGGAACTGATGAAGGCGTTGCGAGTCAACCTATCTGACGGCATTATATCCATTTTCAGACTTGGTACCATGTGACGTTCTTCGACACCGCGCAAGTGACTCGGGCGTGGGTACGACCTAATCGTATTAGGGATTATAAAAATCCGATAGTTACCATGGAAAAACTTTGTCCAAGAATGCGTTCGGCCAGGCTCAAAGGCAGCCTCAAGCAAGCGGAAAATGCATTGGAGATGTCTTGGAGCAGCAGATTGGCGAAGTACAGATTCACCGTCAGGTAAGATAAAATTTTGAAAATGTGATTGTGATTTTTTATGTTATACAGGGTGATTCACAGGTCGTAACCAAAAATGACCACATTTTTAGGGGGGGTCTTCTATGTAACATTTATCCTCGAGGGCTTGAATATGGACAATACTTAGGTAAATCCACACACCAAATTTTAGTTCATTCCAGTTGACGGTTTTGAAGATATTAAAAAAATGTTTTATTTAAACTTCAACGCCCCGTATCTTTTGAATGAAGCTCTCGAGGAAAAAATGTTACATAGAAGACCCTCCTTAAAGTGCGGTCCTGAGTATGATGTTTCATTTTTAGTCACGACTTGTGAATCACCCTGTATAAAGCAAGGAGCACCGCTTGGATTTTGATGTAGTTTTGGCACACAGAATTAATTTAAAAATCTACAAAAAAGTAAAAATTGCCCAAACTTTGTTTTATGACGTTTCAAAGATTTATACTCATCTTCAAAAATTCCTTCGTAGAGGTTGAAAGTTGTAGAGGTTGAAAATGTTGCATTTATGGTATAGTTCAGGACAGATTTAAAAGTTTCTGTTTACATTCTTTCTGCTTCTTTATAGTATTGACACAGGTTTAAGTAATGATGAAAGGTGATTCATCATAGGCGGAGTTAAGGGGGTATGGGGGTACTGCCCCCAAGTTTCATCGCCAAGCGTGAAGAAAAAATTTGCTATCCTTCATATGAGGAAGCATGCAGTTTGTGCTCCCACAGCAAACTTTCTCTCATTTGGTTTATCTGTCGGCGCGGAAGTTGGTGGTGTCACCCCATCGAAAGTCAAAAGCAATAAATTTTATATGATTTATAAACGCAATCATTTAATATCTACAGGGTGACTTTGAAGTTGAGTCATTAATTTTCAGATAATGATTTAGAAGGAAGATAAACCAAAATATGTGTGTAAAAATAAAAAAAAATTAAAAAAAATGTTACCTTGTTTTATAAAGTATCCTCCCGAAGTATTTCAGTGCGGACCTGTATTTGTCTTGGAGCACCGGCATGCCCTCCCCTGTGAGGTTTTAAGTCAAATGATTCACGAGCCCTTTGTACTACATTAACAAAAGCACGAGGGGTTGGTTGCACTCGATTGGGAAACCGATTCGCATAAATCCGTGATACTGTGGCAGCATTTTGTAGACTCCCCCCCCCCCCGTAAATAAGAATCATGTCCACAAGTTCAGCACTTTCGTAAACATGTGCCATTTTTTATTTCGTTTGAGCCCGCAACAAACACCACTATTCACTCACGCGTTACCGACTGACACACTGACTGAATGCAACTGAATAAAATTGTAGTAAAAACATCGTGATAAACGTTTCAAATTCTTTCGCTTTTTTGTTTCCGATGCGATGAACGGATAAGGCGGATTATATCCGTTGTTGCCAAACACGAGCACATAATATTATTATTGAGACAGGGCGGTACTCAAACCTCTAAAGGGCTATAACTTTGTTACTTTAATTTTACCAGAAAAATGGTAAAGGAAAAAACATTTCTTTTGATCGGATCCACTCACTGTTAAAATAAATGACTCAACTTCGAAGTATATTTAAAATATTGAACAAATAACAAAAAACAATTAAAACTAAGACAGACAAAATATTTTCATCTTACAATTAAAATCTCTTCTTTCTAGCTTTGACAGCTGCAAACTTCATCAAAATTTATATTTTATATTGCCTCATGTTCAATGACTAATATATCATTGTTGCCCGCAAGTTTTTTATTAATTTTAGTTTACTGAAACTCCTTTCACTTGAAGCTGCGAACACGCAAACCGCCATGAACAATTTTAGTGCAATAATAAGATCTTGACGGGATTATGTAAAATCCCATTCAACAATCTAGAGATACCCAATCAGAAACTGTAACATTAGCGACCTTTAATTGTCTTCGCAGCCTTGGTATCTCCAAAAATAATTCTGTTTCTGAGGCCTCATCATAAAAATCAGTAAATTTGTATGTAACTAATTTCAGTTCTTCAGTATTCGCCAAAAGCAAAGTATTTGCTTGTACGATCTCAAACAATGAAGGTAGGTCTTGAAGAGACTTCGATCTTGTCTGGAGTTCAACTTTGAAAAAGTTGAGTCACCGGGTGTGTGTCACCCCGCAACCCACGCCCCCTTGCTACGCCACTGCATAAAATTGCTTTCAGTGTAGGAAATCTAAAGTTCGCATTGTTTCCATATGGTCAGGGAAGCCTCGGTAGCTCGATGATTGGACTCGCTGGTTCGAATCTCCGCCTAGGTGTTTAATTCCGTGCAATGGATGTTGTATTGTGTGTTGCCTATATCACACGTGGGTTGCAATATTAAGGACAGATACAAATCTCATCGCTGGAGCTGGTTTCTCATGTCAGTTACTAGCAGATGGCTTGTGGACAGTGTTACCGAACCGAAAAAGACGAAATCGGTAGATTCAATGACAAAATTGGTGGTTATAAAATTCTGTATATTTTTCTATTTTATTCATGAACTTGAAGCTTCGTCACTTAACATTAGTATTTAATATTGATGCGGAAATGTTGGTTATCTACCACTCTGTACGTGTTGTATGCACAAAAAGCGAGGTAAGGGATGTGTGTATATATAATAGTAGACAACCCAAATCTACGTTTCTCGTGTAACCAGATGTCAAGTGTCCGCATATGTGCGGCATAAAATTACATATAATTAATTTTTTTGCTTTATTTTTGGTTCCAGCCCTTAATTGGTAATAAATTATTATAAAAAATCGTAAAAATGAGGACGTTTTCTGTATTTCGGTAAATAATAAGGTTAAAGTTCGGTAGACTTACCGAAAAATCGGTAGGTTCGGCAACATTGCCAGTGGAGTAGTACAGTGTTGATACTACGAGGTCGGCAAAGAGGGTCAAAGGTGACCTACTCTACTTCTGTAAGCGCATAGCAACAAATTCACATAATTTGAATGAGTACTGTTGCGTCTTGTAGAACTTCGGATTTCACTGTTTTTTCACTTGAAACTTATAGAGGGTAGTCTGATAAATTATTTTACATCATAAAAAGTGTGGATGAAGCAGGCTTATGATGATTTTTTTGTCCCAAAACATTGTATTTTGTAGCAGTTATTTCCTCCATTATTTCCACCGCCATCTACCCTATGACGCTGACATCTGTGGATATGTCATATATGAGAGGCGCTTGCCTGTGGTGTTGCCGGATTGGGCTCCGTATTTAGGGAAAAATATGAAAAGTGGAAAATTTATATACATTTATATTAATGAAACACAAAAACAAAAAAACTGAAACAAACAACAGTAGTAAAATTAAAAGTGATCCTTACTAAGTATAAAACAAAAAAATAACAAACAGCAGTAAAATAAAAAGCAATTCTTAGTGATTATAAAAAACAAAAAATTAAAACAGTAGTAAAACAAAAAAACAATTCCATTTAATTATAAAGAAACAAAAAATAATAAACAAAAAAATAAATAGCAATTTGGATGGAATGAAAATGTTCTTCGTTTTACTACTGTTTTTACTTTTTGTTTTGTGTTGTCATTTAGAATTGCTTTTTATTCAACCTTGAATTGTTTTTTTTACTACTGTGTTTATTTTTTGTTTTTTATAATTATTTATAATTTATCATTTTTTGGCTTACTACTGTTATTTTTTGATTTACACTTATCAGGAATTGCCTTTTATTTTGCTACTGTTGTTTGTTTCAGTTTTTCGTTTTTGTGATTCATTAATTAATTAATATACATAATAAATTTCCAACTTATCATATTTTTCCCTAAATGCAGAGCCCAATCAGGCAACACCGCAGGCAAGCGCCTCTCATATATGACACGTCTACGTCATATGGCAGATAGATGGCGGTGGAAATAATGATGGAAAGAACAGCTAAAAATACAATGTTTTGGGAAAAATGTTTGCTTCATCCACACTTGTTTTGTTTCTAAATAATCTAATAAACTACCCTCTAAAAATTTTAAGTGAAAAAACAGTGTAATCGGAAGTTCTACAAGACGCAACAGCACCTTTGAATGTACTATAAGTAGACGAACTTGAAGCCGCTAGTCTCCACCTCCTTCCCGCGCCCCGCACCTCTACAAGCTAGCAGGTGCGTCCAGCGGCATTTTTGTACATCTACAAAAAAGCCGCATTCTCGGGTTTCTGGCTTCTTAACTAGCGTCGATAAAAAATGTAAACAGACACTATACGTCTGTCGTGAACTATATCAGTGCCTCATCTTCGCACTTGTTAGCTATAATAGTCACGAGCGCCCGCAGAATTTTTTTTCGGGGAGGGCAGATCAGTCATCAACAAAGAAGCATTCTGATATGTATTAGCTTCCAAAAAATTTTTAATATCGGTAGGTGGAAAGTGAACATATCTGTAGTCAAGTTTCGATGTTTGACATTTGATTCTATTGACTTCGCCCATTTTTTTATATAAATTTGCGTAGCTGATTTTTTTCTAAAGCAGCTAATTTGCCCCACTTTTGTTTTAGCAGCTACTACTATAATAGATTATGTGATACCGGATATCGCCGCCTAAATATTTAAAAAATTGCGAACGCAAATTTTACTTCTATTTTAATTTCCGATGTAAAAAAGGGAATTTTATTTCTACTTGAAAATATTCTCCTGACCTTGAAATGACCTCAAAGATTGTGGTAAATTACATTCAGTTTCAATTTTTGACACTTGATTCTATTGACCTTGCCCATTTGTTTAAATACATTTGCGTCGTTAATTTTTTTTCTAACGCAACTTACATCATACTGGGTGTCCCATTTTAATTTCCCCGCGTGAATATTTGGAAAATTTCAAATTCTAGAAAAAAAGTTTCAAGCAAAAGTTGTAGGATTTCGAGAGGGCAAAATGGTGGAGACCATGACAATGATCTTGACACTCCGACCTTAACGATCATTTCAAGATCAGGTGAATATTTTCAGAATGAACCCTCTTTTTTCACATCGGAATTGAAAAGAGGTGGAAATTTTACATCCGAATATAAACATGGCCATAGCATGCAAGGCCATTTCAAGGCCAAATCATTACATCGAAACCAATTTGAAACAAAACAAACCCTCTTTTTTCACATAAGAATTTAAAAGAGTTGGAAATTTTACATCTGAATATGGACATGACCAAACCATTCAAGGCCAAATCAATAAATCGAAAAGAATTTGCTCTAGCAAAAAAGGTCGACCCAAAGGTGACCTTGGCCATTACCTTCAAGGTCAAGTCAACATTTCCAAAGAAAGCATCTCATTTTTTGCCGGTAACGGAAAAAGCAGACAATTGTACGTCCTTATGACCTTGACCTCAAATTACATTTGAACTTGACTTTCATGTCAAGGTCACATCCAGGCGTAAAATTTCCCGCTTTTCCATTTTCAGTGTCAGAATGAGACGCGTCCTTTGGAAATTACGACTCAACCTTGGAGGTTATGGTCAATGTCACCTTAAGCTGATCCTCACAAGTGTGCTGTCGAATATTTTTACTAGAGCAAATTATTTTCAGCGTCTTAATTTGACCTTGAAGGAAAGAGTCAATGTCATGAACATATTCGAAAGCAATTTGACTCCTATTTTCAATTCCGATGTAAAAAAAGGAATTCTATTTCTACTTGAAAATATTCTTCTGACCTTGAAGATTGTGGTAAAAAAATCATGTAGATTATATTCAATTTGAATCTGCTCAAAGTCGTTTGACTCTATATGTAACATGAAGTTAGTTTCTCTGGTAAATTTGTTCATTGTTCGTTTGGAAATAAACCGAAAACAATCGATTTGATGACAGAAACGCATGGGAAGTACAGACTCAGAAACCACTGTCATTTTTTAGATACTCCAAAGGAGTTGGTGACCTAGAGCGAGAAAGAAAAGACAAGCAAAAACTAGATGAACTAAAAGAGAAAAAACGACAAGAGCGAAAAGAAAGATACTTACAAAAACTAAAAAGCAAAGTGACAAAAACTAACAGAGAACACAACGCTATCAAGAAGAAGAAAAACAACGATTTGGAACTGTATCCGACAGATGTAGAAGAAGAGCTAGAAGAGTTTGTCAGTAAAATGGACATTGACATGCTCAGTAAGGGAATCATGAATGGAAGTTTTGATATGTTAGAAGGTACAAATCAACTTTAAACAAAGAACGATTCCTTAGATGATTTTGTATACGTAAGCTAAATCTCATAATTTACTTGTTAATTTTCCATAATTAGTTAAGTGTTCTTTAAAATTCTTCATTTCAACAGCAAATATGTTCAGATCTACGATTTGAGTTTAATTTATATTAATTTCGACCTGTTTGTATCACCAAGTGATAACTTAGTGTAATCTTAGAAATAGTATAAGTTGTGACAGTTGAAGCTTCCTTATCAAAGTATTATAAAGTGATATGTTTATATAATAAATGATATGAAAACGTTAACTGTTTTGGGAATATCAATATTTTAATACTTGATGGTTGCAGTGTAGCAAGGGAGACCAATTTCTCCTTGGAACCCAGCAGGTGGGAAGAAAACTCTTTCTCATTTCTGCTTCGATTTAGATTTATTAACCTATTATAGCACATTAAAATCTGAAACGCAAAAATATAACCTATGCATATAAAATCATCATATCTCGTAAGCTCGGAAAAGTATTGAGGATTTATATATACAATAAAAAAGTATCATCGAAGATGCATTATATATAACCTAAAGTAATCCCTCCCCATTTAGGATAATTCTAGAAAGTTTTACTTTTCCACTAAGTACTACTTTTCATCAAAGATTTCACTTAATACGAGGGTACAATAACAATGTCACGACAATTTATTAATTAATAATACTTTCATGACACACCTTGTGTAACAAAATAACGGTTCTGTATTTTTTTCAAATATTTTTGGAAAAGATCAAAGTCAGTTTTCGGTGACCTTGGTCTCACTTTCAAGGTTATTTCAGGGTGAACTTTCGTTTTTTAAATGCACAGTCCGCTTTTCGATACCTGCACTCAAAATGTTCGAAATCTCTACGTCCGAATGTGTATTAAAATCGAGATCAAAGTCAACTATAAAGGTCAAATGTGTGATGCTTAGGTAAAATCCAAGAAGTCTAGCAGGATTATTAATGGTGAAAATCAAGGTCAGACCATGACTAACTTTTAACAAGGATTTCTAAACTGACCTTGAATTTAACCTTGGCCTTCTCCTTCAAGCTCATAACAGTACATGAAAAGTTGACTTTGATTCTGAGGTTCAAGGTTGAATGCAAGGTCACCACTGAAGAATAAATTCAAGCTCAGACTATTAGTGATTTGGAGTGATTTTGGAGAGATTCAAGGTTGAATGCATAATTTAAAACAGGATTAATGAAAAAAATTGAGGTCAGACCATCAGTATCGTTCAACAAGGATTTCGAAACTAATCTTGAATTTGACATTCTCCATCACCTTCAAGTTCATAATGGTAGATGAGAACGTGAAAAATGAAAAGTGACCTCGAAATAAATTTGGACAGGCTCAAGGCTGAATGCAAGTTCACCATTGAAAGCAGGATTATTGATGAAAAAAATCAAGGTGAGACTGTCAGTATCTTTCATAAAGGATTTAGATACTGACCTTGAATATGACTTTGTCCCTCACCTTCAAGCTCATAATAGTATATGAGAACGTAAAATTGCATGAGGACTCCTAGTTTAAAAAACTGACCTTGAAATAAGTTTGGAAAGGTTCAAGGTTGAATGCAAGGTAACCATTGAAAGCAGGGTTATTAATGAAATTAATAAAGGCCAGACTATCAGTATCTTTTAATAAGGGTTTAGATACTGATCTTGACCCACAACTTCAATCTCATAATAATACATGAGAACGTAAAATTCAATGAGGATTCCTAGTTTGAAAAAGTGACCTTGAAATAAGTTTGGAGAGGTTCAAGGTTGAATGCAAGATCACCATTGATAGAAGGATTGATGATAAAAATCAAGGTCCGACCATCAGTATCTTTCAACAAGGATTTCGAAACTGACCTTGAATTTGACTTTCTCCCTCACCTTCAAAAAAAAAATTACCTTGAAATAAGTTTGTAGAGGTTAAAGGTGAAATGCAAGGTAACCATTGAAAGCAGGATGGATGAAAAAATCAAGGTCAGGCCATCAGTGACTTTCGGTTGAGATTTTGATACTGACCTTGAATTTGACCTAGTCCATCACCTTCAAGCCCATAACAGTACATGAGAAAAGGGTTCCAAGAGGATTCCTAGTTTAAAAAAGTGACATTAAAATGAGTTTGGAGAGGTTCAAGGTTAACTGCAAGGTCACCATTGAAAGCAGCATGATTGATGAAAAATGAAGGGCAGGCAATTAGTATCTTTTAACAAGGGTTTCGATACTGACCTTGAATTTGACGTCCCTCACCTTCAAGCTCATAAGCACATGAAATAAGTGTGGAGAGTTTCAACGTAGAATACAGATCAGACAGGATTATTGACGAAAAAAATAAAGGTCAGGCCATTAGTAATTTTTGACAGGGATTTTGATACTGACCTTGAATATGACCTTATGCCTCACCTTCGAGCTCATAATGATACACAAGATGGTATTAGGAAGTGAAATTTTCCATGAAGGTTGATAGTTAGAAGAACCGTTGACCTTGAAATAACTTTGATGGTGATGTTCAAGGTTGAGTGCAAAGTAACTATTGGAACCGCACAGATTGATGAAAAAATGAGGGTCAGACCATTAGTATCTTTCAATGAGGATTTCGATACCGGCCTTCAATTTGACCTTGGTCGTCACCTACAAGCACATAATAGTACATGAGAGCGTATTCGAACGTTACATTTTCCATAAGCTTTTCTAGTTGAAAAAAAGGTGACTTTGAAAGTGAGGGTCATGGTTGAATACCAGTGAAATCCTTGAAGAATTTAATTTCATCCAGGCATTTTCCTTATACCCACATATTTGTCCTTCATTTGATCTTTAGAGGTGAACTTGATCTTCAATACATATTCGTAGGGCGTTATTTTCCGTTATTCCAATTTCAATCAAAAAAGCTACTGCCTATTTAAAAAAATGAGCTGACCTTGAAATAAGCTTGAGTTTTAGGTTCAATGTCAAATCATGTCTAGCGACATATTTCAGAAACCATCTCGTTTCATTAGCATTTTTTTTATTTCATCAAGTTTCAACTTTGTTCTCTAATTGACGCCATTTCCGGTAGAATTTCGCTGCAATAATATCAATAACTATTTATGGTAGATGACGCTTTGAGTTTTTTTTTTTTGTAAACACATTATATACTACTTCGTACTGCGTAAATATCCAGAATACAATAATATGACACCCAACTAAAATCACATACAGTTCCTACTCTATGAGGTAAGGTAGTTTAATAAGCTTATCCCTTTTATTCCAGTCAAAATAAAAAATGAAGGTATATCCGTGGAGCTATGAGAATCAACACACACCATTAGAAAATAGTACAGTGCAAATTTCTAATTTATCTAATTTAAATTTCACAAATACGCCATATACATTATTCAACGTACAAACTTAAACCCTACATATTTTAAATAAAAAATCTAGAGATATATTGAGCACAAAGCATTGCTGATTGTATTAGACATTTATAAATTAAACGGGAAACTCATGCGACAAACTTTTATCTGATGAACACAACACGCATATCGTTTCGAAATAAACGTTTCCAAAATTAATATTTTTTCTGCGAATGCTTGAGCTGTCTATCGCTATTTGAATAAAAAATGCAGAACCTTGATCCTACATTTTTCTTTTCAGTTTTAGTAATACCCAGTATCTTACACATGACAATGACAAAGTGTCATACAGCTATACTGATGACCTAATTCACAGCAACATAAAAATAAGTTTTTTTCTGAGGGAGCACTGTAGGCGTTACTTCTCGGTATTTAGGTAGTTATCGTTATTGTAACATAATATGTATAAATATCACATATGCGCTTGGTAGCTGATTACATGACGAACACCTTCTCGACCTTCTTGAACGGGAACACTTCCTTGGTTTTCGGACAAATCACTTGCCCGTTGTTTTCCCTGGCCATCTGAGTCAACGCCTGAAAGAAGCAGAGTTAAAACATTGATTAACATATTCTACCTTAAGACAGCCAACCAAATACTGTGATCTAAAAACGGGTCTGAATGATACTAGCGCTATCTATGACATAGTAGCAGAGTCAGTTGAGTATTTATATTTAACTTGTCCTTTGATTTTCAAGTCGACAATCCCCTCAGTTGGCTGAATATTTTAAGTGCAGTGGTGACTTATTTGAGGTGAAAAATTTACCTGTTCTCCGTAAATGTATCCATTAGGCAACATCATAGGTTGATTGTTCTCGTTCATGGGCAGGCCGCTGATGAAGCAGTACAATCTGGATTGTGAACAGTGAGCAAAGGGAAGCGAGTCCGCCAGTTCGTTCAAATGAGGCCGACACACAGGACACAAAGGGTTGCGGTTCTCGTGATTGTCTGAATAACACTGAGTGCACGAGAAGAGTTAAGGCAAACATTATATTGTAATATATATAGGATCGACTGCTAGAGGCAATTTAAATCTTCAAAAAGTGCTTTAGTTTTCACCTTATGATCAAATAGATTTATTTTGTTGCAGTTGGTTGTAGAAGAACTCTGCCTCTTTACCCGAATAATCAAATTTATAAAAAGTAAAGAGTGTCCAGAGGAAAATTTTCAAATTTAAAGTTCAATATAAAAAACTACATTGTTTTCATTTATTTTTGATTTCAATAACATGGAGCATGATAATGCGGATTTCATGTTGTAAAAGGGCCTTGATTGTTAGGGAATTCTTATTGTAAACCTTGTTTTGAGGTATCCCCATTAAAAGAAATCGCAAGGCGTGGGGTCTGGCGATCGAGGCGGCCAAGGAATGTCACGGTACTTGTTCATCAGTTTATTTGGAAAAAATTTCCTTTACCTAGCTGTATGCGGAGTGGCACCATTTTGCTGAAATAGTGTTCTGTTGTTGTAACTTGAGTACATTTCATTTCTTTATTGGTGCTTAATACACCAGTGTGCTTACACAGGTCAAAGTAGAAGTTAAAACATTAACAGAAAACTGTAAAAAACAACATTAAAAGAAAAACTGTAAAAAGATATGATTCTAAATTAAATACAGAACTATAGAACAAGCACATCCGAACAAATTATCAAACAGAGCAAAAGTAAAAAAACACACTACAACACCATAATACAGGTAAGAGAACCAAAAAGTTATTTAAAAAATTTTCAAGTGGATTCCATAGTAGTTTCCATTCTTTGTAGATGACGTCTAGTAATATCTAAATTATGCATCTTACATGTACTGCAACTATGTATTTTGTATAGATCCAAATCGTTACGTATATAACATAAGCAGATAAATATATATATAGATGGAAGAGTAAGGATCCTTAAGTTGATGAATGCCATGGCTGCATATAACTCAGACCTGCGATGACTCTGATGCAGATTTGTTTTAGTGCAAGTACTTTATTAAGTATCTATAGTATGTGGTATCACCAAAAACACAGATTTTCATATTCGTAATTAAATAAGTGGTCTTGGATAGTTCCCTGAGAAAATTGTTAGCACGTTCCACCCAAGGCATGTGTGTATCAAGACTGACACCCAATTATTATACTCTTGCTATGGTATTGACGTTCCGGTGACAAAAACCTATTATCAGGGCATTTGTCTGTGAAGCATTAAGTATCAGTTTATTTGCTAAAAACCAATTTTCAAAATTTTCTGTATATTCAATATTCGCAGAATAAGGTAGATCAATCGATTTGCTACTATAGATCATTGTGGAGTTGTCGTCAGATTGTATAAGGTTTTTGTTTATATTACAATTAGGAAGGTCATTTACGTATAATAGAAGTGGTCCCAGAACTGCTGCTATTGCGGTAACAGATACCCGTCTATCATTTGGCAATGAATCAGAGCAAATACTGTCTATCCTTGGTTAAAAAAGGGACAATGACCCCGACTGGTGAAATGGCACACCAAACTGTGTAAATGTTTTTGATGGCATTTTCTATGGTTTTTGTGGCAGCAGTATCGCATATTTTGTTTATTACCATATACATCGATTTACTTCATCGCTGAATGAAATATTTCTAACCGCGTCTGCTATCCGAAACCGTTCCAGCATTGTTTTTGCATAGTATGGTCACTTTCATTGAGACCCTGAACAATTTGCACTTTGTATGGGTGGAGCTTTAATTTCTTTTTCAGAATAACATGCGCTTCTGATTTTTTTATTCCTGTGGATGCCGCAATCTTCCTTTCATTTCATTTCGAACTCAAGGCTGTTCTAGCATTGTTGCTGTTGGTTGATGGTTCTGGAGGACCTTTGTCCTTTCTTGTCTGAATCTTTTTACCCACGACCAGGTAAGTTGCGTGCTCGGTCCATCACTTGGGCGTCGAAAATTAAAATTAGTACAAAAAGTGCGCGCCCCAGTGATTCACCTCACTTGAGATATCCGCTAGTATTTTCAGAAATGCAATTTAAAGTTGAAAATTTCCCTCTGGACGACCGTTTATTATGAAAACAAGGCATTTCCGAACCCATACTTTTCTTAAGAATTTATGGGATGAATCTGCCCTTGAGAAGAAAAATTGCATAAAAAGGATATGGAGTCTTAAGTGCTGAAAGGCCGGCTTGCAGTGTCACTGTAAAGACAGACTGCGATGCTAGCTGAAACAATTTGTAGTTCTCTTGCCTGAACTGTTCAATCAGCGTGTCCCATCGCGATTCGTCGAATAATGCTTTATATCGGGCGATCACTGAAAATAATAAAGTTTCAGTAATAATTTTATAGAATTTCACACAATACGGGTATTTTTCTATTTTAATATTGATGAACGTTTTCTACACGAGGATAGACAGCCTAATACTATATTCACGCGTCCAAAAGCCATCCAAATAGAAATGAGATACTGTAGGGTCATCTATGATAACTCATCACAGCTATCCTTTTATTTGTAATAACTAGGAGTCTAATTTGAAAAGGTCTCATAGATGGCGCTGTAGCCAACTACATAAAGCATATAGCTACAGCGCCATCTAAGAGATGCTAACCTTTTAAAGTAGACTTCTAATTATTTCAGAGAGAAGAAAAATATAAGTGAAAAATTCTAATAAGTGACGCTACGGTATCAAATTTCATCTCGGATAATTTAGGGGCGCGCGAAGGTTGGATATCTTCAAATAAAATACGTTAATCAATAGCATTAGAGAGGCGCCGAAAAGAGATTAAAGATACCAGCGCCATCTATGAGACAGTAGCAGAGCCAAACACTCTAAGTCTTTAGATTTCTAAATTTATTTTGGTCTTCTGCTTCCACCTCCGGGATAGCACTAAGGTATTTCAAGTTCCTTTATGGGCGCAGAAATACAGTAATAGTTGGCTATGATTGGGCAGAAAACATTTATCAAAGATTCTTCAGAATCCAGAGCATCTCACACTTCAGGCACAGTTTTTATGGATAAAATAAATTGTTTAGCAAAGGATGTTACGCAATTACAACTTTTACACAAAACATTTTAAACTACTAATGGAAGATAAGCACTTAGCAATTGGGGTATTTCTTGACCTTTCTAAAGCATATGACTGCCTAAATCATAACATCCTATTTAATAAATCGAACAGATATGAAATGAGGGCTAATACTTTGTCCTGGGTAAAATTCTATTTTATAAACAATAACATTGTGTAGAGATAAAAAAAGATAATATCATCGAGTCAGATTTGATTTGTAATGAGGTAGTGTGTTAGGTCCCACATACATCAATGATCTAAAAGGTAGCATTAAGAAATATGACTTTTCAATACTTAATTATGCTAATGATCCCAGCATACTCATTAGCGATAAAAACACCACTGGATTGGAACGTAATCGTCAGCAGGTGTTTGAATCAGTGAGGAAATGGTTTACTATGAATAAACTTGTACTAAGTAAGGACAAAACTGACTTAATAATATTTAAAACAAAGCAATCACATACTGATATAACACTAAATATCACACTTTCTGATAGTAATATCCAAGTACGTCAGCAAACTAAATTGTTAATAATACATTTAGATCAATTTGTCTTGTACTCCACACATAAGTCAAAGTGCCTTGCTGAGTAGCATCAGCTAAGGAATAAGAGTGTTGTCTAGGTATATAAATTCAGAATGTTTACACATTGTATATTGTGCAAATTTTGAACTGACTTTACATTATGAAATAATATTGTTTGGAAGTAACTCAAAACTGCAATAATTATTTGCTATTCAAAAAAGGACCATAAGAGCAATAATGATAATGAAACATCTAGAGGTGATTTGAGTATATTGGTTTAATGACAGTATATGCACTTTACTTTTTGAATGTGTTATGTTCACATTGATAAACAGAAACAATTTTCCCACGCAAAATTATCACACATACGGTACAAAAGCTTTGAATGTTTTGCTACCCCAGCAAAAAATCTTTTTATATGTGTGCAGAGTTGTATAATAAACTACCTAATTATTTAAAAACAATGAACGGTATAGAAATCTTCAAAAAAAGCTGGAACAGGATTTAGTTCAGCTGGATCTATACACACTTTCTAAATACATTAATGTTTTGTTTTAGTGTTTGCATGGGTATGACGTTATGTCCACATCTGACATTTGTACATATTATGTATTTGTGATTTATATATTTGGAGTAAATATTATTACTGTTATTATTAGAAAGGCCAGCAGACTAATACATTTTGTCTGGAAGTGGCTATAAGAGCTTCCCCTGTCAAGAAAAATCAAGGATTTTAACAAGTTTGCAGCTGATGTTGAGCACCACAATCACTTGGAGCATGTTTATTCTCAGTGTTTGTTGTGCCTTAACATGACGCGCAACATGTTAATCTACATTCAAAGTAGCTTTACCTGTGGTAACTGGGTATGCAAGAAGCGCCATAACCTGCTGGATAGTAGCCAAATGCTCCTCTTCAAAGCTGGGGAAATGTTTCCTGGCGTGTTTGATAGCATCGATCCGCCTGTCGGACCTAATCAATTCCACGAATTCCTGGATTCGAATGTTGAATTCCATGTTTGACTTCAGCTTGCGCAGTTTCGACTTGTTATCATGACACCACATCAGGCACTTTGCTGTCTCTTTGTTCGCCAGGGATTTTTCCACTTCGCGCGAGGTCAGGAAAATATCTGAAGCAATAGTAAGTGATTAATTACTTACACAGTATATACAACCACTCATTAACATGTTCCACCAGGAGGAACTGAATTCAATTGAACGCGGTGACTGTGCGACAACAAGCAAACATACTGTGGCGCCAACCATTCATGATTATAACTATAAGAGGTGTGGTGGAAAGATAGTGACACTGGCAACACTGTAAGCGATCTGGCAACACTGTAAGCGATCTGGCAACGCTGTGGTGTAATTCTTCATAGGGCACGTGTGTCAGTCCCTCCCATTGCTCAGTGCAAGTTTCAACTCCATCTAGTAACCACGTGATTTTTGGAGCTACCATTAGTGAAGTTATGTTTTGGTTGTGAGTCAGGCATAATGGAGCAGCGGAGTTTGGAGCAATTACATTTTTTTTAGGCTTGGAAAATCCGCACGTGCGACCTTTGAACAGTTGAAACAGGACTATGGGGAACATTTTCGCTGACACAAATCATTTTTGGATTTAATGTTACTAAAATTTGACTAAAAAGTCGCAGATGCAAAAGATCTGTGCCAAAACGGTGCCTCATAATTGAGCAGAACAATTGAAAAAGCAAGTGTCTTGATCTGCTTGATAGGCCGCTAATGTACGTGATTTCTTTAGCCGCATGATCACAGGTGATGAAACCTGGATTCTTCAGTACGATCCTGAGACCAAGAAGCAGTCAGGATGACATACAAGGAGTTATCTGCAACCAAAAAAGTTCGATGATGATGAAATTAATGCTGATTTGTTTTTTTTTGACAGGAGAGGAGTCGTCTATGAAGAATTTGTTCCTCCAGTATAAACTGTCAAGTTTTTTTATAAAGGCATCCTGAAAAGGCTCAATCGCGATAGACTCAACATTGCAGACGTGTCCGGATGCTCCTTTATCACAATGCTCCATCACAGAATTTTTGAGCTGTGGTTCCCCAGTCCCCCTATTCATCTGATCTTAGTCCCTGTAACTTTTTCCAAAACTGAAAAATGTCCCTAAAAGATGTTATTTGGGGACCTTCAAAATAGTATGATGGACATGCTGGAGGCCATGCCACTCAAAGATTTCCAGCACTGCTACCAAGACTGGAAACAACATCTCCATCAGTGAGTAGCTGCCCAAGGAACTACTTTGAGGGGTATAATGTTGATTTTTAAAAAAATAAAAACATTGGTAATAAATCAGCCTCATTTCTTTTATGTCACACCTCATATAAATGTCGACCACTGTCTTTAAGCGCCAGAGTTGCCACTTCTCGAACCGTCTCCGCAGGTTTTCCTTATCCGCTGTTGAGAAATAATTATTAGAAACAGACGACCTGACTACAACTGTACTATAATTATGTTAAAGAAAAAATAATTTTAATCAAAAGCAAAGAATCCGTTTTTATTCTTCTACAGAGAATTACTGTGATTGTTCTTGGCAACATTCATATATATAGACCAAATCGGGAAACACAAAACGAGCGTGGCAGATTCATTCCATATTTCAATTAATAATAATGTTATTCCTCGTACATCCGCTACTAGGAATTTAGGCTTGATTATGGATAGTGACCTGATGGTTGCGGTAAAGGAAATTGTGTCCAAGTACAGCATATGATTGGGCATCTTCTTGGAAAATATGTTAATAATTCAACCCAAGCATCATAAGGAATGTGAATCAGTTTACATGGCAGCTGCCTTAGTGCTGACCATCCAATAATGTGTGGTGAATTGGGGAACAGGAAGAAATTTGACTCAAGTATTAAACATTCTTAATAGATACAAACCAATGTTAGTCAAATCCTTGATGCCAGATCTCTCTGCTAAGGTAATGGCAGCATTATAGTATCCATTCCTGAGAAAATACTCGACAACCATTCGGTCCAGTCTAGTGCGTCGCCATTGGTTGAGAGCTCCTTGTGAAACTTGACCATTGGTTGCAAGTGTGTTGTGATCTTTTAGATGCTCCAATCGACGTTTACACACATTTGAAGCTGCTAGCTCCTCGGAAATGCTTTCTTCAGCTAGTTTGTGGATAAAAAATCAACCTTAACATATTTCTATCTACAAAATTCATATATGGGGAAAATTAAATTTTACAGTTTTTTAACAAAATATTTTATGGCGACCTGTGAGGTTATTTTGATGAAAATTTGCAACAAATATGGTATAGGAGCACAGTAAATGATTTTCTAAAATCTATTTACATTGACAAGGGAGTCGCAAAAAGATTCAACAAAAAGTATCAGTTACCAACAGTTAAGCATGGTGTAGGCAACATCATGGTTTGGGGCTGTTTTTTTAGTTCTTGTCAATTGTTAGAATTGTTGGGAAAATGGAACAAAAACTTTACAAAGATATTCTTAATGAACACATGTTCCCTTTTGCTGAAGAAGGAATGCCTTTAAAATGAATATTCCAGCAAGATAGTGACCCCAAGCAAACCTCAAATTTGTAAAGGACTGAAAAATATTAATGTTCTTATATGGCCCTGGACCTAAACCCTATAGAACATTGCTGGGAGCATATTAAAAAACAACTGACAAGAAAAACTTTGGAAAATAGTAACGATTTATTTGATTATGTAAATAATATTTGGCAAAATATCCCAACAGACATCTGTAAAACATTGGTGTCTTCTATGAGCAGCTGATGTCAGGCAGTATTCAATGCTAAAGGCTATGCTACCAAATATTAGCTAAACAGTATTTTTCAAATCTTTTTGTTGAGTTACTGTATTAATTTTGTAATAAAAAATAGGTTTCCATACTTTTATTGTCTCATTTTTGGTCATAAAATAATATGAAGTTATTTTAATGCTAGTCTGTAGTATCACAGCAAAGACAAATTGTCATTTGTATCCTCAAGACTGTAAGCAAACTATACCAGAAAAAAATAGCCCTTAATAATAAAGAATAAAAAATAGCGCAAATTTTAAAAATTATTAAGAATATTTCCAAACTTTTGTCTGCTACTGTATGTTAAAACATTTTGTAAATAGGAAAAATTTGACTATAGTAACAAGAAATGTGTCATTAGCATAAATTCCAACACGATAAGATCTTTTTCATATATTCTGATCCTTGTCAAAATTTATATTCATGTGTATCACAAATTTAAAGATAATTCAAAGGGATATTAAAATAATCACAAGACTTTGATAAATGAAATGCTTCTATGTTATGAATACCTCGGTAAGAATATACTTTAGTGCATAAAGACAGAAGTTGTTTTTTTTAAACGATCATTTTTTTAAGGAAAATGGATATGAAAAAATTAAAAAAATTGCTTTCTGCAAAAAAGGGTCAAAACCAGCCATGTAATAAGCTAAAACACTACCTTTTCTTTTCAAAACCTGCAGTTTTTCAACCATTCCTCCCAACAGTGTTGTTATATCTCTAGCTTTAACTTCCCTTCCATCCAATGATTTCTCCAACTCAATGGCAGCTTGCTGGATATGAGACACTTCTCTATCCAACGTTTTTTGAGCAGTCCTAAATTTCTTATTCAGGATCTCATAGGGTACCTTTCAATAAAACACAGTGAGTTAACACTTTTTGATAAGCTTACAATTTATTTTATAGAGGCAATGGAAGTGCAATATTTAATTTATTAGGATATATACGTGACCTTTGGACTGACATAGTACCTGGATATTTTTATGAGGAAACTTAAAAATGCATGGGGCGTCACTTGAAGACCACATTGATTTGTAAATGTGGCCTAAAAATAAGGCGTAGTTTAAATGGACCTTTTACGATTTTGCGCATCATGATTTTTGAAGGCCTGTAGCTATCGAAAACGATATTTAATTTGAGAATGTAATTGATACTACTTACTTTTAAGGTAGGATGTTCTAAGGATTTTATATCTGCCATTTTGAGACAGAAATAAACATAAATAAAACTGGCACAACCAGATACTCCAATCAGCTGTTCAATATACCTTTATTCATCAAAAATTATGACTGGGCGACACCGTTGCATGAACACAGACCGCGATGATACTAATGTGCGATTCAAACGTGATTTTATGGGAATTATTTTAACAATTTCGGAAAAATGGATAATGATAATACACAAAGCTTTTTTCAATTTTTGACAAGCCACCTGTCGTAAAATTCGTTAAGCTGACAGCCAGCTGATCGATGTTGATGAGAGAGTGCAACTCATCTGCTCAAGATGGCGCTTTTCAACCAACGGGTTCTGGATACTCTAAGTAAGCTCGCAGTACAGTTTGCAAAATGTTTCTTTTTTTCTTACAAAATAGTACAAATTATGCAAGACATGTAACGCGGTATAACCATTTTCACGGTTTTTGGTGGTCACAATGCTAGACGAAATCGGGAAACACAAAAAGAGCGTGGCAGATTCATTCCATATTTCAATTAATAATAATGTTATTCCTCATACATCCGCTACTAGGAATTTAGACTTGATTGTGGTTAGTGGTCTGATGTTTTCAAAGCATGTTGATAAGTGCTTATGGTCGGCTTAAAATGTTGTTTCCACATCGTCATATCTTTTCTACCGAACTTAAGGCTTTACTTTGTGACACGCTTGTTTTGTCAATATTCAATTACTGCGACTCAGTTTATGGTTTTTGTATAACAAGATATGATGTTGATACTATACAGCGTGTCTTAGGTTTATTTTTGGAGTGAAAAAATTTGAACATATTTCTTATAAGTTACCTTTAATAGGTTGGCTAAATATGGAAGCCAGGAGAAATCTGCACTCTGCAGTTTTGTTTCATAAAATTATTCTATATAAAGTTCCGCCTTATTTATATAATAAGATTACATTTATATTAATGTTCGGTCTCGGAAGCTGATTTCCCAACCACGTCATTGTACATCTATGTTTAACAGATATTTTTCTCATCTTATCTACCACTTGAACAATCACGTCCCCACAAGCCTTAAGTCTAGTCTGTTTCAGATTTTAAAAAAATACAGAAATATTCTATTAGATGAATTGTAGTGTTTACTTATTGTTCCTTTCCTTTTTATATATTAAATGTTTTTTGTTAAATCTGGCTAAACTGATTTGACCTTTTTCGTTATATTATATTTTTATATACATACATATTTTTTACGCTTGTAGTTATTATTAACTTATATAATTTGGTTAAGAACTCCTCTGTTGTAATTTTGTTTGTTGGGCTAGTACTTTGATCCCTTACTGGTCCCTGGAAATTCATGTTTTTAATTTTTTCTCTTTGTATTTTTTGCTCTGCAAATAAACGCTATTATTATTATTATAAGTAAACAAATTGACTAATGGTACCATGTACGCACTTTAACTTCCCTCACAGAAATTGCACGAGTTTATACTCAACAAACAAATGTCCGCACGCAGAGAGGACGATTGCATATATGCATGTGTGTAGAAGATGGAATTCATGAGAATAATTTCTGTAGTTTTAGTATGGTCCGCCAAAAACCATCAGAAAACCTATAATGAAATGTAACATCTGAAACTTACCCTGTGGTTTTCATATTCAATATACGGTTAGAACCAAACTTGGCCGACGGGTGCGAGTTCAATAAGTACGAGAGAGAAACGCTAGGAGTGTGTATAAACACATATGTGAGAAAGAGACAGAAACTGTCTAGTTAGCGAAGCGTGCAATCTACCGCGTTGCCGATATGTTACACCTTTTTCTAGTACTATAATGTGAAAAAACTTAGAAGTAAGTGAGATTAGTGCACGTAAATACCGATTGTATCAAGTGTTGATATCTCTCGTATAAAAAGTTTTTTACAATTTTTACCAAGAAATAAATACCTCCATACTCGTACAATCGACAATTTTAAGAGGATGAATTTTGAAGATTTGCCATTAATTGCACTATATTCATGTTGTATCTTTATATGGGCTTGCATACAGTACGCATCAGCAAAAGCTCTCTGCCAAAGTCCTGCAAGACGTTGGTTATTATTAGCAGCAAGCCCGAAATTCCAGATCTTCATTTTCCAAAATTATTTAATGATTAAAATTAATTGTCAGAATTGGTGAAACTCTTACTTCTTGCTGATGCATTTGTCAAAATATACTATAACACAGCTTAGAGTTTGGATCAGTTAATTGGATTTTTTATTCAGTACGCCTATAACTAAAATGATCACACTTGGCAACAGTGCTTATCTTCATGAATGTACTGCGAGTGAGCTTCGTGTATTAGAATTCCAGAGCAATGGCTGTCATTTTGACATTTTGTTCTTCACGTCACCTACTGACAACACGGTATGTGACGTGTAAAATTCAATTTTGAATAAAAATCCTTTTTGGCCTGTTTAATTGTTGTTTTCCGTATAAGTAAGATGAATTCCTTTAAAAGGGATAAAAAAGAGGAAGAGGATGGTAAGAGGGTTGTATTCAATCCATATTGTGATTTTTCTAAATGCTTTCTTTTAGGAGGCAGCCAATTCCTCAACCTGGAAAAGACCACCGTTCTGCAGGAGGCCAGAATATTCAATGAAACCTCCGTGAATCCTAGAAAATGCACCCCCGTGCTGACAAAACTTCTCTATGCTATCAACCAGGTATTCTATTATGCCGACATAGTTAAAAGAAATGTAAGACAATCATTTTCAGGGTGAAACTTTGAGTCCAAAGGAAGCCACGGATGTCTTCTTTGCAATGACCAAACTGTTCCAGTCGAAAGACGCTGTTTTGCGCCGAATGGTTTATTTGGGCATCAAAGAACTCAGCTCAATAGCTGAGGATGTCATCATTGTAACATCAAGTTTAACAAAAGATATGACTGGGAAAGAAGACACTTACCGAGCTGCAGCTATCAGAGCTTTATGCAGCATCACTGATGCTACCATGTTACAAGCCATAGAAAGGTAAGCTTTTCAAAATATTGGTCTGTTATTAACCCTTAAACGGTTGCATGGTGTCCAATTTCCTAATAATAATTTTGGTCATATATATTTTTTGGATTCTATCTGCATTCTAAGAGAATTAATCACAGCCATGTATCTCCTTTCCAATAATTAGAGATCTACTTTGAAAAGGGTAGTGCCTTGTAGATGGTGCTGTAGCCCAACTGTGTTCATATATATGCTCATGATGTTAGGGTACCTTATTTCATCTCAAATTTTTTTTGATACTCAACTGAAGGCTATCTTCAGGTATAATATGTTAATCAATACCTTAGGTTCCTTTTGTCATCAAAATATTCTAAATTAATAATACAAAAATTGATAAAGCAGTATTGAAAAGCCCTGAAATATCTGATGTCTTTAACATTATATACGTCCACACACCTGCTTGAAGGTTAAGGCCAGATTTATCATCAAATGCATGTGATACAAAATAATAATAGCATCCCTTTTTTAAGTAATGTCAATCTAATATACTTATTTTTGAATTTATATTTTTTGGTCTGAGGTTTGAGATATTTTTTAGGTACATGAAACAGGCTATTGTTGACAGAAATCCTGCAGTTAGTAGTGCAGCATTGGTCAGTTCTCTGCACATGTCAAAATTGGCACCAGATGTTGTAAAACGTTGGGTGAATGAAGCACAAGAAGCTGTCAATAGTGACAAGTAAGCTCTTCCTTAGAATATTACAAGACCATACTTACCATAAATAAGAAATTTTTGCATCTATCATACGATCCAAGCTAGATTTAGATATTTATTGTTGGTATAATCATTCAATTAATATTATGCTATATTATTGAAAACAAAAAGTTATGGTTTTTAGCATTATGGTTCAATATCATGCACTGGGTCTCCTGTACCATATCAGAAAAAGTGATAGATTGGCAGTGACTAAGCTTGTTGCAAGACTGACAAGAATGTCATTAAAGTCTCCTTATGCAGTTTGCATGTTGGTAAGTCTATGACAAATACATGTAAGTTTCTCTGAGTTATTTAGGGTTTTATCTTATGATACCCATGGTGATGATGATGAATGTTTTCTTTTAGATCCGTATCACAGCAAAATTATTAGAAGAAGATGATGAGGCAGGTGGAAATGATTCTCCATACTTCAGTTTCATAGAATCATGTCTGCGTCACAAATCTGAAATGGTTGTGTATGAAGCAGCTCATGCTATAGTAAACCTGAAGAGAACAACTAGCAGGGAACTGGTTCCAGCACTTAGTGTACTTCAATTGTTCTGTGGATCTGCCAAGGCTACTTTGAGGTTTGCTGCTGTCAGAACTCTAAATCAGGTTAGAAATAAAATAATTTTTATAAACAACTATTTATTTTTCTTAGCAATACAGTCAGCAAGGTGGTGTAGTAGTGGTAGATGCTGTGTGTCTACTAAACTAGATGCTGTGAGTTGGGCGTGTTGGATTTCGGTCCTAAAGGATGTTTTTTTTGCTATGGATGTTGTGATTATCTGGTGGTATATGGTCCAGAGACCATAACAAAGCCTTGAGGAAAAAGAAATATAGACAGGTAATGCTCAGAAGCCAATAGTGAGTGTGTGGTATGCGCTTACCACTAACAGTGTTGACTGATGCACTGCTAGTGGTGGCTGGTTGCCTTGCTGGCTGAGGAGAGATATATGCTCTACAAAAAGGGCCCTGAAGCTAGAAGCGATAAAAGAGAGGCATTTTTGTCAGATTGCGGAAGAGATGGTGTGCAATCAGCCATGGGGCATAGAATAGAAGGCTGATCCAAGGTATTAGAACTTGGATTGACAAAGGAACAGTGCAAACAGATTGCTATGCTACGCAGTTCCTCATAGGACATGATTGTACCTGAAAAGAGTATTAAAGAGATATTATTGCAAAAAAGAGGAGGATACTAATAACCATCTACTGATCTGCTTGAATGTGGTAGATGGGTTGACTTCCAGAGACAGTTCAAATTGATGTTTGATGAGAGACTCTCTGCTGGCAATTTTGCCGGACATGTAAACGAGGACAAGTGGGCTGACATTCAACTGGTGGTGAGGCAGATGTTGCTGAGGTACCGGATGATAAGAACAGACTGAGAAACCAACTTGCTGGGTTGAACATTCACATAGGTGCTTATTATATGTGTGATGATGCTTCTGCTATGAAAACTTAACGCGGCACTACCCATCAAAATGAAATGCTGCTATAGTGACCTCGGCGGGATGTGTAGCCAATGACTGATGGGCTTTAGAGAGAATGCTGCTTCTGGAGAATCTCACACTACGGGTACGACAGGCCAACAGGGAAACACTGTCGAGCTTTTCTGCCTGAAACTGGTTATAAAAATTTTCCACCCGGCAGATCTCTGAAGTGGTGTCAGAATTGTGCGTGTACGTGTGACGCCCCCTTTTTCCCCTGTATCACCTTATAACACTTCCGGTTGTAAAGGTGGTTTCCATTTGAAAAAAATTTAATTTGCTTTACATCGTCTTTTTTGACCACCCTGTACTATGTGTTACCTAAATCTGGAATAAAATCTACCAAACTAAGCCTACTATAAGAAATCTACAAAGGTTCGAGAAAAAAATGTTCCAACTCGTTGGATTGCATCTCTCATCTTTTTGCGCAAAATTTGAGGTATCTCAAAAAGGTTTAAACTCAGGCTTAGGATGATTTGTACCAAAACATGTTCTCAAATCTGGCGTACAATTTAAAAATTAAATAGTTCTCGTATATAGGGTTATATTCTTGCACATTTATCAATGCTTTTATTATTACAAAATATGAATGGAAGTTTTTTTCCAGGTGGCCATTTCGCATCCTGCTGCCGTTACAGCCTGTAACTTAGACCTTGAGAATCTGATCACGGATTCCAACAGGTCAATAGCTACATTAGCTATAACTACTCTCCTTAAAACAGGTATGTTATCGCAATATGTACATACCCAATCAGTCAAAATTCATTTATCTTACATACTTACCATTACATAGTTATTTTATATATAAAAAAAATCTTTCCGTTGCAAATTGACTGAAATTTTGATGGGAGACAACACAGGCACCTTCCTGCCTTATAGGTTGTCTTCAAGGAGACCTTGAGTGAGTTCAAGCCAGTTTGACTTATCGTTAGTAGAATTTGCAGTTCCATAATTCAAAATGGGAACAATGCACGCGTCAATTATTCGCACCTTCACATCAATGTTTCATTTCCATCCAATTATGGGGACCAACATCCAAAGTGCTGCCTTAGCTTTTTGTAGGCGAGCATTGATGAGGTATCTTGTTGACAGCTTCTTATTAAGGATTTATTTATTTTAATTGATTGATTTACATAACATTCCGCGTTTGTCAACGTTTTTGACCTCATGCTCTAATATTGCTTAGAAAACTACATATTTTCATCTTTGCTATATTACAACCAGGTGCCGAATCTTCTGTGGATCGCTTAATGAAGCAGATCGCCACGTTCGTATCAGAAATCAGCGACGAATTCAAAGTTATCGTCGTGCAAGCGATCAGAGCTCTGGCGTTGAAATTCCCGCGCAAACATAACGTGTTGATGAATTTCCTGTCGGCCATGTTGCGCGACGAGGGAGGTTTGGAGTACAAGGCTTCCATCGCGGACACGATCATCACAATCATCGAGGATAACCCAGAGGCCAAGGAGTCCGGATTGGCCCATCTGTGCGAGTTCATTGAAGATTGTGAGCATGTCTCGTTGGCGGTCAGGATACTGCATTTGCTGGGCAAGGAGGGACCGAAGACGAAGCAACCTAGCAGGTACTCAATTCGATTAGAAAAAACATGTCGACGCGTCCTATACTTCAAACAAGAAAAATGGCCAATATAAAAGTTTCAGGGGTTGATGGTGCAGCAGTAGTGACCTTAACGCGACCTTGAATGTAATTTAAAGGTTAATTTTTAAATGGAGCCTTATCTATTTCCCCCAAACCAGTAGAAAGAATTTTACAATCGGAGATGGCCATGACCATGAATTTTCAAGGTCATTTAGAGGTCAGCTTGAAAATTTTATAATAGGGAATCGAATGTTCGGACTCCGCGTATAGAAATAGAAAGCAAAATTTTAACATTCAGAAGCGACCTTGATCATGATCTCAATGTGTTTTAAAGGTCAATTAATTTCAAGGTCAGGTTCATATCGAAACATTGTCCATCCTTTCCAACTGTGGGCCACACAAATATATTTCCGTTTTAAATAGATCCAGTAGATCCCTGAAAGAATTTGAAGATTATGGTCATGATTTGTCATTTCTAAGGTAAAAATGTTCAAATCCTCCTATCTACTGAGTTAAAGAAATACGATTCCTGATTATACTATTTTTAATTTGACCTCGAAGCGACCTCCAAGGTCATCTTTGGACGAACATTTTTCGCTCTTTCCATATGTGTGGTCAAAAAAAACTTTTCAAGTTGAACTCTAATTGATCTTGAAGGTGATGCTTAAGGTTATTTTTGAATGAACATTTTTGATCTTTCTATATGCGCGGTAAAAAGATACGGTTTAGTTGACCTCCAAATAACCTTGAAGGTTATGCTCAGTCATCTTTAAACGAACATTTTGCGCTCTGAATGACCTTGACGGTCGTGGTCAAGGTCACATTTAGATTGTTGCCTCGATGACCTGCGACTTTTGTTGCGATCATTTTATTTGTTTGTGGAGAATTTCTTGAGACAGAGGTGGGGTGAACACTGAATAGACTTTGTGATTTAAATTCAAAGTTCCTTTATAATTGATAATATTGTATTGAACAATTACAAGTAATCCCTTGTAACAATTTTATAATTAGGCATCACTACACAAAAACCTGCAACCAGATACAATATAATAACAAAAAATGGAAATACAGAAATGTACTAAATATGCAGCTTAAGTATTGAAAAATACAAACTTCAAGTTAAATTAAAATAATGACACGACATTGAATGTGAAACTGGTTAAAATTTGTGTTCTAAAAATTGCTGCACTGTTTAATGTTTCAATTCTATAAAGATATTTCTTATCATACTTTTAAAAATATTAAAATTATTTTCCACCCTTATGTGATGCGATATTTTATTAAAAAAAGTTATGCACGAGAAAGTAGTGCCTTTTTCCGTTGCGGTATGTGTGTGTTGAGGGTAATTCATGCCACTGTACCTTAATGTCTTCATAGGTGTTAAATTGTTCTCTGTTTGTAAATAAAAACAGGAGACACTCAAAAATATAAATACCTGTCTTATTGAGAATATTCAGCTCTCTAAACCTTCCTTCACAAGTTTGTCTATTTTGTAGAGATTTTTTGTACTCTGAAAGCGCTGATAGAGTCACTCCTCTGCTTCCCCAAAAAATATTCCATATCTGAGGACGGAATAAATGTTTGTGTAGTACACAATGCCTAAATATCGGGACATAATTCAAAGGTAATAACATGCTGAAGTGACCCTTTTACAGACATTCATGATATGATCCCGCCAATCCAAAATCTGGTCAATGTAAACACTCAGGAACTTTGTACTTCGCGCTGGTTGTTGGTTTTCATTGTTGATGAACATCATATCTCGAATTTTTCTGTCTCTTTGCTTAGTTCGAAAACAAATAAAAATGTATGTCCGAATTCAGCACCAATTTCTTTTTAGTAAACCAGCCAAACTGACGATACGTTCATGACACAGTCCTAGTATAATACAGTATAATCAAAAACACCTTTATGTTCAAGTGACGAATTGATCTGCTTGACTCCTTTGTTTTAGGTATATTCGTTTTATCTACAACCGGGTGATCTTAGAGTGTCCGTCCATAAGGGCCGCAGCAGTCTCTGCTATGGCTCAGTTCGGAGCGTCCTGTCCTGATCTGCTGGAGAATATCCAGGTGTTGCTAGCCAGATGTCAGATGGACAGTGATGATGAGGTTAGAGATCGAGCGACCTACTACAGTAACATTTTGGCCAGGCAAGATAAGGCACTATGTAACAGCTACATTTTGGATCCTTTGCAGGTAAAACTACTGGTTTTAGGGTTGCCACTATTACTATTAATGTTTTGTGTAGATTTGAACCTTAACCTTTGAATCGCTAATATGTGCATTTCCACAATACCCCTTTTTCATATCGGAATTGAAAAATAGCGTCCGAATATGTCCTTGACCTTCACCTTTGTCTTCAAGGTCAAATCAAGACATCGGAAACAATTTGCTCTAGTAGAAATGTTCGACAGTACTGTTGTGAGGTTTATGATCTTGACAATGACTTTTCCAAAGGAAACCTCTTTTTTCTGTAGGTGACCCCCTCAGACTTCACAACTGTGCTGTTGAACAAATCAATTTCGATGTCTTCGATGTTGAAATGGCCTTAAAGGTCGTGGTCAAGGTCACCATCATTTTTCCTACTGCTCCATGTTTCCTAGTGGACGCTGTTGTGTGAGTTGTTTTGCATAAAGTAATTGAGAAAGATCCAGTATGCAGTCAGAACGAACCTATATACTATGTTGCTCTTCACGATCAGTACGTTCTAAATTTCTAGCCAGTTGAAAATTGAACAGGCTTTGATCAAAATTTTGTAAAATAGTTTTGATATGGCCAATAGCACAAAATTAACACAAAAGAACATCGGGATGTGATGAAGTATCATTGTAGTATAGGAATATCCGACTTCATTGGCTGACCGAATAAAAAATTACACATACACTACGGTTCAAAAGTGGTATAACTATTGATATCATATTTTTGACTCATCAATATGTACTCCTTTACTTTTAATGATAGCCTGGCAAATCATGGGTAAACGCGCAACTAGTTTTTCTAAAGGAGTATTTGTCTTGTAATATTCTGCATACGTGTTCTTGAGATGTAGGACAACATTTCCAAACTTGACTGTCCAGTTCATCCCACAGGAACTCTGTGTTATGGGTACAACACAAATTAAAAGGAATGATTGAAAAACAAATCCTGAGAAAGAATCCCTATACAAAAACATAACAATGGCTAATAATGAAATCCTTATAATGGTGTGAGCAACATTTTGATTTCAGTGATCTTTCCATGGTGATGGCTTTCAATGAACAGAGAAAAATAAATACGTACTGAATAGTTTTGTTTTGTTTGTTATGATCTTAAATGGAAATATGCAGGTGTTGGAATACTTTTGAACGGTAGTGTTTGTTTAGATTTATGTTTATTGTACGACGTCTCAACCAACACTCTGATCAAGTACAATTGACATTTCTGTTACACGATTTACAATATTCTCATACAGATATGTTTTTATTTTCAACTAGTTATCAATAATGGCTCTGGAGCGTTCACTGAAAGAGTATCTACAAAATCCTGAAGATCGTCCGTTCGACATAAAGTCGGTCCCGTTAGCTTCTGTGCCTACACCGGAAGAGAAAGAAATGAAGCACAAGACCGAGGGAATGCTTGTCACTCAAGGAGGACCTGTCAAGCCACCGCCCGTGTCGAGGGAAGAGAATTTCGCGGAGAAACTCTCCATCATACCAGGTAATAAGATTCTTTTTCCAAAAAACTACGCGCTGTGTTATGGAAAGTCCCAATTAAGAACACCCTGTATGGTCAAATCTATCAGAGGAAGAGGGTAGTCATAGCTGTCTAGCTGAGATGCAAAGTACAGTCTGCTAAAACCAAAACTTCAGCAATTTTTGTCAAAAAATAAGGTTGGAATCACTTTAAAATAAACCAATGTCTTCAAGGTGTTATGGAGCAAGGTTTCAAATTTAATTAAGATACTTGGCGACCCTAACTATTAAAATTTTTAACAGAGTTTTGAAGCATTGAAAATACCCCTGGTAACAGGTATATGAACAACTTTTCGCTGGGACAAATTTATTCAAGGTTTTTTGGATCACTCGTCCATTAACTTTCCCCTAAAGCTGACCATTTTCGAGTTATAAGTCATTTGTCTGAAAAGCCCTAAAAATGGGTATATTCAATGCTTCAATACTTGGTCCGAAATTATAATTTTGAAGCTTGCCAAGTATCTCAAGTAAAGTTTAAAGCTTGCTTTACAAGATCACAAAGAGTATTTTCAGGGTTTTTAACCTTTGTCTCTTGTGCCAAAATTGGCGAACATTTGTTTTTTGCAGACTGTACTTATTCCTGGTGAAGCAGACAAAAGTCAGGCCAGAAAGAACGTGATACTTTGTTCAAAAAAACGTTTATTTTCCCCATCAAGAGGTACTACAAAGAATCATCATCAATCAGGGTTGCTGGCGATACATTTTCTCACTGTTTCCGATCCATCTCACTTTTACCGACTTTTCAATGAAAGCATGCACCATTTTTGCTCTCTCTCTGTACATATTCTGCTTTATGAAGGTTTTAGAAGGAGCTGTCATTGTCTCAAGCCCCACGAAATTAAATGAAGAGATTTTCTTTATTAAAATAAGCTATGGCAAAGTTTTCATGTACAAGCCAGCCAATATGCATTACATGAGAAATTACTAAGGTTAGTTGAAATCTACGTTGAATTTTAATTCATCATTGCTAAAAGCACTCTATATGTTTTACACTGGGGATTTTAAATTCAGAAACGCTAAGCAATATAATACAAAGTCGTTTATGAAGGATCAGAGATGAAAGGGATGGATGAAAGAAAAAAGCAGAGTGACGTCATTCTAGTCCAATATGGCGGACGTTCATTATGACAATTGACAATGCATTATTTTCATGACAGAAATGATTTGATGATGGAGCCAGGAAGTGGCCATGGGAACCCGTCGAAGACGGCCTCGCTTGGTTCCTAATGACAAGTACGCTAGTCTTAGGGTCTGATTATATTGCGTAAAAAAATCTCATCACTACAGGGTGGCCAATATATAACTAACTGATTTAAATTGCGCGCCATTTTTGATACAAGCATTTCAGTAGGTGGCGCCATAGTAGTTGTGTCCAAATCATCATGGAGCGCTACACAATCCCACAACGCGTCCATATTGTTAAAACGTTTTACTTGAATAATGAGTCGATTGTTGCAACGATTCGGAAGCTACGACAAGATTTCGGTCGAAATGATGTGCCCAGTGTCAACACCATTCGTCAGTTGGTGCGAAAATTTGAACAAACGGGCGAGTTAAAGACTTGCCAAGGTCGGGCCGTGTTCGAACTGTTCGTACCCCAGAAAATATCGAGAGAGTTCGTGAAAATGTAGTGGAGCGCCCTGAGACGTCTACCAGACATCGTTCTGAAGAACAGCTGAAGAACAATATTACGGAAGCGATTGAAAATATTCCTCCAGAAACCTACCAAAAAGTGAAGGGCTCAGGTTTGCGCTTCTAGTGGCGAAAATTTGTCTGATATTATTTTTCATACATAATTTCTAAGTTTCAATAAAATATTAAGATGAAAAAATTGACGTATTCTATTTCATTTCACAAATATTCTACAAATCAGTCAGTTACATATCGGCCACCCTGTATAACAAATTTCAATCAATTAGTCAAGAATACTTAATAGATAATAGGTATGTACGTCTCCCGTATTTAGAAGAATATGTTATATTTTTTGTTTCTTTTATGCAGCATTTATGCATTTGGATTGTAAAATATGCATACCTATAAAAAATTATTTTTGCTTACGTCAATGCAGCAGTAACAAAGAACCTTATAAGAGTTATTCCCGTTTTTTTCACACCTTCTAATTTATATTCTGTGTTTAAATTGGGCATTATGATTGCAATTTCTCAAAAAATTACTTCACTTTTTTGTATAAACTCACTATTTTCTCACTTTATTTCGAGCTTTGGGCCGCAAAGACCCCTGCATCAAAGATAAAAATACTAACAACGTTAAGTCCATTCCAGGACGAGCAAAAACCGTAAACCACTAAAACTTCAAAAATGCACAGGTCACAAAATAAAATATTGACAAAACTAACTCACCGTTTCTCTAGGTATCCAACAGCTGGGTCCTCTGTTCAAATCATCCGACGTGGTGGAGCTAACCGAAAGCGAAACAGAGTACTTCGTCCGTTGCATCAAGCACAGCTTCAACAATCACCTGGTGCTCCAGTTCGACTGTCTGAACACGCTCAGCGACCAATTGCTGGAACAAGTGCGGGTTCAGCTGGAACCCAGCGAAGGGTACCGCCTGCTGGCGGAAGTACCGTGTCCGAGGCTGCCGTACAACGAGTCGGGATCGTGCTATGCGGTTTTGCAGTTCCCCGAGGACGATTTGCCGAACAGCGTCGGGACGTTTGGGGCTGTGCTTAAGTTTGTCGTCAAAGGTGAGTGAGGTTTTTGTTCACGATGATACGTTCTTGAAACGATGCTGTTATTGTGATTGTAGCGTGTAGATAGTACGGCGTCGCATAGTGGTTCATTTATGTGAAAAACTTGGCAAAAATTCAAAAAGCAAATTTCGTTTAATATTTCAAAGTTAATACGATAAATGATGAGTTGGTCATGGGAACAAAACTTTACTTATGCTACCTTTTCTATGACAGACTGTCAAACTTGAAGTTTGTGGTGAGTTATGCAATACTGCTTTTTTACGGCAAGATCCCAGAGATCAACAATTTGTGTTAAAAACATTTTCAGTACTTGAATATGGGCCATACGAGAGATTATATGATTTGATGTAATAGGAATCTGTCATTAAACTGCTGTCTTGATTCAGGTCTAAAGGCGGTCGTCGGTTGGAATTTCTTCAATTCCTACTTTAGACCTGAATCAAGACAGCAGTTTATCAACTGGCCGCGAAAGCCTTAACCAATTTGTCAACCTGTCATTGGGGCCGTTCAAGTATTACGTAAGCAGATTTATTATAATTATTTACCCCCCCATCCCCCTTGTCAGCAAAAGTAAGCAAAGCTCTTACCCCTTCCCCCCATGCTTACGTAAACATTTGTCAATTAATGTATTGTTTTTTTTTAATATTATAATTATAACGTTATAATTATAATTTCAAAGATAAGAAAATAGATTTAGGGAAGAGATTATATTTTACTGATACGGTATTCCACATAGAGTAAAGGACAAAAATTTTATATCTTACTAACATTACAAACTTATTTTAAATTTTTGGTACATATATTAAATTCAAATTAACAGTCTTCAGTCCATGAAACCCGAATCCATGATTCTAAGTTTTCGATGACATTGGATTGCTTCGATTGCTGCTCAGTGTTGTGAGTTTGCTCGCTTTCATAGGATTTTGGAATGTCTACGTCGTTCTCATCGAGCCATTCAACATCATGGTGCTCTAAATTTTGAATAATGTACATCAATTCATTAGCACGACGAGCAGCGACTCTTACAGGTCTAACTTTCCTATCAGTGTGCGTGTTTACTTTTTTATGGATATTTTCGATGTGACGATTTAGTGACTTGACGGAAGCATCATAAAGACCACACGTTTTGCATGTTCGACTTGATAGCTTCAATTTTACCGGCGGACAAATATAATCGTATTGCATTTGCAGGAAATCTTTGAGTGAAGCACTTAAGCGTAGAGCTAAATTGACTGGAAGATTAACAAATTGCCCTCCTTCATCCAAAACCAAGTCATCAACTGTTTGTTTTACTTTTACAGGTGGTGGAAGAAACCTATTGTCTAGTAATCTAAATAGGCCACTTCTTGGACGACAGCATTCTGTATTTATACATTTTACAATTTGAAGCAAGTATTGGCTCTCACGCATATGTTCTGAATACCATTTAATGTCTGGAAAATCAGGAAGATCTTGTTCACCTGCCCCAACATATTTTGAATTAACATTATAGCCATCAATTTCCATTGAACTCCATACTTCAGCTAATACATTTCCTCCAAATTCGAAATTAGATCTTTCTAAATGTTCATCAATCGTAACGCCACGTTCATCCAAATGAGACCCAAAATGAGGCAATATTAAACCAGCCAGTTCCCGACTAAGAGGAGCCATTCTGCGCTCTACTCTGTTATACGCACTTCTTCCAGGAGCATTGGTAGCTAAAAACAATGCATCGAGATCATGTCGCTTAAAGTGTTGTATAGCAAACCCTATGACTTTTTCATAACGTGGATTTTCATCTGGCTCTCCATCAACCGTCATGATTACCACTGGTTTTACTAGTCCATGGTCAGTTTTAGCTAATGGTCGAAACTCTTCAAGTTCGAGAAGCGTCTCGAAATCCTGAGCATGAGTATTAGCAGTGGATGAACTATGCTTTCCACTTCAAATAGCGATGTATGTTGGTCCAGAATATCCAACGGCTTGCGGTTGTCATAGCATATTGGAAGTGATTTTGATACCAGCATAAACAGATGGTATTAATTTATGACGCTCAGCGATTACCCAATCGTGATCAGTCTATTTGATTCTATATTCCATGTGCATTAGAAGAGGTGCTTGCTTATTTGCCGCAGTTACGCCAATAGGGACTCGAGCTTTATCATCTTGAGATAGGAAAAATACTTGATCTGGTCCAAGTATGGATGCTATGTTCTCTAAATAATGGATTGATATTTCAGCGAACTTGCTATCTAAGTGGCTCTTGTGGTGATCAGTTTGAGCCCGAATGAGCTTAACAGGGACTGTCGATACATGTCTTCGTCCCTCTGCAGAATTAGATTTTCTGGGAATCAAACGAAGATATGTCTCACTGCGACTAATGTCAAATGCTATTTTACGTAATTCTTGTGTGAGTTCATCAAGAGTTTTTACGCTGCGAATTGATTCCGTTCGACTTCTATCATCTGCTGCACTCCCAAATAAAGCTATATCCGCGATTGTTTTCAATAGTGAATGTTGATTGCTTTCAAGATTAGGTACGTCCCACTAGAATCCCTCAGAGATAGTCTTTTTTTTATTTCTGTATTTTCATGACAAATATCTTCTAACTTTCTTTTCATACCATCCCTGTGTTTCTTCTGGGCAACTGCGTTTTGAACCTTCCTGTTTAAAGACTGTTTTGCTGTTTTTATTTCCTCGCGCAACTTAATGATCTGTTTATCAACTTCAGCACGGCTTGGCATAGTATCTCTGGCAGAATACAAAGCATTCAGATTTTTTTCGAGTAGAGCAATCTTATTTTTAATAGCTTCCTGAGAAGGTTTAGCTCTCTGTTTATCTGTATTTTCATTAATTTCGCATTGCTGTTGTGATTCAATACCGGGTTTTATTTTATCTTCTCCTCTTTTTTAATATTTGAAGCTGATCATTTTCTGCGGTTTAACAGGTTGCCTAAAATAAAAACTTTCTATGGCTTCTGCTAAAGATTCTCTATTAAGCTACATAAATGCAAAGTATGGCAATATACGTAGTCATGCCATAAGTTCTGTCCATCGTTTTCAAACAAGTGTAGACCCTGTTATAATACTTGTCCGATTGTTTACATTGTGGTGTCAGTTGATTAGCGCTTTTCGGGTAATTACATATACCTCAGTTGTATTGATCTCCGAAGCATAACGATGAGTGGGGCCAGGCAGAGCACCGTATTGCGTGATAGCTTAACATAAGTGTTAATCACAGTGCTAGATCAGATTTTGAAACTCGTACGCGGGCCTTCAAATATGCGTAACTTTGGGTCTAGGACATTCCGCGATCCACTGAGACTCCTCTGTTGATGACAGGCCAAGAAGCGGAATACCTCGTCAAGTAAGGACTCCAGCAGCCATCAAAGCCGTAAAAGCCAGGATTCAAAGGAATCCACTCCGGAAGCAGAAGATCCTATCCAGGGAAATGAAGATTCCTGTCCGGACGATGTCGCGCATCATTAAACAAGACCTAGGGCTAGGGGCTTACCGGAGACGTACGGGCCAGCGACTTACGGCCACCTTGCGACACATCAGGGCGACAAGATCCAAGAAGCTCTTGGAGAGGTACGCAGCTGGGGGATTCCGAAAGATTTTGTTCACGGATGAGAAAATCTTCACCATAGAAGAAAAATTCAACCGACAAAATGACAAAGTGTATGCAAGGAGTTCACAGGAAGCTTCGGAGATCATTCCGAGAGTTGAGAGAGGCCACCACCCTGCGTCAGTCATGGTTTGGTGGGGGGTGTCCTACGAAGGGGTCACTCAGCTCCATTTCTGTAAACAGGGCGTGAAAACAAAAGCGGCAAACTATCAGAGCGACATACTGGATCCTATCGTCAAGCCTTTAAGTGGTACATTGTTTGCCAACCAACACTGGGTCTACCAGCAGGATTCCGCCCCCGCTCACAAGGCTAAGAGTACGCAGCGCTGGCTGGAAAGCAATGTGCCAGAGTTCATTGCTGCGGAAGATTGGCCCTCAGGGAGTCCGGACCTCAATCCTTTAGACTACAAGTTGTGGGACCTGCTAGAGCAGTTGGCCTGCTCCAAAGCCCACCGTAATATCGAGTCCCTGAAAGCGGATTTGATCCGATCAGCGGCAGCTATTCCTTTGGAAGCTGTGCGTGCAGTGATAGATGAGTGGCCCGCGAGATTGAAGCAGTGTGTGAAGGCCAAGGGGGGACATTTTGAATAAAACTGTTTGATTATGAATTCTAAAAATGTTGTCGAATAAATAATATCTTTCATATAAATATATCTTATCTTGTTTCATTTTTATCATGAGATTATCATGGGACAGAACTTATGGCACGACTACGTATATGGTAAATACAAAACCCTATGGCTTTAAATCTAATATATTTAATCGAGCAATTCGTTCCGGTCACAAAATACAGGGTGTTAGTTTTCTGTATATATGTATAAATCTAACATCCTGTACTTTGTGACCAATTGACGGAATCAATCATAAGAAATAAATCTATAATATAATGAATATTACCTCTATACTTTGAGATAGGCCATAATATTTTCTAATCAGTAAAGAGAAACTTTTTGGCGATTTGACTTGTATGAGATTTTTTAAAACTTTTTGGTATAACTTGGATTTGTCTATGTGAAACGACATCTTATTTAAACGTTAAACTTTGGCTAATGGAATCAATGGTAACACAAATGTTAACTTGCTTTACTATGCTTACAATACGTCTACTCGCTATAGTATCCAAACGAAACAATACGCTGATAGAGGAAATTTAGACAAGTGAACACCGCGCGGTAATTCCCCTACTCGGTTCTAAAGCATAGTGCTCACGTAATACTTGAACGGCCCCCTTCAGGTAAGACGGAATCAGAGGGACCTGTCACTATTTTATAATATTTTGCACTCTCTTAGTTTTGTTCCAGAAGTTTTGAAAACTCTTCATGTGCCTTCTCGTCAAACAAGACTGAATCAACCATTCCATATTAGATCATTTCGTACTAATTATGCTGGCAATTCCTCCTTGTCTAGATCTTCGAGGTTAGCAAATCAGTATTCTATTAAGTTGGATTTCTTCAGAAGTCGAAAAACATTCAAACTTCAATTAGATTCCAGTCTGTAATATTTAATATTTGATTTCCCCATATATGTAAATATTAACTAAATTCGTTTCAATTTAGAATCGATCTGGATTGTAAAATATTGTAAGTGTTAAATATCTAAGTCAAAGTAGGGTTAGGTTTACATTAGATTTTCTATGCTTTACTTTAATTGGGCAGTCGCTCGTTGATAAATAAATAAATAAATAATAAGAATGCCGCTCGTAAAAATCTGTGTGCCAAACACCCGGTATAGAAAAACATTTCTTTCCAGACTGCGATCCCGCTACCGGGCTCCCAGACACCGACGAAGGCTACGACGACGAGTACATGCTCGAAGACCTGGAGATCACCCTGGGCGATCAGATACGTCGCGTGACACGTGCCAATTGGGCGGCTGCGTGGGAAGAAGCGGCTACCGCGGAATACGCCGAAATGGAGGACACATACTCGCTGTCCTCCATGCACACGCTGGAGGAGGCGGTGCAGAGCATCGCGAGTTTCCTGGGGCTGCAGCCTGCTGAGAGGACGGACCGGGTGCCGGAGGGGAAGACTGTACATACGCTGTTGCTGTCAGGTGGGTACTGATATGGTTTAAGTGAAAAAATGGCCAAGCCACAATCTGTAAGCTACTATATACTATAATGCCAAAATTCGCAAATCCTTAGATCCTAAAATGCCAAAATTCCTAGATTCCTAGTCCCAAAAAGTCAAAATCTAAGAATCCCAAAGTTTTACTTTTCTAATATACCAAAATCCACGATTCCCAGATCGTATGAAATGCCAAAATCCCCAAGCGCTCTAGAATCCCCAATCTCACAAAAAACCGTAAATCTCCGAATTAACAGATCTTAAAATGCTATAATCTCCAAACAACCAGATCTTGATATCATAAAATCCTATAATGACAAAATGTCCGAATCCTTAGACTTTACCAAAATTCTCAAATCCTTAGGCCCAAAAAGTCAAAATCTAGGAATCCCAACATCTTACCTTGCTAATATACCAAAATCCACGGTTCCCAGATCGTATGAAATGCCAAAATCCTCAAGCTCTCTAGAATCCCCAATCTCACCAAAAACCTTAACATCTCCGAATTCACAGATCGTAAAATGTTATAATCTCCAAACAACCAGATCTTGATATCATACAATCCTATAATGCCAAAATTCCCGCATTCTTAGACTCTCAGCTACTAAAATACCAAAATTCTCAAATCCTTAGGCCCAAAAAGTCAAAATCTAGGAATCCCAAAATCTTACTTTGCTAATATACCAAAATCCACGGTTCTCAGATCGTTTGAAATACCAAAATCCCCAAGCGCTCTAGAATCCCCAATCTCACCAAAAACCGTAAAATCTCCGAATTAACAGATCTTAAAATGCTATAATCTCCAAACAACCAGATCTTGATATCATAAAATCCTATAATGCCAAAATTCCCGAATCCGCAGACTCTCAGGTACTACAATACAAAAATTCTCAAATCCTTAGGCCCAAAAAGTCAAAATCTAGGAATCCCAAAATCTTACTATGCTAATATACCAAAATCCACGGTTCTCACATCGTTTGAAATGCCAAAATCCCCAAGCACTCTAGAATCCCCAATCTCACCAAAAACCTTAACATCTCCGAATTCACAGATCTTAAAATGCTATAATCTCCAAACAACCAGATCTTGATATCATAAAATCCTATAATGCCAAAATTCCCGCATTCTTAGACTCTCAGCTACTAAAATACCAAATTTCCCAAATCCTTAGGCCCAAAAAGTCAAAATCTAGGAATCCCAAAATCTTACTTTGCTAATATACCAAAATCTACGGTTCCCAGATCGTATGAAATGCCAAAATCCCCAAGGCTCTCTAGAATCCCCAATCTCACCAAAAACCCTTGAAATCTCCGAATTCACAGATCTTAAAATGCTATAATTTCCAAACAACCAGATCTTGATATATAAAATCCTATAATGCCAAAATTCCCGAATCCTTAGACTATCAGGTGCTAAAATACCAAAATCCTTAGGCCCAAAAAGTCAAAATCCGCCAACTACAATATCTAGGCATCCCAAAATCATAGTTTGCTAATATACCAAAATCCACAGATCTTCAGGCTCCCAGATCGTATGAAATGTCAAAATCGCCAAACTCAGTAAAATCCCCAATCGCATTAAAATCCCCAATCTCATAAGAATTGTAAAATCTCTGAATTCATAGATCTTAAAACTGCTAGATCTTCAAACTGCCAGATCATGAGATCTCATAATCCTGTAGTGCCAAATTTCCAAAATCCTCAGATTCTCAGATCCTAAAAAACAAAAATGCCCTAATCCTTAGCCACAAAAAGTCAAAATCCAAAAACTACAATATCTAGGAATCCCAAAATCGTATTTTGCTAACGGATAATAACATACCATAATCGTCAAACCACCGGATCTTGTGAACTCAAAATCCTACGAAGCCAAAATTTCCAAATTCCAAGATTTTCAGATCCCAAAATACAAAAATTTTCAGATGTCCAGATCCCCAACAGCCAAAATTCCTACATCTTCAAATATTGAAGTTGATAGCCTAAGACCCTTAAAACCTCAAAAAATGCCAAAATTCCCAAACCACTAGAATTTCAGATTCCACAATTCTTCCGGTACAAACTTGTCAAAAGATTACCAGATTCCCATATCACAAATCACCGGATATCCAGATCCAAAAAACACAAAATGAAAAAATTACGAAATACTCAAAATTGCCAAACCATTCACTGTTGACATTTCAAAATCCTATGATCCCAAGTAGCCGAAATTTCCAAATTGTCAGATGTCAAATTCCCAAAGGCCCCAAATCACTAGATCCCTGGATCTTAAAATATCTCAACCACCAGATTTTGATATTAAAAAATCTATTGATGCCAAACTGTACCAAATTCTGCTTCCAACATGCCGAAATCTTATCTCAATCTTACGATGTCAAGATGCCAAAACCTCTTGAAGAATTTAGCGCTGATATCACTAAACTCTTTATTTATTTCCAGGCATGTTTCGAGGCGGTGCCGACATCCTAGTAAGAGCGAAGTTGGCTTTGACAGATGGAGTTACCATGCAACTGACAGTTAGGAGTCCAGACCCAGCCATTGCCGAACTTATCACTTCAGCCGTTGGTTGAATATATGTTAAAGGGATATTATATTATCCCAGTATTGTATCGATATATTGTTTGTAATAAAATAATTACTTAAGCTTAAAAATGTGTATTTTTTGGAAGAATATAGTAAATATACATTGAAAAACGCATTTTTTCTTACATATCAAAACCTGTCTTTCAGAAAATAACGAGAAATCTAGTACATTGTTAGAATCCACTCCTGGAATCTAATTAGTTTTTGACGGGGCACTGGTCTCAATAAAATGGTCTCGAACTTTCGTATGCTCATCTATTATTTTATATCTTCACAATACTGACCACATCCTAAAACCGCTCCCACACGATATGGCGAATGCCTTACAACGTTGGACACAATTCGCCGCATCGCGTGGCAGAGCGCTGACGGATTGCATGTGTCCAACGTTCGCCACATGACACGTTCGGTAAATTTGACCAGCGTCAAAAGACGTTACAACGTTGGAAGAAGCATGGTTCGTTACGCTCCCACACGAGATGTCATGTGTTTGATGGTTTTAGGTCAGAACCAGTAGCGGCGACAAACATTATTTATTTGCTTCCTGTGATTGTGGTGAAGTAGTGGTATATGAGAAGTATTTTGATTTGAATACCTACCTATTCAGAATAATGTATGTTCCGTATCTAACTTTTGAGCAGAATGAATTAAACTAGTATACATACAAAAGATAGGCTGTCATAACAGCACCTTTTCATATTGCTAATATTTTGTACGTTTCACAGGTGAGTTATGGCTGGCCTAAGGATATGTATTTTAGTAAATTATAAATTATCAAGTGCTTACAGTTGTTTCATGATAATGTCCTGTTGCCATGCAAGACTAGTTGAGAAATACATGGTGTACGCAAAGTTGGGGTTTTCCTTTACACGACGTGTAGATATTGAAAACATAAGCAATTTTTCTTAGTACCATATACACCAATGTCTTAAGGGAACCGAGATAAAGGGCTCTGCAACATCAAAAATATCTGAATACCGTCCTGTAGCCGCGACATCCCCGAGTGGCACTAGGACACTAGCTCAGCCCGACGACAGAACTGGATCGGGGTCAGTGTATCAGGTCAGTATGCAACCTTCAACCGACGGTTACGGTCACGCGTGTAGAGGTAATCGCGTAGACGAGAATCCCTCAACAAGCACTAGAGACGAGGCTAGAGAAGTGCAAGTATCAAAAACTAAAGTGTGGCAAACGCTGCGTGAAGAGGGGCTGTATCCGTTTCACGTCCAACGTGTACAAGCCCTTCAACCTGACGATTTTCCAGCAAGAGTGCGGTTTTGTGAGTGGTTGTTGTATCAACATGACAATAATCCGGACTTTTTGAAGTGCATATTGGTGACAGACGAATCTACGTTCACGCGTAATGGGGTGAATAACTTTCGCAACACTCATGTTTGGTGAGTAGAAAATCCGCACGCTGTCCGTCGGGCACATTTTCAACAAACATTTTCGGTGAATGTTTGGGCTGGCATGGTGAACGGTATGCTCATTGGACCATTTATTCTCTCAAATCGATTGGACGGGATGCAATACCTAGACTTTTTACGCAACATTTTGTCTTCCTTGTTTGCCTGCGTCTGCTCGGTAGCGCATCAGCTGATTTCATTTTCTGTTGGAGCGGTATGATTTCGGGCAGAGATGTACTTAGCCCTTCTCGTCAACTGGAGAGTGAGTACTTTTTCCTTTATTTTTTTTTACTTGGTCGCCCTCGTTTCACTACACATTACCTTTGTTATTTCAAGGGTAGTTGTTTCTGAAAAGGAAAACCCCAACTTTGCGGACACCCTGTATATTGACTTGCATTTCATAACTAACAAAAAAGATTAAAGAAATGATAACTCTAAAAATACTTACTATCACGATTTTGATGAAATTTTGACCCTAGATTACTACTATGAATATGAAAAAGTTCTGCAGTTTTTGAAAATCGGTACAGTGGCGGTGGAGTTATCGTCGAAAAACAAACAAAAAACGGTGAAACTCCGTTTTTCGACATTTTTGAGGCTTCTGACAGACTTAAGTCTTGATCGCCGAGGACATCTGAAATTATTTTTCGGCGCTCGGAAAAATCGTTTCATCGTTTATTTTGTATAATTTTTCCTTCAGTTGTAAAGGTTCAAGCGCGACACTGGCACCGATAATAGACGTTGGCACCACCATGCGACGAACGTCCGAGACTAAAAAGTTCATCCCATCGTGTAGGAGACACACTTGCCAATGTGGGGTGTCGAACGTTGTAAACAACGCTGGAAGTATCGTGTGGGACCCGCATAACCCTCAATACATGCCGATCACCCAATCAGGGCCGACATAATAATCAACATAGAACATAAAGTTCCTAGAATGAAGTAACGTGATATTAAGGTAGGTATACAATATAACAGTAAAGGTAAGTGTACACCTAGCAACGTAAAAACTAAAAAAAAAAATATAAACCCAGGGATTTTTAAATAATATGCAATGTCCGAAAATTTTTATTGTTTCGTGAATGGTAAAATATTCGTTCGTTAAGTAGGTGGAAACTGCATTGCACTCCCAATTATAGTACATAGACATTTCTTCCCTGTCCTACTAATAGCACTGACCATCAGGCAACATTGATAAGACTAACCTCGCCACACGAAATATGTCCAAATATTCCTATTTCATTCAAGTTCAAATGTATTGAATATGTCTACCAGGTGCGTAGAATTACCAATATTAGAAGCGTAGAAATATACTAATGTCAACAAATTGACATATACCACCTCGAACCCCAACTCTTAATCCCTATAAACTTTTGGCTGAAAATGAGCCTTTGAAGCGTCAAATAAAACGAGATTAAAAACTACAAGACGTTTTCGTCAGGCTCCTTCAAAGAGATAATATGCAGGTCTGACGTAACACATGAGTATTTTTCATAAACTAACTCAGGGTTTGGATTGGTTTGGGGTTCATAGGTGAAATTCTGTCAAAAATGATTTCTTTTAGTCCTTTTTTGCTACCGATTAGAACATTTATTTTTTTATGCAGCCGATCGTTTCCTTGCACTCCGTAAATACCTCAATTTACATAAAAACAGTTTGTTCAAACACTCGACACATTTTACTTTCCTCACCTTCTGGCGGTAAAGTATTTTGTAAAGAGAAAATTTTCGAAAATGAAATATGTTTCTTGGATGTATAGATATACGAGGGATGTCGTTTAAGTTTTGCATATGGAAATAAAAGAACACGGTAGGTAGTTTTAAATGACTTTATTGTTTTTCGAAGCATTCTCCACGAAGATTAATACACATCTGCATGCGCTCGAACCAATTTTCGAAGCACTTATTCCACTCGTTTGCTGGCAGATCCAAAACGGCATTTTTGAATGCATCAACTGCTCCTTCTGGTGACTGAAACCTTAAACCACGCAGTCTGTTTTTAATTTTCGGGGAAGTAAAGAAATCGTTAGGACTTAGATCGGGACTATATGGAGGATGGTCCAATAATTCCACGTTTTCTTCCGTTAAATACTGCCTCGTTTTTTGGGCTGTGTGCGAGCTTGCATTGTCTTGGTGGAGGATGCTTCTTCTTTCGGGGTTGATTTTTCGAAGGTCGGTGATGACTTTTGGCAAACAAATGGTGGTATACCAATCCGCAGTATCAGTTCTTTGCTCATTAAGAGGAATTGATGCAATATGACCCGCTTTCGACACAAATGTCCCGACCATCTTTTTCGAACCACTTCGAGAACGGATTACTTTTGTTGGCTTTTCTGCACCCTGGCTGCTTTCTGCTCTTCAGTCAACAGGTGGGGTATCCAACGAGAAACTAATTTTCTTACTCCTAATTCTACTATGTTCCTATATGCAAAACTTAAAAGACATCCCTCGTATACATCACGAAAAGCCTTCACTATTTTTTATCTCTGTCACTCCCTTAATCATGCATAACCCCCTATAACTTGAGTTGTACCCCTCAGATTTTGCTGAATTTCTTTCACAATATTACAATGCCAAGGACAAACAGTATTTGCAGTTTTTGAGAAAAAGGCTAAACAAAAAGAAATCGCTCAAACTTCGTTTTTGACGTTTCAGAGGATCCTGATCATTTTTGAAAAAATTTCTAGAGGTGAAAAATTTGGGAGGAGTGGGGGTTGTAGGGGGTGGGGAGTGGGGACGGTATACCTCAATTTTTTGCCGTTAATTTCTTTATGCGACTACTATTGTAGCACCTTACAACACACCGTATTTCTTACCCTCATTCTCGATCAAAATATTTCTGGACCCAGTGCCAACACGCGGCGCACGACTCTCGCAAAAACAACCGCAACGCTCCACGAAAAACAAGCGAAAAACGCTTTTCGCCGTTGCAGTAGCAGCTGCAAAGCACGCCTTGCACGTCGACTCTATACATGGCATCTAGCCACCTGGTGCGCGCTGCATCCATAGCCAACTATATACACGCTAATAGCCAGGTGCTGTAAAGGATGCACTGACACTGAATTTGATGTTCTTTCGGCTTGCCAGCTAATTCTGGAACGCCCTCGAGCATGCACGCCATTCATGTTTTGGTGAATGTTCCCATGTACTCGAAACAGACACAGATATAAAGTTGGATACGAAACGACAGATGCACGATGTTATGTAGAGGTTTTCAGGTTGATAGTTTACTTCAGAAATGAGGCGTTAAGGTATACAGGGACGTTGAGGAGTTATGCAATCTACTCTAAGATAAGCGCGAAGACTCTATATTTTTTGAGATAGTAAGAGTTATTTGGGGTAAAGCGAGGAGCTTTAAGAGTCTAATGCCACAGTATATCTGATGCGAATGGTTTCACTGTAACTTGAACGTGAGAGTCATAATTTGCAATGAATCCTGTCCATTTTTTGTATCCAATCCATAAATTGTTATTTTCTGATATCTACGAAAACTGACCCTCCTTCATTATAACTTCAATAAAACTAAAAAACAGGAGAGGACGAAATCCAATCATACCATTAAAAAATTCAGACTTTGGCGTGACTTTTATGTTTTTTTGTCACCCCAACGAAAAATAATACTGGACGAGATAAAAATGCTTAAAGTTCTGAGTGTCTTAAAACCAGTCTGGTCCAAAAAAGATGATATTTGCAGAGATGTTATTTAT